TGAGAATCCCTGGGACTTCAATCTTTGCTGAATTTGTAAGGACGCCTTGCTCCTATACAGAACAAGGTGAAATTATTCTTAATAAAATTTCCACCGCTAATCAGCATACTGGCAATTTGCAAGTATTGCAGCTGAAGGTCCTGAAGGAGACAACAAAACTGAACTTCGAGTCAGAATTTCTGGCGGCACTTCAATTTCATGCAAGGTAAAAGACAAAAAGAATATCATGCAAGCTTTATAGAGCATAATGTCAGCTGGGTTTTTCCTTTTTGTTTTGTTTTTTTTTTTCCAAAAAATATAATTTATGTAATTTAGCTTTCCCATGAACATCCTGTGGTAATTTACAATTAATTCATTATACTTTATAACTAAGCAGAATTGAAATGAGCTTAACTAAACAAATCGTTAGCCTTTCGGAATTGTTTCGTGCTCCCTAAATTGACATTAAGAATTAAGCTTGAAGGTTACTTGAGGAATGACTTTGGTGCAGTGGTCATAAGAAATATCTGCTTTGCACAGGAAACATAATAGTGCCCAGTTTCCTTTTGCACAAATTGTTTATGTGCCGCAATCTCTTGTGCCGGGGATTTGGCAAAACCCGCTTCCCCTTACAGGACTGGCTCACAGTCATACAGTAGATACCAAGCATGAAACGATGAAGAGTGTAAACCGTATTGTGTGACTGGTCCCCTGTGTCAAATAATCCCACAAAGTTAAAACAAAAAAATGTAAATATGTGTGATAGTCTCCCACGTTGCATGACACGAAACACGAAACTGCCACCAAAAATCTGACTGAGACTTCAGTTTCGTTAACTCCAGTGGTGATTCAATTTCGCCTTGTTGACTTGTTCTCTGTAGGAGCAAGGCCTTCATACAAATTCAGGAAGACAAGTCGGCTTTGAAACGTTTTGTTCAGCAAACTGTCCAATCGAACAGATCAAATGGCACTTTCTTTCTAAATTTACATAGGGTTGGGTACACTGTTTTTCTGATTTTATGCTTAATAAAACTTACTCGAGTTCATGAAGATTCTAATATTTATATAGAGGAAAGAAGAATTGTAAAATCAGTGCAGCACTTGTGATGTGGCACATTGCGTAACTAAGATACATTACCTTGAAGACAGTGTGTTGGACATGTAAGAGAATCCAACAAAGTACCATTTTCGTGCACGGTAAGGAAAATATGTTTCTTCCCATCATAAGCAGCTGCAGTAATTTGGCAGGGTGTCAGTGTGAAAGGAAACTTTGTAGATATGCACCGAAGATGAGGGAAGGGATTTGAATGCAACGACATGCATTACTACGTGTGGATGAGACCTAAACGAACCGTGACTTGTGTTTGATTTGACTTGGCTGTGAAATGTTTCTCACATTGATCGCTTTGCTAATGGTCTGTCATGTGTCAGTTATCTATTAATGATTCCATTGAAGTGATTTATTTTGCTGGAAAATGGCGAATTAGATTTTCCTACCAAGTTATATTTGCAGGTAGTAATTTGCATAAATTAACTGCCAACCGCACGATTCCTGCTTTTGTAAACCAAAAATCATTAATCTGCTCGATAACTGACTGTAAAACGTAAAGGAATGGAATCTATAGGAACCATCCAACGTTCTTGCTTAACATCACCCCAATGACATTATTTAAAAGAAACATAGCAGGGAACAAAAGTTGCAAAAATTTACTATTTTGCCTCAGATATACATTTTCATTTGACTGGCATGCAAAGATGTATTGAGTGCCCATGGATTTTCAAGCATGAAATGGTTCACGAAGGGTGAAGTATCTACATCCTGTTTCAAGAAAGTAAGAAACAAATGTGTTCAAAAAACCTTAGCCTTGTCAAAAAACGTCCCCCCCTTGTAAATGACAATGAACAGGGGCCGTCGGGGGGGGGGGGGGCAGAGAAAGATTTATAACATTTTTATTGAGAGGAAGGATTATATTTTTCTATCATGCAAACAGATCTTTATCTGTTAGTCTGCTTTCTGAATTATTTACCTAACAAAGATCCAATTTTCAAGGACAAAATTGTCCCAAAAATGCAATTTTTGGTCCAAACTTCCCCCACCCGATGTCCAGTGCAGGTTTTTCTGAGAAGTCAAACAAATGCCACAGTGAATAGTTTCATCTGAAGTACTAACTACACACAAAGTACGAGGGAAGGTTTTGTTTGACCATTTCCAATTTTGCTCAATCCATAGCAACATTCATTCTTAACGTCTTCAGACATCATGAATTATTAATATTGCTAGGGCTAATAATTTTTTAGCCACTCGTTTATTATCTGTCTTAAATGAAATATCATGAATATTAATGTCATTGATATGAATCTAGACTCTAATAACGGAGAGGTCTGGGTTGGGGGCAGGCAGTTGTACATTGTATGGGAGTTGTCCTATTTCAGAATTGGGCAATATATTGTATGAGAGTCATAAGACCATACTGATAACCAGTTATAATAAACCAGTTATAATACACCACTCTAGCCAGTAGTCTATTGCTTAATTTTTGATATTATTAGACAAAGTGCACTCTTAGAAAGCAAGCAAGCAAGCACGCAAGACTAAGCTTGAATATCATTGGTGTCCTCAATAACTGGCCACTTAAGTCCCAGTTGACTAGCATTAATCGATCTAAGGGGTTAACAAAAGATCAAAAACAGCCAATTATCCCAGCTATGCTTTGACAACTTCATGATCGACTTGACCTGGGTAACAGTGCAGATGCTTCGTTCTAGGCTATTTGTTTAGTTGCCTTCTAAGAGATGTTCCGTAAATCCCATTTGTTACCCTTGTCAACTTTCTCATTCAATCAGCGCAAGCAATTGACTAAGGCTGATTTTAAAATCTTCCCTGGGGGGTACTCATCACTATTCTTTGGAGGAAGACCATAAAATTTCTTGGACGGATTGTAGAAATTCCTCTCCCTTGCATTCCCCGTTCCAAAGTATGTCTGACAACAGCCATCACAAATGCCTTTTGCTTTACCGGCGCAGTGTCTGCTTTAAACTCTCAAGGGTTCAACAGGGTAGACCAAAAGCACCTTGTAAAAATTTTTACCTATGGCTCCTTTGTGTCCACCCTGAAAATTCATCTTATGTCTCTTGATTGCGACCCCAAGTTGTTTGCAGGGCACTCTTTTCACAGGCGTGGAGCATCCTTTGCATACCAAGCTGGTGTACCCATCGAATTGATTAAAGCCCTTGGCAACTGGCGCTCTGACACCATACTTCATTCTGCTAACATGCTTAGTAAAGCTATCCTTTCACATACTCCACACCACTTTCACAACACTAACCCTTCCACTACTTCTACCTCTGGGTTTGGACCATAGTTTTTAGTGTATCAAATATGAACTCTTGATTAGATATCTAGTGGATTATGTAAGTAGGAATTAATGATAATAGAATAAACTGCCTGTTCCCAAAACAAGAGTCTTAGTCTGCTGTGGTGTTTTAGAATAGCTCTTGCAGAGACCTAGGCCAACAGTTTGCCCTAATCTAATTAGTTCTTTGAGAAGTAAATTTGAATTTAGGTTATTCACACAACAGTCTTTGAGTTTGCAAAGTTATTTAGCAGAATATGGATAGAAGTCAAGCCAGGTCAAGCCTACCTCCAAGATTCTATCAATGAATTTATTTTTCAGAAGTTAATCCATTGGTAGTAATTATAGATTTCCAATTATTCATCTCTGCGTTCCTGCATGCATAATGACCAGTGAATTCACGGGCAAAGTATTTATGTATTTAAGTATGTCCTCGGAATTCCATAATCATTAACACGCCCTCCCATTCAGATTTTCCATTTTTTTCTTTACACCTTTTAGAATTACAGGCAGGGTTTGCAAGTTTGTCCAATTTAACTTATTTCATGCGAAATAATTCAAATATGACTCTACTTCGGTACTTCAGTACAGCTTGTTACAGAGAGAGTCTATGACTCCAGAAATTCTGGAAATATAAAAAATTTAGAAATAGAAGTTTTCCCTTACCACTGTTCAAGAGATGCAACCTTCATTAACTTTACATTGCTTAAACTGGTGCCGAACATTAAAATACGAATCGCTTGTGATGAAGGTGTGTTCACTCGGAAGACATTATGATCAAGTGCATTTTCATTTCATCATCTTAAATTTTAGCCTTCGTGGTCAGCAGTTGCTCCCAATACCATAAGCTTCAATGATGCTCAGTCAAAAGACCATGTTTCACACGGAAAAAACGGAATGAACAAAATAATTCATGAGGCTGCTTTGATGAGAGAAAAAAAATTGATGAGGCTGCGATGTTTTGTTCTGCTTCCACGGTTGTCAGCAGTGTTGTCAGTTTTTGCTTTATTTGCGACCTGATTAAGGCCATAAAATAAGCGTTTTCAAGGAATACACTCTTGACTGACCGCTGGGAAATTCCAGATCTACAATGTAACACCCAACCCCCCTACATCTCTTGAAAATTCCAATCATGAAGTATCCCCCCATCTCTTTTGATTTCCAGTAATAAGATGCCTTCAGAATTCCGAAAAAGCTGTCCATGGTATGGTATGGATACTTTCTGGGCTTGGTTATGTAGGACATCATATGAAGTGTTACATGAAGTACACACTCAAAAATTCGCTTTTGTCATATACTGTAATGCAGAAATGATCTTTTTCAGTGATTAAATTCATGCTAAAATGCCTCAGAAGCTGTCCAAGCAAAATCATAGAATCTGGGAGAGTTGTTATATATGCTGCTCATTACACATGTAATAATGTAGATTTAAATTTGATACTGGTTGCGGCAAGAACTAGTGGATTCATTTTTCAAATAATCGATTCATTAATGGCATCTGGGGGGGTACACTTGACCTGGCGTGACTGTATACCTAAAAGATATCCAAAACACACAACTGAAAAAAGACAAAGGATTTAAAGTTCATAGTATGTATACAGTGTGTTGTTGTTGTTGATGTGTCTTGTTCATTTGTGTAATCTATACATTTTTTACTCGCATCAATTTATGATTTGGGATGTACAGAATAAGCGGCACTCCTCTTTGCAATTTAGGGAAGGTGAGTCTAGAGTAAAGGTCACATTTCATAGTTCAGAATAAGAACAGGGCTGCTGGACACTTAGGCTAGTTTTGATCTAGTTTGATGTTCTGAGGACATCTGGAATGTGCGGACTTGTCATTAATATGTGCTAGCCTAGTATCTTAAACTGAAAAGCACATCTTCATGTAATAAAAGCATGGAGTAAAACCTGTTGTTGAAAGATGGCCCGTGTAGTTTATAATGTAGATTTGCCTGTATTATTGAAAATAGCAGCAGGCTATCTTAAAGAGGGTGATGATCAAGTGGCGATCAATAGAAAAATTTGTCAGAGAGAGAATTTACAGTGACCTGAAAATGTAAAACAATTTTTTTTTCCAATATATATTCTTTAGGAGATGCCATGAATATATCAGAAGATCAGAAGCGATGGGTAGTTGTTGGGATTGCTTTCAACAAGCTGGTGCCTCACATTCGACCATTTGTAGAACAGTCTTTACAGGCAGAGTACCAGAGCTTGAAGTCCAGCCATAACATTCACATCCAAACTCCACCTGGGTTTCTCAAGAATCATCCCAAACATCTAAAATATGAAAACATCAATAGTAACAGCAGTCACAAACTCTCCTCTGGAAAGTTTGAGTTGCCAAAATTTGACTACAAGGTATCAAGTCATGTTGACTTTGCCAAGCTCTACCTTCAACCATTCATGGCCAAGTTCAGTGCATTTGATGGAAAGTGTGATGGGTCTGCTGTTCTTTCACTGCTTGTTGACGTACCTGTTTTTTCGAATGCAACACAGTCCTCAGCTAAGACTGTAAGAGAGGATGTAAGAAATGAATGGGCTCACTGTAACTTCACAGACTGGGACGCAGTCAAGTTCCAAGGTTGTTTTCAGGAAATGCGAGAGCTTGTCCTTTCTTTCGGACTTCCTACAGCAGATGAAACCACACTATTATCCGAGCTAAATGACTGGGAAACCAAAGGTATTTTTTTCAAATTATGTTACCTTAATTTATGTTTATCCTAATGGTGTAGAGCGTACTGGTTAGCCCTTTTTGGAGGAGGAATCTCATCAATTTTTGGGGGGAGGACATAAGTGCTGATGATATCATACTTTGCAGTGCCCTGAGGCCAGACCCCCTCCCCCTTATCTCAGGGTCTGGATAACCGCCCTCCCCCCCTTATCTGAAGGTCTGGATCCGCCACTGCGTTGCGCGCCATTTGTAGGTGGTTTTCACGGTTTAACAGGTATTAGATGGATGATGTCATAGTTTATTTAAAGTTGTGTGCGTCAGGTCATTATTAGGGTATGAAAATGTCACTGATTTTTAAGGTGTAGGGATCATATCCTTTTTTATGATGTGTTTTCATTAATAGACTAAAAATCAATTTTATTGAAGTATTTCTGTGATTATAAACAGTTGGTTGCAAAGGAATTATGCAAGTTCTATTTTCCTGCTGCTGTCATTGTCCTATTCATCATCAGACAATTGTCCAAGCTCTGGTCCACTTATTCTTGTTTTTCTTGCCACTCTTTTGCGCTAATTGTGAATAGTAAAGAAGGCACAAACAAACCAATTTAAACTGGTTAATTCACCTAACAAAAATACACGACCGTATTCCCCAAATTGTTTACATGCGATAAAGATCAGTGTACCTCCCCCATATCAATGCGATTCCCCCTCAAAAAAAAAAGCCCAACCGGTACGTCCCTCACTTGCAATTCTGAGTTCGTCCTTACGTTATGCATCGAGGAACCTGTTGAAAAAGACATTTTGTCTTCTGAAAGAATTATATAATGTGCGGTTATCCTGGGAATTACCGGTCGCTTCGCCAACGCTCTTTTTGCTAACGTCTTAAGTCGTTTCGTTAACGTTTTAGGTCAGTTACCTTACTTCTTTCGCGAGAACGAGGTGCATACACATGCGTATCGGACGTTGTGGTGTCATAACTGAAAGAGCGAGATGTGTAGTGTTCGTTTCTTTTGGAATGCAAAACGATTTAAGAACAGTCACCAAACGGGACGTTGGCGAAACAACGTGTTTTCTAGATGACCACGAGTCACCGTACTGAGGTCGAAAAAAGCCGTTACACATAGGCTTTAGGAGAACTGTTGAGTTCTGTTAAGGTCTGAGGAGAAGCGATATTGTAGACATCTGTAGTGGGCCGTAAAAAAGCAGAAACGAAGAACCTCGATATTACAGTACTGTAAACTCATGTTCTGGAGAGTCGACGCATATGTCTGGGTTTAATGAATCGTTATTTTAAGTGACTTTAAAGTCACGCCCTGAACCTGAACGCTACTTGGGTTTTCAAGGATTCTATTTCGTATTTTTTTATTGCAAGTTTTTAAATTACGTGAAATCAGATATTCTTTTTCAATACGTGTATATATGCAGTCGCCAGCCGACAATTTGGCGTCGCGATTTTTAGGAAGTGCTCTGTGGGACCTTTTCTTTCTGTATCACATTCCTGCTTTTGATATTTTAGTAGCCTAGAGCGTGCAGACTAGTCCATAAGTTGCAAATACCATTATCAACAATAAGATGGCGGGTAAGCAAAATTAAGACACCTCAGGAAAAACATTTCAAGTATCTAATAACTAGAAGATATTTATACATGGCTGCACAGAAGATACGAAATTTCTTTTAACACCAGAAGAGAAAATTCGTATCTCCAAGCGGCCACCAAATGTTCGTTTTTGTGAACACTAATGAAACACTAAACAATTTCACTTAATTATTTTTTTCTGCGAAAGGTGCGATTTGTTCTGCAATCAAAGAAACGGTTATCTTTTGACGTAGGAGGACATCATGTTTTCGTGCAAACACTCACCTGGTGAGTGGAACACACAGTTAATCAAAGTCGTTTTCCCTTCTGCATAAACTTTACATTTGTCATGAACTTCTATATTTATGATAACGTCATTGAGGTCTTTGAGTTCTGTTGACAGGCACTACGTTCTGTGGTAACTGCCCTGTAGACCCTACCCTATTGAGCTTGGTACACAATGAAGTGTTGCAGCTTTCCTCCAGTTTGGAAGATTTTGTTTGCCAGTTCAAGGAACAGTACGACTTACTAAAATCGCAGATCCTTGAAGTAAAGCAAAATCTCGAAGAGCTACTGGAACTCCCCCAGAAATTTAAACAAATGGAGCATGAGATGAAAACCTTGAAGCAACAAATGGCAGATTTAAGTTGCAGTGCTATGAAACGTCAACAGAGTGTCAACCCTCCATCGTTCTTTGGAGCGCTAGAGAGAAATGAATATTTTACTGGCCGAAAAAAAGAGCTAGAATCATTGGACAAAGCTTTTCAAGACGTCACCACCACGAAAGATGTTCTAAAAGGGTGTAAAAAGGGGACCAAAGTTGGTATTTGCGGGCTGGGGGGCTGCGGGAAGTCATCTCTTGCCTTCGAATATGCTTGGCGCAACCTGGAACGTTACTCCGGAGGTGTTTACGTTATAAATGGAGAAAGTGACGAACTGTTGCGATCATCTGTTCAAGGAATCCATGGACAATTCGTGTACAAGTCTCAGACCAACAGGCACGAAGAAGCAAAACAGTTTGATCAGCTAATGACGGAAACTCTTTCTTGGCTTGGCAGTCTGAGGCACAAGTGGCTTTTGCTTGTAGACAATATGGATCAAAAGAAACTTAGCTCCTACACACGAAAAATGTTTTTGGGCCAGTGGAAAAACAAAACTTTAGGGGACATTCTTGTCACTTCTCGTAGAAGTCCTCAAGCGTTGTGTGAGGACCTAGATCTTCGTCCTGAAAACTGTCTTGAGCTGGATGCTTTTTCTGTCGACGAGTCCATTGAATTCCTAAAGAAACGCACCGGATTAGCAACCGCTTTTGAAAATCAAGAGGAAGGAGTAACAGAACTTGCCCAAGAGCTTGGTGGATTACCGTTGGCTCTAGAACAAGCTGCTGCTTATATCAGTGCGTTAAAGTGCTCGGCTCAGTCGTACCTTGAGCAGTATCGTGAACAAAAGTCGATTCTTTTGAACAGGAAAAGCGCCAAACCATGCTCAGAGGTCTACAGTGAGGCACGCCTAGAAGTACAAACTACATGGCGTCTGAATTTCAATTATATAGAAAATGACGAAACGGATGAAGGACTTGGAGAGGCCGCTTCTTTCTTCATGAAAATTGCCACATATCTGTCCCCAGATGAGATGCCCATTGAGATTTTGAATGTGGGCGCCCCAGAGATTGACCATAAGTACCTGAAGGATCGCTTGAAAATGCCAATCGGTGCAGAACAAATTGTCGATTTGTTGCTTAGGTTTTCACTCTTCAGACGCAAGTCAGATGATAGCTTGAGTATCCATCGACTTGTTCAAGAGACATTGAAAGAGCGTTATAGTAATGAAGGCGAAACTGTAAAACCTATTTCTTCTGCCATAAGAATGTTGCACCATGCATTTCTCGACTGTGTTGGAGGGACAGACTTCCTTCACGAATGGCACTTGAGACTGGATTATCTGAAAGATGATACAGTGAGTCGCAAAGACAAGGTCCGTCAGCATTTCGAAAGTTTCGGCGAGGCCAAACTGGAGAGTCGACGATGGAAAGTGCTCTCTGTGAATGCTTTTCACCTCCTTTTTCATCTCTTGAAAAACTCATGCTTGAAGCCTGATTACCTATTCTGTGAGGAGACTGCCAGGATATTTTGCGAAACAGCCTTCTATTGCTATTCTTTGGGAATAAACAGTGAAGGATACCGCTTACAGCAATATGTGTTCGACATTTTGTGCGCAGTGAAAAAGTCCATTTGTTTTTACAAAGGCGACGAACTAATGAAAGTAACAAGAGCCCTTAGACCCATCAATGAGCCTAACTTCGTTGCAGCAAAGTTAAGAGTCCCGTCAGAAGAAACGATTGAAAATGTTATTGGTCGAACAGGTGTTAAGATAGGCAACACTCAAACCGACGAATTGTTAGAAGGGATCGAAATGATAGAACCAAAGGCGAGAGAAGCTTTCTCCAGGGGCGATTATCAAGCCTCGTCTGATCTGTACACTGAGATTGTTAACCTACCAATTGCAGTAAATCAACCTTGCGCTCGTCCTCTTGGAAAAATTTTTTGTAACCGTGGTATTGCGAATATGCAATTGAAGGACATTGAGACAGCTTTAGACGACTTCAATGCTTCTATTTACGTAGACACTGAGCTTTATCGTGGGTACTACTGGAAGGCATACGCACTTTGTAAACTCGTTGAAACTGGTAGAACCGAGTTCACCAGCAGAGCTCAAGCTGCAGCAGCAGTACTTCATTACAAGTTTGCAGGTTCTAAAACAGGTGATATTCGAAAACTGCAACATAAATTTCAGAAAGTTTCTGGATTGCTTGATAGAATCAACTACATTTTTGTCACCGATGTTAACCAGCTCAAGGAACTAGAGAATCAGCTCTCTGAACAACGAGATTCAAATGATTCATTTACAGTCATCCTATCCGAAGGGAAATTCGATTTGAATAAGATTGTTTTATCGGACGGATGTTATTATTTTGTCTGTCTTCCTGGAAGTTCCGCTGTGCTTAGTTTCAGCGAAGGTTTGTTTTTGTCAGGGGCGTCTTTTCTATTTGAAAATGTTCATTTTGAGAATTCTTTGCCATCAGCAAACCGCGATCAACCGTTGTCGTCTGAAGCGGCCGGTAGTACTGCAAAGAGAGAAAAGCTACTTTCAATAACGTTAGGAAAATCACACCTGATTAAGAAGGAAGTGACCGCCGACAGTGAACGCGAAGTTTATGCTCTGATAAAGGCTAATGACGTTAAATCATTGGTCATGGATCACTGTTCTGTCAATTTTTCAAATAGTGCAGGGTTATTGGTGGAGGCACATCACCGTCAGCAAGTAATTGTTTCAGTGAGGTCTACTAAAATTCAAATGAGTCGTGGGCCTGGAATCGGTATTCGAGGAGGAAGAGCTGATTCCCACATAAGTATTTGTGACAGTCAACTAGACAACAATTTACAGGGTATTGTAATGATTACCCCAGCACGTTTTTACATGGAAAATAATTGGATTTCTCATAACTTGTTCAGTGGTATTGTGGCCGCCGGAGGTTGTAATGGAGGATTATTGAGAAATTTAGTGAAAGTTTCACCTCGTGCCATTGTGTTACAACGAGCAAACGCGACAATAGAAGAAAACGTTATTTCCGAAAATCTTGGTTGGGGAATAGTGTGTTGTCTCGGAAGCAACTTAACGTGCAAACAAACATCGTTTGAAAACAACTATTGTGGAGGACTTCGTATCATTTTAAATGGCCAAGGAAATGTTTTGGTTGAGAAATGCGACTTCAGGAATAATCTTGGTCCGGTTGTTTTTCCCTCTAATGCAAGAGAAATTTGCCCATGTGAGTTGCAATGTAAAGAGATGTTCACAAGTCCCCATCAGGAATCTTCCTTTATGTTTTACTTACGTAATTTCCTTCAACTAGCTAAAACTGACAACTTTGAATACGCTGATGAATTCAAGAGCCCCTTACTTCTGGAAAACAGATTTTCGGATGTTCCTGATGTTCTCCCTTGGGAACCGCGTGAAAGATGCTCTGGGTGCTGGAAAGATCTACAATCGGTCGGTGATTTTATCGAATGTTCCAGTTGCCTTGTTGCAAGGTACTGTAGTAAGCAGTGCTCTGACACAGCAAGAGATGTTCATTCCTTTGTCTGTAACTCTATTCTTGAAGCAAATAAAGTATGCCGACCGTTGTGGCTACTGTCCAGCTCTTCAATAAAAGTAGATTGTCAACGTAAAGCTGGCAACTGTTTGTGTGTTGTTACTGCTCTATTGATTGTGCTTGCTCCAGCAGAATCTCGCGGGCGTATCTGTATATTAACTTGTCCACAGCGCAACCTTCATACTGTGCTGAAATCTGCAGATTTGTACAGTTTTGTAATGATTCATGGAGCTCCCATTAAAGAAAGCATGATGGACATCAAGGCAGCTAGTATTTTGGCAAACTTTGATCCTGAATCCGACACCGTCACTGTTTACTGGCATCGCATTTTCCCTGTCGACAAAGTACCGAATGGTTGGAACTGGGTGAACAGATCATTAGATTTGTTGGCAAAATCCTGTACAAGGGAAGGCGCGTCTTAAAAGGTGACAATGTAAAAATGGTTCAAGGATTGTCGAACTTTAAGGAAGGCTTGTTTTGACTCTTTCGATGGATGGCCACTGATGACGTGTAACGGGACCAGCTAAGAAAGAACACGAAGCTTCGGAGGACTTTACGGTCTATTGCTTTCTCCAAACAGATACTTTGACATTCTTTTGATACTTAAATACGATTCATCGCGAGAACTAAATGCGCGTATAATGACAAAACAATTGAATTGTAATCATGTAAAGCAATTGAATTTTCGCTGACACACCTGCCGTTTTTGCAGGCTCGTCAACAGAGAGGTTAAGTATCACGTTTACGTTAAACGGCAAACGCGAATTTGTACCACGTGACCAAGTTTCCTCTTTACTTGTCGTTTACTGTTCATTATTTCTACACCTAAATTAGTAGTTTCACGCAATTTCTTAGCCATGAGAATTGTTATGAGCTAGTTTTTTCTGCTCATTTTCTATTTTGAGAAATTCTCAATTTGAATCTGACGTTTGCCGTTTACGTGAAGCTCTTAAACTCTCTAACATCAAACTTGTTTTCAATATAAGGAATTTCTTCAACGTGAAAGACTCTTTCCCGTAGGGGCTCCGCACCTACGTAGCTTAAGGTACGGAAAAATGGGCAACAAATAACGTGCAACTTGTTTTGCAACATTGCTGCAAAACAAGTTGCACGTTTTTTGTTGCCCGTTTTTCCGTACCTTAACAAGTTTAACGGTGCAAGCTGTAATTCTTGCCACGTTGGTGAGACGAGGCGACATTTTCACACACCCGAGCTCCTTGCGTCTGATAAACCTTCACACGTTTTTAAACATTAACAGGGTTCGGAGTATTGTCGCCTGTATTCTAGACAAATTTTATATTTTGGACTCAGCAGTCACCCGGTGGTAGGTTAAACTAAAGTAGTCTATGCGCATCAAACACTTTAATCAGAAGCATATAAGAGGTTAATTATATGCTTCTTCTTTAATTTGTAATATTCCCTTTGTTTTTTTTGTAATCATTACTTAGCATTTTCTGTCCAATCATCTTTTACATAATTTTTGCCTCTGTGATTGTTTTATAACCCGAGCGTTGCTTGCAAAACGCAGTTTTGTTACCTATACACTCGTGTTATTGACCAAGCTTGTTCGGCTGGCTTATGTTAGCTAGGTTATTTTTTGCGTTTTTATGGACCATGACGAAGGCGAGGTCTATAAAAACACCAAAAAAAGGACAATATCCAGCCATCTTGACGGAACAAGCTTGGTCAATAAAAGGTTTATTTTATGGCCAAAAAGAGAACCTTTTCTTGCGTGACCAATGCGGGAAATCTAGATAGACCCATCTTGCCTGCTCGGGTAGCAAATAAGAACACAGGATTTGCATGATATTACCCGCTCTTTAATGATGCACAAATTTTAGCCAAATTGTGATTAACAGTTACACTGAAGATGAAGTTGAAGTCCTTCGAAACACGTTTGTAAAAATTTAAAAATTTTGTATGGTTTATGACAATTTCTGTGCTGGTCTTATGTTGCCGCGACCTTTGGGACTCTCAAGATGTTTCAGCTGTTGACGAAGACCTTGTAGGGAGTATCCATCGACAATTTTGTTCTGTTACCAAACGATTAGCAAGAATAGCAACGTAGCAAGAATTACAGCTTGCACCGTTAAACGATTATACTTAGTATTTACGTGCATCTTTTGGGTGTTGGCTCACTGGGCAATATTGGGCATGGCTGAGAGATGTTCCCGACGTCAACCGTCAAGGAAACCGAAGGTACATTTATACCATGTATACACTATACTAGATATCCCTTGCGCGGCATAAAAATCATATCGGAATTAGGGCAACTGTTTACACATAACAACACTATTTTTCAGCGGTGTCTGTAGCGGGAGGGATGCTGCTTTGCGCCGATCTTAAAATGGATCGTCATGTTTCGAATGGGGTTCTGTGCCACTCTTGTGACAGTGCGAACAGGTATTTATGCCAAGCTTGAGTATTGTTCATGTTGACATGATATGCCATCCGATACCGAGTGTTAAATTCGATTAGGTTACTTTATGTGTAAAATTTATGAGCAGTTTGTCTCAGCTGAGCAACCTTTTTTTCATGAGACCATAGTAGAGGAGACTGGTTAGGAAACTCGGCAAACATCAAAGTTAAAAAAAGTGGTGCTGTAGGTTATGTTGGAAGCTCCCTGACCGTGCACAATCCTTTGTTTTCTGTTCACAAATTATGACTGAATAAGTTAATGCGATTTTTCTATTGGTCAATAACTTCAAAATGATAGGAATGCTATTGAGCGTTGTGCACGGTCAGGTCCAAAAAAGCTAACAAAAACCTATAACAAAGGGTTTCCCAACCATTCCACTTTAATTAACTATGATGAGACGAACCAAACTTAGTGAGTCAAGTTCTTGAAAAGTTCGACGTCTGGCTCAGTTACGCCTAGGCCAGAAGTCGAACTTTTCACGAGACAAACCAAACTTAGTGATGAAAAGGACGATGTCTGGCTCAGCACGGCTCGTCTGAATGAGTTTGGATTGTCTAACACGTTGTACGTTCTACGGATAGCACGTCTGAGGATCGTCTCCGGGACAAACGTCGATCTTCACATGCGACGAACTAAACCAATAAATTAAAAATTTGTATGATAATGTATATTTAGCCTCTTTCGGGAAAAAAGAAATATTAAAATTGCATTTTGATCTGATTCTGTTGGTTTCGTCCTAAGTTCGACGTATCAGGGCCCGCGGAGCAGTTTTCAAAGTGCGTGGGCCGATCCACCCCTTTTGAAGTGTAGTGAGGGCGGGGTTTAGGGGTTGTGGACGTTTCTTCTTGGAGAGCCTATACTCGATAAACAGTAATTTTACGAATATGTCTCGCAAGGCACTATTTTTCTATATCATTTCATGTGCGATGAAAACAGCATAAATCTCGGTGCCTCTTATATTGAAAATATTCCAAATTGTTATGCATCCGAACAAGCGTAGAAGCCGTACATAGCCAAGTAATTTTTCTTTTATGATAATATTCAATTGCTCCGTTCTTTCTTACTTAACATTTATTTTACTGTTTTCATTTATCATTGTTTTGGTACTGAAATCTTCATGTCAAAGATAAAGTCAATGAAGTTGTTGTTTAAAATGGTTTACCTGGTGCCGACTCAATATTTTTTAATACAGTTAGAAAGATTCCTTTTATTAGAAAATGTGTATTTCTTAATTTAATTTTTTTTTCAAAAAGTGTGGGGCCCTGGGGTTGTCAAATTTTACAAGAATTGTGAAAATACAGGTTAAATAATATTTTGAAAACTTCATGTGTAAGATGTCATTTTGGGAAATTTGACATTTATTTTCTCTGGCTCCCATTAAAAGAATTTTCTTTGGTGTTATTACAGCTTTAACCCTTGAAAAATGTAAAAAAGAATGCAATACTCTTTAAATTATTCTGGTATAAGGTTTTTGTCCCCTGAAAATTAAAAATAATCAATTTCTTGGTGGATTCCGTGTTAATTGTTTTAACGTCACAACCACCACCGACACCACATTTCTATTGTTTTCACGCTACCACCACCACCACAAACGTCGCCTTTTAATTGTTTTCTTCCAACACCAACACCACAGTTATATTGTTTTCACGCCACCGACACACCATTTCCATTGTGTTCACGCCACCACCACCACATTTCCATTGTTTTCACGCCCCCACCAGCACCAACATTATTTTTGCATTGTTTTTACAGACAATATTACATCATACAGGCAAGTTTAGGCATGATTGTATCATCAATGAATGAACTTAGGGCCCTGAGTCGGCCTCATGGGCTATTGACTCAGAGGAGAGGCCGTGAGGGCGAGACGAATAATTTTTTTAGTAAAATCCAACTAGTTGGTCAAAAATATCGCTTCTAGTGGGCTATAACATATAGCCTAGTAGGAGCTCAACCAATCAGAACGCAGCATTGATAATAGACCACCAGTTGGAGTTTACAAAATAGATTTAGCGAAGGCCGAAAGCGAAGCTCGCGAAGGATGCTTTAGGAAATGTCTTTCTCTATTAATTATACTTTTGGCTGTAAGCAGAGAGTAAACTGAATTCTACCTTTAACAAAATTGACCTGCGCCCACGATCAATCACAAACAAACAACTGGTCAGCGGATAACTTTCAAAAATTACATTACTTCCATGAGTTGTGTACCTGAACCTGCGATGCAGTCATGCGACACTGGTCAGCGGATATCCTTTTTTGACAGCTGTCAATTGATCACAACATGTATGTCTAATACCAAGTTTTACACAGATAGTAATAAAGTGTGTTATTTGGCATCCGCTAACATGAAGGGGTGGACGTACGTACGGACGATTTCCTCAGCACCAAAATTTCTTGGAAGCATATATAGAGAATATTACACGGTGGCGAGAAGATATGAATTTTATGTTCGAGTGGCAAGAACAATATCTCACGAGTGAGCGCAGCGAACGAGTGAGATATTGCTCTTGCCACGAGAACATAAAATTCATATCTTCGAGCTAACGTGTAATATTCTTTTTATTATATAAACATGCTGATGACGGCGTTTTTGATGATTTTCTTAAGATTTCCGACCACCTTCCGAAGATTTCAGAAGATTTTTCAAATTGTCCCGAAGACCAGACGAACGTTCCCGAACATTTTCCGAGAATTTCCGAAAATTTCCGAAGATGTCCGAAGATTTCCGAAGATTGCCGAGCACTTTCGAGGAAGACCCGAAGATGTTTCGATGATACACCAACGAATTTAAGTACAATTTAAGAGACAAACCTGATGTCAGTGAAATTATCGATATCTTCACATGTAAAAATATCGTATTTTTACGTGTGTTCAGATACCACATTTCTCGTTGGTAGAAATCCTTGCAAAACACTGCAGTTTATATAATAAATTACCATATTTCTTACCCGTGGTGCTCCGCTGCGCGCGCGAGAGCTCCGCTATAATATGACGTCATAAAGTGGCTCGTGAAACAATAGAAAAGAAAACAATAGAAATGTTATGGTGATGGGAAAACAATAGCAATGTGGTGATGGTGGTGGTGGAAGGAAAAGAAGAGAAATGTGGTTGTTTTGGTGACGGTGGCGGTGGACATAAAAGAATAGAAATATGGTGTTGGTGGTGCTGAAAACAATAAAAATGCATTGGTGGGTGTCGTGGTGGTAGAAGAGAGGAAACCATGGAAATGTGGCAATAGTGGTCGTGGTGAAGGGAATAACTGAACTGTGGATGAAAATGGGGGGTTGGGATTAGCGGGATTTTATTTCTATTCAAAGTAGACAGACTGCAAATCATCTTAGTCGCTAAAAATATATATATCTACGCGTCGCAACTGTTCATGAGTAGGATGCCTAAAATGCGTGCAATTCCACAATTGGTTTCGGCTCCATTAAATCCTATACCAATTGCAGAACATTTTAGGAGGAGCCACCCACCATGTGAGCACAGTCACGGACAATGTATAAGTGAGGAAAATAACGCCAAGTAAAATTAAGACGTTAATAAACGAACTAAATGTACACGTCAATTAAATAAATAAACAAATAATGCGCCCGCTCAAAATAAAATTGTACACGCACACGTACCGAGATACAACTGAAATACAACTCTATGCAATAAATAAGTAGTGTAAGGATACGATGGTGCAATTCAAGCCTGGATTGCTAATCTCATCTCCCCGCGCAGGGCTGCACCATACTTCTCGACGATAAGACTATGGCGACTGAAGAATTTATTAAATGATTTTTGAAGTAGATTGGTTTCAAAGCCTTGCTGTCTGAGTCGTAATGAAAGACCACGGAGTCTATTGATGAAGTCAACTTTGGACGTGCAAATTCTAGCATATCTCACCAGTTGAGATATATAAACACCGTAAGCTGGATTGGCGGGAATGTTGCTGTCCATATGAGGAAAGTTGACAATCCGAAATGCAAAGTCCTCTCTCTTATCGTAGATGCTGATACGGAAAGGTGTGTTGTCGCCAGTTATTATTTTCTCTTCAAAACCACCACCAACGCATTTCTATTGTCTCCCGTGTTCTGCAACAACGTTTTCTGTTTTCACTCTACTACCACATTTCTATTTGTTTTATCTCTTCATCGCCATCTTCACCGCCACCACATTTCCATTTTTCCCTCCGCCACCACCACTTCTACCGCATTTCAATTTTTTCACGACATCACATTCAGTGACATCACATGAACAACACAGAAATGTTGAGAAAAAATTTAAGTTAAAAAAAAGTTCGGAAGATCACACCATCCGCGTAATTTAACGCTACTTTATAGCTTAAGCTTTGTCCAAATTAAGACTGAGTTGTATCGGGCAAAAATCTAACAGATGTCACGAGTATACAACCAATCAAAGATAACAAAATTTCTGATCGGTGTGAAGACTGGAAAACCATTAACGGTGAAATGCCTCATGTGATTATGGGATTTTTAAAGACGAGTCAATGTTTGTATTCGCTTCACCCATGTTCCCTGATTTGAAAAAGGTCAACTCTGTAAATACAGTGTGTTTTTTCTCGTAAACGTTCGTTCAAGTACCGCGACAAGAGGTTTAATGAACTAAAAATGCTTTTCCTGTAAAACGTAGGTTAGTCCATTAACAATTTTAAATGGTGAAAAAAGGGTAAAAAGGAAAACATCTAAGCCATGTGCAATTACTTATTTACGCTAGAAAGCAAGCTCTTTATAAAAGATACCCTACGTAACTTGTATCACCAAAAATTAAGTAATCAACACAAATTGAGACATTATACTGTTGTAAGGTGTAATAATAATATTATTCATATTAATCAATGATAGGTACAACAGATCTGTAGAGGTATTCACAATGGCTGGCGTATGGTCCACCACTGAAATGTCCATACAGATAAGTTCTTTTGAGCTCATGACATATACAAAACAGGTCAAAATGTGTGGGTCAGTGTTAACATCTTTCTTGACTTCCTTGTTGATTTAGCCATCAAAAAGTAAATCGAAGGAAAATTTGTATGTATGTCAGGGCCATTCAGAATCAAGATTTCCAGGCATTCCTTACTGACAATCCTGACACACAGATGCTATTAATAATTCAAATAATTGGGCATAAGAAAATTATAAATATAAATTAATGCCACATACAAATCTACGCTTTAAAGGTCTTCCAGTATTCACTGTGATAATCATATTTCACCAACAGCTGGTCTGACATTGTATCAAAACACTTATGTGCAGTTTTTGTGCTTCTTCACATTTGCTATATCGTGTTGCCCAAGAAGATAAATGTTATAATTAAATTTTTATCTCAAGTAATTTTTGTAATGTTTTAGGGTATGGAAATGTACGCTAATGAAGTTGAAACAAAAGAAAAAGAAAAATTACCCGAGTTAAAAAATTAACAACAACATATCGCTATGTGGGTTTTTGGTTGAAGCCCCCCTCCCCTTCAGAATTTCCAGTTTAATCTCATAATTTCCTTAAATATGTCGCCAGGCCTCCAAGACTTAATCCCCTGGGAATTTCGAATAACCATGCATGAAGTGAGTATGGATATATGTTCTGGAACCACACATTTCGATGTAGCCTGCGAAGACAGCTGTCTCTCCGTGCTCTTCCCTGCAAGGGATGTTTCTCCTGCAAAATGTCCCTAGCCGCCGGGAGAGACGGCTGTTTTCGCAGGGTAATTTTGATGTACTTTACATCTACTTATGGCCACTGCATCCTCTAAAACAAACAATGTTGTTACCTCAAAACAACAACACAACAATGTTTAACATCCACAATTTATATCCTGACCTCATACTGTACAAAAAAATGCAGCTCACATATCTGATCAAAAATATTTTGGCTAGCTCCTCAACTTTAAAATCTCATTTTACTTATCCTAACCTCAGATTTAAGCACTAGCTGAACGAATCAAGGATAATAATAATAAAAAAAACACAACAAAAATGCAAAACAAAATTATTTACTGGCAGCATAAACGTGTGAGTCTCTCAGCAGATAAATTACTTAAGTTGTGGATTCCGCACAATGTCAGCTTGAACCCATTCACCGAAGTTGACTCCAATGCTAAATTGGAGATTACATGTATTTCTCACTAAAACCCTGGTCACAACATCTTGGGACACAAGGAAATTAGGCATAAAGACATACTTTCCTAAATGAACTCATATTGTATCTCTTAAAAAAGCTTAGAAATGTTGTTCTAAGAGCCTATTTCTGCTGTCCCCCTCTCCCCTAAGCAGTGTTGATTGTCTTGAAACAAAACTTTAATGCAGAACGTCAACACTGCACTGGGGAGGAGGGGAGAGGAAAAATGCCTCATTTTGACGAGCTATAGCATTTGTGTCCCAAGAGGTTTGACCAGGGTTGTAGCTATAACTCTTAAAGCTTTGAACAAAATCCTATCATGGTGTTACCATTCAAATGAAACCTCTGTAACACACCTTCTGCATAGTACTATTTTATTTTTCAGAATTTTACAGAAGAAATTTGAATGTCTGGATTTTTCCTTGGGCTATTATCAAGAGTGAAAAGGTCAAGCAACAAACCAAGCTTTCTACTGACCAGCATAAGAAACCTTCACATGACAATAACATGCAAATGATGGAAAAGCTGACAACATCCTCGAGGTCTCACTCTCGTGACAACTCGAACATGCAATCATGATAGTAATCCAACAAAAGATTTGGTCTGGTCCTTTAATTTGTAAAATAACTTAAAGTGAAAACATACTTTTTGAGTTTTCTTTGATGTTCAGTGGTATAATTTACACAACAAGTTTTCTGCGAATCAGTATTAGTATTAGCATTAGTATCACAATTATTTCAGACATAAAAAATGCCAACCTGGTAATTGAAAATAGAAAAAGGGCAAAAGAAGGAGTGTAGAATGGTGAATTTGAGACTTTGCAAGACTGTGAGACCCAGATTTCAAACTTTGAGACCAAGACTTAAAAAAATTTGAGACTCCGAGATGCAAAATCACCCCCCCCCAAAAAGACCTCAAGACAAACACTTCTGAGATTTCGTGATCTGGCCAAAATTTGAAGAACCATTCTATACCCCTAAAAGAGGTTTAATTACCCCAGTACATGAGGCACTTAAAATACTTTGTTGCCCCAACTGCGATTATTTACTTCAATACCTAGTGAACAACCAAATCAAAAGAAAACATTAAAACTTGCATTGAAAAAATATTACTGCGACAAAGTTTTGGGGGACTACACTGTACCAAGTTAAGGAGTCAATGTTTGCAGAGAAGCTCATGTATAAAGCATAAAGAACAACATTTCCTTTAAGCTCACCAGGTTTTGACTCCACATCACAGACTCTATCTTCTTAACATTAAATCCGCAAATCCCTGTCGAGGATTGTACATGTCCAAATGCTTCAGCTGGGAGCGCCCTCAGTTTACAGCCAACTCTCTCTATAAGGGACACCTTTGGGATCGGCACTACAGTGAAACCTGTATTAAGCGGACACCCTCCGGGAATGCTGTAGTGTCCGCTTAATACAGGGCATCCGCCTAATACAGGTTTCGATAGATAACGTTATATGAGGTGTCAAATGCCATTCAAATGAACAGTGGAAACGTTTAGAATACTCCTAGAAACTATGACGATATACGTTTGCATTAATTTCTTTATTTAAGAGGTTAGTGGACCAGTTGATCAAAGTACCATAAACATAGATTGCAACTCAAATTTGAAGAAATCAGATGAGTGGAACAAGCTCTATACAAACAAAATGAAACAGAAAACATAACTGTCCTGTGAAACTAATCAAATAAGTTAGTCAAGTCACGTTTTTTAGGTAAAAAATGAAAATTTGTGGGTGGCAGTCTTTCGCATTTCCGGTGTCTGGCATGTTGGGTGGTGGAATTTAATTACAAGTGTCTGTTTAATACAGGTTGGCAACGATTGAAATGACCATTTCAGGTACTTTTTAGGTGTCCGCGTCCGCTTAATAAAGGTTTCATTTAAAGTAAATAAGGGAAATAAATTTGGGGACTTCAGCTACTGTCCGCTTAATAGAGGGTGTCCGCTTAATACGGTGTCCGCTTAATACAGGTTTCACTGTATCTGTTTGTCTAAGAGTAACGTCTGTCTTACAGAGAGACAACTCAAAGGAGAGAGGGCGGGCAGGACCAACTTTAGGTGTCCAGCGAGGTGTCCATCTTATAGAGGTGTCCGTTAAGAGAGAGTTGACAGTAAAAGAATTTTAAAAGCACATATCTTATTTTATAAAGGCCAAAACAGGATGCCTTTTGTGGAATTGAGGGTCTGTGCTACATTTGAAATCTGGTCTGACATCACTACCCTCTCAGAGCAGATATACTTTTTCAAGTCCACTAAAAATCTCACTTTAAACAGATAAATCTGATGCACTTCATATAATAATGTCTTTCTCTGTCAACAGCAAAGAATATAAACTTTGCTTCATTGTGGATCCTTCCATATTGACCACCAGGTCAATATATACTTGTTATTTATCATTATCAGAAGCCATGATATAAATAACCTACAATGTTAAGGTTTTGTTACATTTCTTTATGTAAAACCTAACTGTTTTGTGGGGCATTACAACACCACTAAAGATAGAGTAATAGATTCATAAGAGTCAACATTAGATACTTAAATCTAATAATGATTTCTTATCACAAAAGCAGTTGTTTTTTTTTAAGGTTAAAATCTTTGAACTTTCAAGTTGGTTATGGAAATATAGTACAAGGCATTCAACCCAGTGTCCTTGAAATTAATGTTTGTGATTGGAACAAAGCCAGGTTAATCCATCATATAAGCCATCACCAGATGTAGCACATGATGGCTGCACATACCAGTTTCTATCTCTTAGTTTTGCAAGATGTAATCTTTCTTGAACTTCATGTGGTTTGATAGCTGAAAAGTAAAATAATTATTACTTCAGGAATTCTGATTGACAGTCACAAACAGAAAATTACTGGTATCATTAACTGGTGCTTAGAATGCTTAGAAGCCCCACCCCCCCACCCCCCAAGTTATCGGCCTATCTACCTGTAACCTTCCCTCCCAAACATAGCCCCCTCCAAAGGTAATGAAATGAATTTCATTTACTATGAAGTTTTGCAGGTGAATTAAAAATACAGTAAACACAAAACACCTTTCGATCAGCACTGCTATAGCTTGTTTTGAAGCACTTTTTTTGTTCTGGTTGTAAGCCCCATCACATTAAGCCCCTCTGTTTATAGGCCCTCCTAAAACCCATTATAAAGTTGTACAAGCCCAGGGCTTATAAGCCACAGTTGATGATGTTGCATTTCAGATAGTCAAGTAAAACCTTAAACAGAGCCTGTAACCTCGCTTATTCAAGGAATCTTTAATTTACACAGTTTTCACAAGTTTTCATGAAATGCTGCATTAGAAAGCTTTAGCATCAACGATGGTTATGGCAGCGAAAACGTCACTTTTAAAATGAATTCGCATTTTTTCAAACTTTCTCCTGTTTATTCCATTTCACCGTAAATGTCAAATGTATGCGAATTTCCCTGGAGCTGATTTTTAGGGGACCGCACTTAAGTTTAGAAAGAAAAAGAAAAATTTGTCTTCACTTGTTTACGTCCTCCATAAACATGACATTAAGTATTTTCCTGTCATAGTCGTGCGGTGACGGCAAAGAAATGTACAAAAAAGCCTGATGCATGCGCAAAGGTGTTGTTTTGCTAATTAAACCTTTTGTGTTTTTGACATTCTCGTTGCCATCGCTCTTGCTAAAGTTCCCTATTATTGCTGGGAAGAGGTGGCCCTATTTGCACTTCAGTACAGCAGTTATTGGAGTATTGCTCCTTGGAGTATGTGCTTACAGCAGTAAGAAAGATGGAAGAACCTCTGCTGGGAGTTTAAGGCAACATGCGAACTTACGAACAATCAGAACATCTCTGAATGGCTCTTACATTTTTAATTTATATAAATGATTTACTGGCTGTTGCCACCCACATTATTGGTGAACACTGAGCAAGAAAATTACGAAGAGGTAACTTAAGGGATTCTACAACAACATAAATGTTTTCAAAATTACTAACCATCTGGTAAATCTTGTTTATTGGCAAATATCAAAATAAGGGCATCCTTCATCTCCCTGTCATTTACTATACGGTGAAGTTCTGTTCTTGCTTCATCAATACGATCAAGATCAGCACAGTCAACTACAAATATCAAGCCCTGGGTTCCATTGTAATAATGACGCCATAAAGGACGGATTTTATCTTGTCCTCCAACATCCTAAAAAATCAATATTCACTTACTGTGAAACTCACAAAACCATCAACACCAGGGCCCAGTTGTTCGAAGGCTGATTAGCACTTAACCCAGGGTTAAATTTAACCCGGGTTTCTTTTTCTTTCGTTCAAAAGAACTTTCTCGGACAATTTTCTCTGATATTCATAGAGCTCGAATCATCAACTTCTTGACAAAAAGAATTAAACTGAATTTACTTTATAAGCTTTCATATTTGAATTCAAATTTTGCACTAACCCTGGGTTATCTTAACCCAGCTTTGAACAACCCAGCCCAGAAATTAACTTCTGGAATGCGGCTATATATGACGATAAGGTAGATAAGATTAATAAATTCCTGTCATTGAATCCACTGTCATTAAGACAGTCCACATGAAGCTAGTGCTTCAAACTTGACCTTTTTCAAACTCACCTTTTTAAGAGCGAACATAACTTTAGAGAACAGTCACCAGAAAAAAAAGACACTTTGTGCGATATAACTTGGAGGATTGTAGACATACCATACTAACAAGATATGTATGAGACAAGCCTGGACAATATATTACACATACGATTTCTATGAACTATGAACTACAGCACTATAAACCACAGTATTTGCTGTATAAACCATAAACTACTGTATAAATGAAGTGTTCTTGGTGTTGCAGAAACTATAGAGCTCTTTGGTTTACAAGTACGTTTTGTTTTCCCTGTGCAGGTCATGTGATAATACTGTAGAGAACTGTTCCTCTCAAATTTTGTCTTATTTTCTCTCACTGAGAATGACTGGGAAGGAGACCGTGTCTTTATTAGTTGGCATTTTGGTCTCTCTTAAGTTAAAGTAAGATAAAAATAAGCATGAAAAAATGATTTTACACTCTGTGGAACTTTCACCCTGTCTTGAGATACCACCTTTTTATGACTGGTAACCATGCATTTAAATTTTTTTGTTGAAGAGGTGATGTTCAAAAAGGTCGAGCAAAGAACACCGTCATACCTACCCAAACATTGAATTTAACATTCTTGTATGAGACAGTCTCCACATTAAAACCTACAGTTGGTATAGTTGTGACTGATTGTCCCAACTTAAGTTTGTATAAAATTGCTAACTTTAGGTCAAGGATTTAATAAATTTACAAAAGTTACATGTTAATCGCAAACTGCTAGTTCAGGGGTTTCAAAATGTTTTGAAGTAGGTGGCCGACTATGGAAAAGTAGGCAGCTGTGACCATCGAGGGGCTGCAAGGCCCCTGAAGCTAGGGGGGTCTAGAGTAGCTGTCAACATACGGTCAAGTAGCCGGCAGCACTCTGGCAGTCGCCGGCTTGTTTTGAAACCACTGCTAGTTTTAACATCCTACATTACTAATGATGAGATCCCTAAATTAAAACTTTTATAACCTAACCTGTACTTTTTTTAAAATACTCAAAAAAGCCTTAAATTTTGCAAACTGTGTCTACAAATACGGTAAAGTGACTCTTATAAGACCCCGCTCCCCCCTCCCCCACTTAAAATACCCACCAGTCATAGGTTCATCTACCTTAAAACAAAGAAAGCATCAGATAATAAGCCCCAAACCCCCAGTCCATATCTTACTTTACCCTAATATTCTTGAGTCAATAGACTATGCAAAATCCCCCATTTTCCTCAGACATAGCAGAGGCAGCAAGTTATGCAAGCGCAAGGGAAAACAGCTACCCACAAGTAAGGTGATGTGACTCCAAGTACCCCCTTTCCTCATGGGTGGTGACTTTCATGCTACTTATGTGATTTGCCACTCTAATATCCCTTAAGAGAATGAGGGACTGGGCAGAGGGACTGCTGGGGAGAGCTGTCATTAAGTGCTGTAACCCAAAACACTTGTTATGGCTGAGCTCACTTGATGTTATGGGTTATCAAAATGGAAGGCTTAACTCATTGTCTGCCGCCAATTATTTCAATGTATTTTGCCATGTAACTTTAAAAAATCATATCTCTGGTGTTATTTACAGTTCAATATCAAGCTATACCTCATTGGAAAGGGAAAAGAATACCCTTTCGAAAAAAAAATATTTCGGTCATAGGAAACCCATAATATTCCGCCACAAAAAAATTAAAAAAGCATATTTTGCATAAAATTTTTTTAAAATTTTAAAGAATGTCATTTAGCTAGGAAACTTCTTTATTTTGGGTGATATGGTAGCAAGAAATATTTTTCATCAATATGTAAGTAAAAAAACCCGAAAATCGTTCTAAAATATGGAGCGACTAGAAATTTTCTACAAATTTTTTTCTGCACACTGTCATGATTATGCTAATTGGATTATCATAATTAGCATAATCCTTTGGCGTCACCTCGTGACCCCATGTTTACTTCACTGAGACGCTTTGTTTCCTCGATTCCCAAAAAAATATCGAGTTAGGGACAAGCAGACATGAATTTGCTGATAGAATTCATCAAAATAAGCAAGAATTTGACAGCGAAAAGCGAAGCGAAGGCAAAACGGGAAGGAAATCGTCGCCGTTTCAAGAACATGTGGCACAGAGTGGGCGATCGGCGATTTGCATGCACAGATTCTAATTGTTTCCTAACCTCGATTTTCGCGTTTATTTTGCTTGTTATCCTCCAAAATCCTTCAGAATAGTTTGTTTGAGTTGTATTTGGTTGACATTCGTCTATACAAGCTTTCATTATTCGCAAAACCGGCTCACAAAGATTCCCCGCGACTCGCCATAAAATTCAAAATTTTCGAAAACCCGGTGTGTGACGGTCAAAAGTCGACAGGGGCTGGAACTAGGCAGGTGATTGGCTAAATCTATTAACTTCCTGTGTGCCAAATTTGGGAGCAATCGGAAGTAACACAATTTTTTGCGAAATTTCTTTGGTCACCGTTCCTGAAGCTCCGATTTCGGCGACCCCGGAAGACGAAGTGTTAAGGTGACGCTTTGCGATATGTTAAATCTTCAGTTGCTACAACTGCTTCAAAACTTAATGACAGCCCTGACCGTAGTGTAGGCATCAACAGATACTTCAAAACTTTTCCAACAATTTATATTGCAGGACTCTAATAATCATTACTTATCAATATATTAAAATTATTCGCAAAACATACATAAATCATGTTACTAGGCGCAACAAGTAAAAGATACTAGTTTTTCCAGCAGCATCAAGACCCAACATCAGAATTCTCATTTCTCTATTGCCAAATATTTTTGATAATAGCTTCCCCATGTTGTCACTTTTATAGCCTAAAACACAAAGGGAAGAAAAAAAGGAAACAAAATTTAACAAAATTAATGCACCAAAACCTCCCCTAAACGGACACCAAACCATAGCCCTTGTAATTTTACCATTAAAACCCCACATTTTAAACCTCCTGGAAGCAGAAACCTCTTGTAAGAAGAGGAGGAAACCATTTTTAGACTCTCCAAATAGCAACAACAACCTTAATCTGACAGTAAAACAAGTGGAGACTAAAATCAAACGTCACTAGAGGGTCATCACGTAATAATTATTTAAAGTGGATGTAACAAGTAAAATGACACACTGGTGTAGTCCTTATGTTATATTCACCACCAGCCAGGGTGCAAAAAAAGTCAGTTATACAGCCTGTCATGTGGACAAGCTGTAGCTGGCACGCACCAGCCCCAAAAAAATTTTGACGAGCAGGATTGTTTGCATTTCTTCAGTTATTAAATACTCCCAACAAAACCTTCACTTGCCTGATGGGCAAGATAAGAACAGAATTCACTAGCCTGATAGCAAAATCCACTAGCCCTGGTCTATCGAACATTACCTTCTTTGCACGCTGACAGTCAGCTCAAATCAAGCAATTCTTGTCAGTTCCTTATGTAGTGCTTGACATTTATTAAATAAACACCAATGAAATACCAGGTGAGCTTTCGCGCGAAAAACTGATATCTTTACACGTGAAAATAACCTGTTATTTTTTCACACGTGAAAAGATCACCATTTCCATGGCTACATAATAAATTGCACCTTTTGCAGCAAAACAATATTTAAGTGAAATGGCTTGGCATTTTATTGGTGTTTACATAATAAATAAAACATCACATGGCCACTTGGAGATATGAAATTTCTCTTCTTGTGTTGAAAAATATTTCACGAGTGAGCACACTTGAAGAGAAATTTCATATCTCCGTGCAGCCATGTAATATCCTCTATTTGTCCAACCTCCCACAAGTGGATACCGTCCATTAGTAGACACTTGTGTTTGATCACATGTACAAGAGTGTCCACCAATGTGAGCTTGGACCTGATTGTTTCTCACAATGAGTGTTGTTATTTTATTATAGCACAGCTCTCGCGCGCGAATCGCACCAGCAGGGCACCATGGGTAAGAAAATGAAGTAATCTACCCATCTGAGAAAATTGGTAGTCACGTGACCGTACACTGACCAACCGACTGCCCTACCAACCGTCCCTACGCACCACATGCATACCAATGTAAAATAACTCAGTCAACAGGTATGGCAACCCAAGCGCCAGTCAAGGTTATTTTGGCGGGAAATCGCATAGCCACTGGCATCTTGTAAAGCAGAGACAACTAAAGAGTCAATAAAGACGAAAACGGAAAGTGAAAATTGTCTCTGTATTCGTTTTGTCTAAAGTATTTAGTTTAGATTAATTGTCATGTCCACAAATTTGGAATATAGAGCAGGAGAAAGACAGAGAAAAAGAGAAAGTAGGCGGCTGGCCAGCGAAGCTCAACGAGAAAAAGGGCGAGAGAGGACTAGAGTGAGAAATAAAAAACAAAGGAGACATTTTTTTGTTGCAAGAACAACAGCAAAATTTTGTAGCCGCGGTGACAAAATAGGAAATGCTAGCAGCCACCAATGCAACGTGAAAATGAGTGGCAGCGAAAAAAAAGTGAACAAGAACATGTACAACATTTCCTCCATAAAACGTGTAACTAAGAAGTTTCTGGAAGTTTCACGTTGTAGTCGTGCAAAACAACAGCAAAGAAATGTACAAAAATGCAAAGTTGCTTTTTTTGCTAATTAGACCAACTGTTGTTTTTTCACCGTTCTCCGGCATTGCCTTCACCGCTTAGCATTACACAATTTTATATATTTTTGAACAAACTATAAATATTATCGAGAGCTTCGCTTTCAGCCCTGGCTAAATCTATATATTATTTGTTAACAGTTAGTTCAAGTTAAGTAATTTTTCCAGCTCCTCGTTGCACTTGAGGTTTACCCAACCTCCCATGAGCTGACACTTCCCACTCTACTAGCTAGGTGTCAATGCCTGTGAGGTTAGACTTAACAAAACGAAAAAAAAACCAATTTGACTACATTGATGACAAGAAAGCAGCGACTGTTTGTTTGTTTGTATGTTTGCTATTTTTGCCTTTGTACTTAGAAACCCCCAGAGTTAATAGGATAAGGGATAGTGGGTACCACCCAAAATTAAATCTTGCTCCTGATGAATGGTTAATTTTCTTCAGGTGGAATTACACAACCTGGATTTCTATTTTACTATAGTTCACAATCATAACAGTCTCTTTAACTAGCTTGCACATATTTAACTTGGTGCCTACTTTGATTTTTAAGACATCACAGATGTCCTTTGTAGGGTACATGTCCTTATCAATGAAATACACTATCACTAGAAAAATTTGTCTTAAACATCCAGCTTTTTCCAGACTCTCTTAAAATTGTATCTTCTTCATTTTCAGTTTTGTCCTAATATTTAGTACATTGCTACTCATGAGGTGCAGTTGCAGTTTTCCAAAAATGTAAAAATAATAACTAACAAAAATATACAATAAAATAAGCAGTCAGAAAAGCTCATTATTTGCAGGTAAAATGACATTGTTTTACATAATAAGCATTTTTCCTTTCACCCAGATTAAACTGGAAAAGGGCAAAAATGGGCTCTTTAGGTTCTTAATACTCTATTATTATTCAAGACTGAAGAACCTATTCAGAAAAATTATTGACTTCCAAAATGCAACTTGTAGAATATTGAGTAATCTTCATTTGCAAAATGCATCCAAATACACGAGAAAATTTTGTAATGTTCAGGAAAAAAGCAATGAATTAAGCTTGACAAAAGAATTAAGCTTAAAGTGCATTAAGACTTAACTGCAATTTCAAAGGAATTCTCATCATTCCAAAACATACACACACTCTGCATTTTATTCATTGCCGGCTGCCCATTAGCCAATCTACTTCCAATATTGCAATTTTTTTAGAATAAGGAGTATGTTATCTGTCCTTCTACAGAAAGAACGAAGTCTCACAAACGGATCGATGCGATACATTTTCTGGTTTTTAGCTTAAGAAATGAGATAGGTTTTTACGGCATAGCTGCGATAAAATTTCAAATTCGTATTAGCTAATATTGATAATGAAGAGGAACCTCGGAACAGTGCATTAGATTTATAATTCTTTCGTCAAATAAAAATGTCAGTTGCAGGGAGATCTTCGCTGAAAAAATGGATTAGCACCCTAATAAAATCAGCTAGATTTCAGGCAATACACGAAATTGCTCTAGTTAGGTTGAAAAATGTATAATTTACGAATTTACATACAATCGAAACAATGTCAAACACTGCTACAGACTGTAAAAATTAACTAAACACGAGATTTGTGCGCCTCCGTGTCATATTTGATTGGGAAAAAAGGGACAGCGAAACTGAATTACAGCCTTGAAAAGCTTTATTACGAAGCTGGAAATTGTCGGCTAAAACATCTACAATTAAATGCTTTAAAGTTAAATAAAAGTATAAATAAACAAGGTTTAAATTATAAGTTTTACGATTTACACAAAGAAATGGCGTTGTCTGAACAGTGTAGCTTGCGACTAAGCGCGTTAAAAGTACTTAATACCGAGACAAAAGCATCTTAATTAAACGATAGGGTACCTTGATGCTTATTCCGCAAATCAGGGTCAGTTGTAGAAGAACAAATAGCTTTAAAGCTTTGAAAATCTCGTTACTGTACTGCAGTATGCTCCGCCATCTTAGAAAATAGAAACACACCTTGGCTAACAGCATCCTAGAGCCCAGCCTTCTTCAAGACCACGGCGAACAGCACTGTGGGTAATATTCGTACTTACGGTCACGCAACTAACAATCTTAGCTTGCGGTATATTAAAATGCTTCTAATTTCGTAGCTGTTGTAGTAAATCCTGTTGTGACCTGGGTGCTCAAAAAGAGGGAATTTATAGCGTTTTGAAATCGTATTTTCTTTAGAAAAATGCCTCCACTTTGTATAGCTCAAGTCTACACGTGATCAATATGCAGCATGGGTACTTATATCACAGGCAGCCCAAGCGCACTATGTGTAGGTTCGGGCTTCAGAGGTCATTTGGTCGGAATATATTAAAATTATTAGTGTATTATCTGATGCTAAATAAACGCAAAAATCTTAAAGATATGAAGTCTTCTTGTTTGTCTATCTGTACTAGTAGCCTTTAAGATAACGAAAATCGATTTTTCTTGAATTATTATATAATACATGTGATTCGGGCATGTATTCGAATCTACAACGCTAAGACAAAAAAAATCATGATCACGCGAAATATTGATTCAAAAAGGTCCCTTACCTTTAGTTCATAGCCACTTTGTGTCCTACGGCCGGTTTAAACGACGTTTAGTCGACTCTCTTTCCATCGAGTACTGACGATGGAAAGAAAGTCGAAAAACCAAGAAAGTCTGAATCAATATTTCGCGTGATCATGATTTTTTTTTTCTTAGTGATTCGAACATTAAGGGCCCGAATCACATGTAATAATGCAATAAATATCGACTTTCGTTATCTTAAAGGCTACTAGTACAGATAGACAAACAAGAAGACTTCATATCTTCATATTCTAGTATATTCCGACCAAATGACCTCTGAAGCCCCAACCCACACATAGTGCGCTTGGGCTGCCTGTGCTTACATGTACCAGGCGTAGTCAATCGATAAACCCATAATCGATATCAATCGATAGCAATCGATAACAATCGAAGATTGATATCGATTCCGATACCAATCGATAGAAATCGATAAAGACATGAAAGTTGTGAGATCGATTGATATCGATTTCCGATAGAAATCGATAACGATTGATTTATCGAATTTTATCGATTATTATCGATTGTTATCGATTGTTATCGGAAAAGATTGTTGTTGTTTTATAAGTTAATCATCGACACAATGTTGTCTGTATGGTTTTATTGATCTGAGTCATTCAATCATCATAGCATGCAAGAGGTTTACAATTATCAACAATATACTATTGGAACAAAAGCAATAACAAGAACATTTGGTCTTTTTATCGATCTTCAGCTTCAGCGCAGTTCATAGTACAGGAAGAAGAAGAACAAGTTGCAGCCAAAGTAGCGGTGTGCAACCCTCGGCTAGTCTCGATATAGCAACACCAGAAAGATGAAGCAGAATAAACAACAAAATTTTATTATGCACAGTGAAATAACAGCTTCTGCCGAACCAAGTACGGTACCTTCTGCTTAAAGATGGCAGCGATCTGGAGGGCTCCAATGTCCATGCATATATCGCATTGAACTGGCCGATTCACAACGCGAGATTGCCACAAAAGACATACAGGAAGCAGTAGATAACGCTGGAATGAGTGGACATTTTAAAACGCCAGAAAACCAAGTGGGATGAACACTCCGCCTTAACTAGATAATGAAATCGATAATAAAATGCTTTCCTTAAACGCCTTTCTCGTATATTCGTTTACTAAATAGCAACGCCAGTCTTCAGTAATGTGTTTGAAATAAATACTCTTTTGGATTATCGACTGTTATCGGTAATTATCGATTATCGGTTGGTATCGATTTTTGCCAATCGATAAAAATCGATAATTTTTTTTTTTGTCAGTTCGATTGTTATCGTGTTCACTCACTGACTCTTTTCAACATCTTTCTGGAGAGAACTATAACTGACGCACTGGAAGATCACAAAGGAACAGTCAGCATCGGAGGCAGAGCAATTACCAACGTACGTTTTGCTGATGACATTGATGGCCTGGCAGGATAAGAGGAGGAACTCAGGGGCACCCAACGAGGATATAGTTCAAAACCACTTAACATAGCATTGTTGAACGTATTTTAGTATTCAAACGGTAGATATAGGCATATTTTTATCCCCTAAAAACTTTTCATCTGTTCGGATTTCCTAGCTGAAAGTCTAGTGATCCGAAAATTATAGGGATAAAAGCTTACCTTCTCGAAAATTTCAGCCAGGAAAAGGCTCCCGAAAATTCTAGGTGGCCTTTTTTAGGGTCAAAATCCGTTAAAAATGGGTAATTATACCATTTTGTAGATGTTCGAAAATTCTAGGAAAGGCAGGTAAGCAAGAAATTTTACAACAAATGCTCCGAAAATTCTAGATCTCAAATCGTCTTCCTAACAGATATTTTCCCGAAAATTGCCGTTGGGTGCCCCTGAGGAGGAACTAGCCTCCCTGGTGGATCGCCTGGGCCTTTGGCATGGAAAATAGTGCAGAGAAATCCAAACTGACGACGAACAACGTTGGATGAGGTTGAGAGCTTCAAGTATCTGGGCGCAGTCGTCACAGATCAGGGATCCAGGCCTGAAGTACTGTCCAGAATTGCACAGACAACAGCAGCACCAGCGAGAATGAAGACCATCTGGAACGATAATCATATCTCTCTAAGTTCAAAGATCAGACTAATGCGCTCCCTGGTTATCTCAGTACTGTTGTGCGCCTGCGAAATCTGGACATTGATAGCGGACATCCTGAAGAAATTGCAGGCCACTGAGATGTAGACTGTTCACAGCCCTCTATTTTCCCGTAAGATCGTCGAGATCTATGGCTTTGCGTTACGGGCTACCATCTTCCATGAGTGTCAAAACTACTTAGGGGGCGGGGGCGGTTTAGGAGGAAATAATTGTAATCCCCGATGCCCGCCCCCTGGGTGCGTTTAAAAATCAAGATGGCCGTCATTAAAGGTAAGACGTACTATATCTCGACGATCTCACGAAAAAATCGGGGACTGTGAACAGTCTAACTGAGATGAGATGCTTTAGAAAACTGCTTGGCATCTCATACAGAGACCACATCACCAACGATGCAGTCAGAAACGACAAGTTAAAGTGGTTTGGGCATGTATCAAGATCGGCATGGCTTGCCAAGACAATTTTGCAAGGAACAGTGCATGGAGGGAGAAGAAGGGACCGACAAAAGGTTGAAGTTTTGCAACACCGTAAGAAAATCTGAAAACAAAATCAAATAACATTCAATTTTAGTTATCTAATTTTGTAATTTTAGATGCTAGATATTTTATATTTTTACATTTCTATGTACATATTTCTTTCTTTCTTTCTTAATATTGATTTGTGGAAAACCTGCAACATAGCTTTAGCTAAGTGTTTCTCCCACGTTAAATAAAGATTATGTTATGTTATGTAAATGGTGGGACCGGAAAGCCGAAATCCATCTAGAAGAAGGGAGACTCCGAAATGGTGTAGCAATTGTGCTAGAACAAAAACATCTTTATTGGTATCTGGACTGAAGAACCTTGCGAAAGGCAGGGAAATTGAAAGAACTGACATATGGGCAGTTACCGCTGGAACATCTTAGGTAAGGGAAGGTACGATGGAAAAACTTCGGTGGAGCATCCACTCAGGAGAATCAGGAAGACTCTGTGAATACTGTCATAATCCGCCTCATGGCAACCCTATTTAACATCACGATCATACAGGCGTTACGCCTTAACTTTGGACAATGACGACGATGCAGTTGAGGACCGGTCTGTGACCATCAGCAGGAAGTCGTGAACCAATCCCCCAGAAAAGGCATTCTTGTTGTGCTTGTTGACGAATGGAATACCTAAGTAGGAGAGGATGCTCTTAAGAACTGGGAAGGCACCTGTGGTAGCCTGAGAAAGCAGCCGACATTTCGCATCGCCACCTTTGGTCCCCCAAAATGACGTCTGAGAAATGACTGCAGAAATTCCATACAGGTGACCTGTCACTACCTAGATCTGGATAGCGCCTCTGATACACTTACACCGATCTTTAAGAAAGACGATGCGACAGAGATAGGAAATTACAGGCCAATATCGCTACCCAGTATTCCGAGCAAAATCCTAGGATCAGAGGTGAAAGACTCACTGGTGCATAACGTAAGAAACATGGGTTAGCTTCATACAGACAATGGGCTTATCGATAGGGGTACTCGACTGAACTCCTGCTTGTTCATCTCACTGAAACATGGAGAAAAGCTGTTGATTCGGGTCTCACAGTGGCTGTTGCAAAGCGTTTGATAGTGTCTCAAATCCGGTCTTGTTGGAAAAATTACTCAAGAACTTTGGCATTTGTGATCAAGCACTGGGTTGGATTGCTAGTTACTTAATGGAAATAACTCTGACACCATGCCTGTATCCGTCGGTATACCACAGGGATTGGTGCTCAGCCCTACACTGTTCTCTTAATTTAATTTACCAACGATCTACCGTCATGTGTGAAATCAGGCTCCGTTTACTTATTCGCTGACTACACTACGATCTACTGCATTAAACTTACGGCAGATGAAGTGGTCGTTGGACAAAGCTTTAGACGAAATGTATGATTGGTGTATTCTAAATCGCCTTACCCAACATCCGGAGAAAAGCGAGGCAAATTTGTAAAACCGGTACTATGGGGCCAGTGGCGCCAATCCACATTGGCACTGACGCCATAGCGTGGGTTAACAAATCTCGCTTACTAGGTACAACAGTTGACGATAAACTCTCCTGGGTGCCCCACATGTTGGATGTCAAGAAGAGTTCCGCAAAGAAGCTAGACCTAATCAGGAGATCCAGGTTTTTACCAAAGGATGTTGTTATTTATTACATATTGCCATCAGTAACTTACGGCCTCGTTCTGTGCTGATGTGTTCGATTCGTTGGAACGATTGTACTGTAGGGCGGCAAAGCTTATTTTCAAATTACTAAATGATGAGATCGTTGGACGTGTTAACACAAGTTGATTGGCGTCCGTTGAGCTATAGTTATAAGCTAGTTCTGTTAAAACATACGTGTAAAGCATTTCATGATGAGCTCCCACAAGTGCCATCAGATAATATTGTAATGAAACGCTCTACAGGTTACTCTTTACGAGCGCCAGACTCTCAAACGGAGCCTCGTTTCAGCTCTACCTATGGCAAAAACTCTATCGCTCATAGAGGCCACGTACTATGGAATGCTTTAATTTTTAAGCTGGACAAGAATTTTTGAAACATAAGTTATAAAGACCTGAAGAGGAAAACCAGTTCAATGGACAATTTTAAAGAGTTGACTTTTAAGACTACTTCTACAACAACTACAAATTTTAGACGTAAAGATTTTAATTATATTTAGGGGATTTTAGAGTTTTTAATGATGTACATATATAGTTTAGTCAGAGTTTTTAACAATTAGCTTTTAGATAGTCCGATTTTGTGTTATTTTATTATGTATATATATTTCGTTCTTTGCATAGCTTTTAATATCATCGTGCTAAAATAAAGGTTGTCTGTCTGTCTGATTGGTTGAGGCAAATTTCCCTCGCACCCCAACCAATCAGAAGCACTACCCAGATCTGGGTAATTCACGTCACCAGCAGAGAATTTCTGCAGTCGTTCCTCAGACGTCATTTTGCGAGGAAACCAGTGATGGCGTCGCGAAATGTAGGCTGCTTTCTCAGACAAACGAGAGGTTCTAGGCTTCTGGAATGTGCTTGTTGAAAATCTCGTGTTGGTGAGTTCACCTGGCAGAGGCATATATAAAGCATCCAGAACAAAAATCATGGCTCAGCCCAAATGGAGAATACTACATCAGGCGCTTCCAAACACGAAACTTCCCAGTTGCTGATGTCGAAGGCGACCATGAGTTATAGTAATGATAAACTTCCAGTTCCATTTGAAGAAGAGATATAATGCAGGGCTCCCACAAGTATTAGTTCCATCTCGAAAAGCGTAAAGACCCTGAAGTGGCAGAATTATCCCTAGTAATGATTGTAGGAAGATTTGCACCACTCACCGGCACTTACCATGCTCGATGTAGATGACACAGAAGTGGACACACTAATGAACACCTTTCATGCAACAATGACTGAAACAGCTAGGGCATTCGAAATAGGTGGACAGAATACTGCGCAAAACTGTGCAACCATGTATACGAAGGTGACCCAGAGGTACTGAATGTCCAACTAGGAGCCAACACTGGTAACTACCCAATCTTGCAGGAGGAGGTCGAAGCAGTGATATGGGACAATATCCCACGGTAGGTAGCATAAGCACGACGAGATACCGTTATTAGCGCCTTACATAAAATCAGTAATGAGATCTGGCATCCTGAGTCAATCTGAACACAGTCATAGAGAACCCCTACAACAAAGCCACCGGTGCTGTCTACCTTACTGGCCGTATAAGAAGACTGGTTCAGAACGATGTTCCGGAGTCAGACAAGGCTGTTTGCCCTTACCGAATCTTTTCAATATCTTTCTGAAGAGAAGTATGATTAACGCACTGGAAGATCACAAAGGAACAGTCAGGCTCGAAGGCAGAACAATGACAAACTTGCGTTTTGCGGTTCACATGATGGCTATCGGTGATCGCGTCTCTTAAGGTTTTCAGGGTTCGTACAGATATTGGATCCCAAATTCAAGATTGTTTCCAGTCTCAAGGTTATCAAATAGGTGATCAATAGAGACCTTAAAAACGCAGGAACAAAGCTTTTTTCATGATGGCGTTGCAAACTTACAGGTGAAATCGAATAAGATTTTACCAAAAGGAAAAAAAAATTCACTTGCAAAGCAGATTTTTTCAAGGTTTGGAAAATTGCCGGGCAAATTTCAAGACTATTTCAAGAATTCAAGACGCTGTAGGAACCTTGGGTTTTCCATAAATGATCGGTTCCATAACTGGAGAGCTTGCTCGCAAGCTAAAAATCTTTCGAAATTTTCAACAACAAGCAGAGTGACTGTTTAGAGACGAAACTTTATTGACCAGTGAGACTCTATCAGAAAATAAAGTTTACTTGACCTCGAATAAGAAAGGAACATCTGAGTGTGCTAATTCGAGGAAACATGGTTTACTAAATTAATTTAATATTCTGTATTACGAATACATGCTAACCAACAGTCTACCAATAAAATAATTATACATATAGAATGACTGGCGTACAATTCAACACGGGGCTTGTTCTAAGTGTAGGAATTTGGGATTATTCTATGTTCTTTTAGTCCGTACACGAAAAATACCATATTAGTTACCATATTAAAGGCCATTTTTAAAAAGAAATGAACTAAGACGTAATTAAAAATAGTATCAAGCACACAATCTACCAGAGATTTACCTCGCAAATTTTTTTTTTGACTTTATGTCTATCTAAAAATATGAGACAGCCCTGAAAATTATCGAGTTGCCCAACACCAAAAATTTCATAAAAAATGTTCTTATGCTTTGTGCATTCCACAAGCATTTATTTTTTAAATTAGAAACTAGCATTTAAGCATATTTCAAGATACAGTACTGGGAAGAAATTTTGTTATGTGTGACTAATCCAATAATATTATTTTGAAAATTTTCACCTTTTGTGAGGCGTTAATTGTCTTATTAATGTTATTGTCCAAAAGTTGTACAGTGCTTTTCACTGGCAAAATTTCTATCCAGCAAACAAGTAATTTGTCCTGGAAATAGCTTTATCTACCTTATAAAGCAGATGAGGTCTGATGAATAAGGATGAATTTACAATATTTATAATACAACAATCGGAAAGTCAAATCAAATTACACTTCAATTTTATCCAGCAATGTTCTGACAAAACAAAATCAAGGTTAAGAGTACCTAAAGTACTAAATAAAAATACAAAATATTTTAAACAAGCAAAAACAGGTACCTTAATATAATACAATTATAATTCTGGCAACACATAAAAGCAAACCCCCGTTCACTGTGACAAAATCCAAAATGGGCCCTTAATTTTTGTTTTCTATAAAAAAACTCAATCATTTTCTTCCAAGTAGACAGATAACTACCTTTTACTAAAGGCCTGGGGCTTGACTTAAGAAACCATTTTTAGTAAAGATATCCTGTATCCTAATAAGGTTTGATTAACACTCCTGACCAATGCTGAAAAAAAATTGTGATAAAATATTATCTGAACCTAAAAGTCTTCAGGTATCTACTCCCTGGACAGTTAATCATTAGTTGTAGTTTGAGAAATGAATTTTAATGATTAAAATAAAGTATTTGTTGTGGTTGAATTTTTTCCTTGGATGAAATTTTACATTTCCCTTGTTTTTAAACTGCATTGTCATAAATTAACATTCCTCCTAAAAAAGCAATAAAATTTACCAAGGATAAAACTGAACAACAACATACAGCTATTTCAACCAAACTTGACTGATTTAATGCCTCCCATCAAATGCAGAACGACAACAAAGTCATGTGGCTGGCTGAAAATCCTCTTATAGTTCAGTTATAACTTTGCAGTGTTTTCATGCTACTTATGGATAAAATACAGCAAAAGTTTGACTTTGGATTTTATGACTGATGGGTTGCTGGTCAACTATTATTATTATTAAATTGCCCATATTGCAACGAAGTCACGTTGTGTAGGCTTTCCAACAATGTTAATTAAAAAAGCTGTATACATGTAGATTTCCACAGGAACACCAAACAGTAATGTGGATGCAAGTTGTCCCAAAGGCATTAGCCTACATGTAGCTGCACCCTCACCCCGATGAAGGAGAAACGGAGAGAGGGAGTCCCTCTCTCTGTTTTTCCTTCGTCGGGGGGAGGGTGCGGCTACACAAAGGCTACAAAGGCATTTCCAAACTAATTAGCACTGAATGACTTACACCTTAAGTTTTGTCTGGAAAACAACCAGCTTTCAGGTGCTTTGGGAGTGACTCACTACTCTAAAATAATGTCATTGGCATTAGTAAATGCCAAAAAATTAATAATAGAATGCTCTGCAACAGCCTACACAATGTACATAGATAAAAAATATGCACACACTCTGCTAGAGCCAGCATCGCGGACATAATCTAACATCGTGCTTGTAATAGTAACAACTGTTAAGCAGTGCCAAGATCCCTATTCTGGGCCCCCAACAGACTGAATTACCAGATTTGCATTTTAAATTGCCCATTAACCTGATTGGCCAATTGAACAATGACTTTTTAAACAAACCAATCATGGGATGTACTCAAGTCCTGGTACACAGCTAGGGGCCAACAACAAGGATTTAGGCCCTAGCTTGCAGACAGACTTAACCCTTAAAGCCCCAGTATCTACATACAAATTCTCCAAACTGATCTCTATACATTTCCTTACAGAATGAGTTAAGAGAATTTGATAAACGATCAAGGCATTTTTACTTGGGTGATTATTTTAATAATTCTCATAACTTATCTGTTGACAATATTTGGATATTGTTAGGAGAAAATGGATCTTGGTCACTATTGGGACTGAAAGGGTTAACAGCCAATAACCAGATGTTAGTTTTGACTGTGGCGCACACTACCTCCACTACATCAACTTTGAAAATATATTTAACCATGTACTGCTTCTAATACAGTTTCACAACTTCAGAGAGAGCAAATCCTTTACTTTTTCCAGTAACATTCCAACAGCTGCACACCTCATAAAAAAGTATGTAATAAAAATGCAAAAAAAAGTAGCAGCAATATCAAGTCCATTTCAGGATAAAACTGCTGTGAGTTTCAATAATGTTCAAATAATGCTGTTGGACCAACCATAAAAAACTATTGAATTATTGTGGAAAATTTAATTACTAAAGCTGAGCATCATGTGCGGTGATTGGAGCTAAGCCATTGTAATCCTTGATATAAGCCATCTCCTGTTGTTGCACATGACGGCTGCACATACCAGTTCCTATCACGGATTCTTGTAAGACCAAGTTTTTCTTGCACTTCATGTGGTTTCATTGCTGCAAAATGAAAAAAGTAAAAAATAATATTATTAATTGACTGATAAAATCATCCTCCGGGCTACAGTCACAATAATTATTGTTTACTTGAGAGAATCCAAGATAAGAATCTTGATCTCAGATTTGTTAGATTCATTATGTCATGTAAGGAAGCAAAAATTATCTAATACTACATGTACTTACTGGCTATGAATAGTCTACTCCAGTAACCATAAAAAAGAAAACGTAATGCTGGGTATCAAACCCAGTACCTCTTCTCCGGAGGTCAAAGTGTGAAAGCTATGATTGAAAATTGATACAATGTGCAACATGTTTGCACGTATTATATGCAGCCTAAGCCATTGATTGAGCAGTTAATTATTCTACTGAAAAAAAAATGTTATTTTGGCCTCTATTTTTTGGTAAGAGTATCCAAAACACCCTGATTCTGTCTACCATAGTTGCTCCATTTACATCCAATCCGCCGGTATTTGCCCTTTTGCAAACTGGTTAGACCAGGACACTACAGTGCAGTGTATTATGGCCTCATATTTTGCACGTTCTCTTGACCTTATATGGTAAAATGAGATAATAGTGGAATAATAATACTTTATAAGCAAGTTTATTCCTTTTCCTTGGCCAGTGCATCAATAGTAAGCAAATAAACCCTTCACTGCTAAGAATTAATGAATTAATATACATCATTACTCAAACACTAGCAACTCAAAAATGCAATAATATCCATCTTACAGAGCAGATTAAGAGCCAAAGAATCCAAATGAAAGCCTTGCACCTGATAAATTGATAAGTAAAGTGCCAAAAAAATTGAAAATTACTATTTGAAAGTAAGCAAGGCAATCTTTTCAATCACAGTGAGATGTGCCAGAACATACAATGTGTGCTACTTTTTACGCTCATCTTTCCTCATTAACTTTACAATAAGATAAGTAAAGAAAATTGATGCAGAGAAATGCATGTTTACCAAAACAAACAGAAGCCATGGCAAATTTGGTCATTTTTTATTTCAGCAACGCTATAAAAGAGATAATGGAAACAAATCTGTCCCACAATCTTCTATAAGAAAACATCAACTAAAACTGTTACACATAAACAATTACAGGGTCATTTTATAATTGAAAACATCAACTAAAACTGTGGTGATGCTGGTAATAGTATAATAGGAAATTAAACAATTAGGGACAGGGTCATTTGGAAATGGCTGATGGTATTTTACCCCTAGTTAAAACATGGATTGTCTCCTCTTAAAATCCAATAAAACCTTGTTCTATTGCTTGACAAAATTTGTTGTATACAACCAATATCAAAATCACAGAACTCATGCCTTTCACTGAAAACGAATGTGAAAACCGAACATTTCTTGTTTCAATGGAGTGGTGACAATGCAAAATGAGGGTAAATTGAAATTATTTGTCACAAAGCATATGAAATTTTCAACAAAGACAACCCATTCCTACACATTACTTGCCGGAAATGCTTAGATAAATCCTCAAAGAAAATTTCTTCCACTTCAGTGGGAAGCACTACCTACAAAACCATGGAACTGCAATGGGCACAAAGACAGCAGTTTTGATTCCTTTGCCAATGTTTTCATGACATATATTGAAACAACGACTCTAAGCAAAATTGTCTTTAGAACAGCAGTTTGGAAATGCCACATACACGATATCTTTTCCCCATGGGACATGAGTAAACCAGACATCGAAGCCTTCATTGAACAAGCAAGCTTACATCACCCAACTATTGAATTCATGGCCGAAACATTTGACACTGAGACTGCGTTCTTAGACATGGTTGTATACAAAGGCACAAGATTCAAGGAAAAATCTATCCTTGATACAAAGACACATTTTAAACAAACGGAAAGCTTCTTGCACACACATTTGACCTCGTGTCACCCTCCAAATGTTAAAAAAAGAATTTGTCAAAGGAGAATCCTTAAGAATCCTACGAAAAAACTCCTCAGAAACAACCTTTGAGGAAAATAATTCAAATTTAAAAAAAAAACGCTTGACGGACGGAGGCTACCCACAATCTTTCAGGGGCACCCAACGTCAATTTTCGGAAAATATCTGTTCGAAAGACGATTTGAGATCTAGAATTTTTGAAACATTTGTTGTAAAACTTCTTGCTTGTCTGCCCCTCCTAGGATTCTCGAACATCTAAAAAAACGGTATAATTGCCCATTTTTAACGGATTTTTACCCTAAAAAGGTCACCTAGAATTTTCGGGAGTCTTTTTTCTGGCTGAAATTTTCGACAAAGTAAGTTTTGATCCCTATAATTTTCGTATCACTAGACTTTCAGGTAGGAGATCCGAACAGATGGAAAATTTTTAGGGGATAAAAATATGCCTATATCTACTGTTTAAATTGGTTTTGAACTATATTCTCGTTGGGTGCTCCCTATCTTTGATAGAAAACCTACTATCAGAAATAAAATTTACAAAAGGGAGTCTAAACTCCTAAAACAAAACAACAAGGAGAAAAAAGAAATATTGCCATTCGTGACACAATACCAGCCCTCAGTGTCTACTATAAAGGAAGCTTGAATGAAAACATGGAATCTTATACAAAACCAACTATAACTTCAATAAATTTTTAAAGGACCACCAATCATTTCCTTACAAAAAAAGAAAATTGTTTAAGGACATGCTCGTTAGAGCAAAAAAAAAAAGGTTAACAGAGGGTTCCACGCCCGTATAGATGTGCGGCCTGTCAACCTTTGTATTTTCTCGCACAACAGGTTTGTGAGTATTTTAGCAATAATTCCAGTTGGCTGTGTTTTATATAACAAGTGTAGTCAACCGTCTCGTTAGTAGTTAGTAAAAAATAGGGTGACCCACCCCCTAAGGGTAGCTGAAAATTGCACGATCCACCCCTTGCACAAGGCTCAAAACCTCATGACCCACCCCCTCTCTGCTCCGGCCCACCATCCCCCCATACTTTTTGACCAGTCCCTTATCTGATGCTACAGGATGTACCTATTGCTTTAAATGTACATTTTGTAGTTGTTTTCAATGGTTATAGTAGATTTACAAAAAAATCAACAACACCAAGGACACAGTGTGGCTGAGTGGTCAGCACACTGGACTCACAATTCCGCGGTCTTGGGTTCTAGTCACGCTCTGGTGACTTGCAGGATTTGTTCTTGGTCGTCCTGAGTTCAAATCCTCAGCCACACTTGTAAATAGCCAACTGTCACCTGACAGTTGGGGTTTTTAATCCTGTTATGTTACATTTGAATTATTTGTTTCTAAGTATTTGAGTGGAGTGCCTGTAAACTAGCTGGATAAGGTACATGTCCACTATAAACAAGCCTTTAAACCTTTTTAACCAAGAGTCTTGATGAAATAACAACACATTAAGGTCTGTTATAGCCCACTACTGAAAATCCTCTATCATGTAGTGAAACCTCAATATAACAAACTCTTATATAACGAGGTCCTTGGTATAACAAACTTCGTCATAGTGAACAAAATTTTGCCAGTCCCTTGGCCCTTTGTTATATTAGTGAGGTTCCACTGTAACTCTACTTCAAGCAAGGTTGAGCGGGGGGGTGGGGGTTGGGGGTGTTAATTGAGAGCGGGCTTAATTAATTTAGCAAAATGCATTACCAAAAAAAGCACAAATGTGCATTTTTTAATGCGCTACATGTCTAATGAGTCCAATTATACCTACCATCAGGTAGATCCTGTTTGTTTGCAAATATTAAGATAATGGCCTCTTTCATGAGTCTGTCGTTTATAATTCTGTGGAGCTCTTGTCTTGCCTCATCAATTCTATCACGGTCGGCACAATCAACTACAAATATCAAGCCCTGGGTCCCAGCATAGTAATGCCGCCAAAGAGGGCGAATCTTATCTTGTCCGCCAACATCCTAAAAGACAAACAATACTATTTCTCAAATGCCAAAATACAGCTTTTTCCTTTAATAGTTACAATCTACATGGCTACGAACTTCTTATACACAGGAAGTTTTCTATTTAATGTCAGTTGCAGGACCTAAAAAGCTTACTAAATTAACGTCTTGCACGTTATGAGATTGGTCACAGTCAAAGTTTCGAATTCTGAAAGAGTGTTCAACCCATTTTGCTCCTGAATTTACAATGACCATCTACAACTGACAGTGAAATGTGGTATCAACTGATTTGGTTCATTGCAAGTTAAAATAGATAATGTCAAGAGCTGACAAGTAGACTGCTGGCCAATCATCAGGGCATTGACCAAGTGCTAGAAGTTTAAGACATCAGACACTGCAAGCTTGTGAAACAATACAGAGAAACCACTTGCCTGTGGCTTAGTTCCTCTTGAGTTTTGAACATTAGACCTTTGAAAATTGTTGTCTACTTGTCAAGTTATCGCTCCGAACAAATGTATGAGTTAACAATATTATTTAATAGATTCAAGATAAAACATTATAATAGAACATACCCAAACATTGAATTTAACATTCTTGTAGGACACTGTTTCCACATTAAAACCTACAGTTGGTATAGTTGTGACTGACTGCCCAAGTTTAAGCTTGTACAATACAGCTGCTTGGTGTTAAGGGTCAACAAATAATTTTTTGAAAACTCTATGTATGTAAATGCACCTTTGTAACAAGGAACATTGCAGAAACTTATTTACAGTCACAGGAAAGTTACAGATCCTGCTCATCAAAAATGTTATCAGGATAGTTAGAATATCTCTTGGGCTAGTACATACTAGCTACAGAATACCCAAATACATGTAACAACAGGGGTTTCAATAAAAATTGAAGTAGCCAGCAGGTTTGAATAGAGTAACCTACTGTATCAAATAGGGGCCATTAGCACCCGTTTATTAGGGGGTAGGGGGGAGGGGCGCGTTCTGCCCCAGAAAAACTTTGAAATTCCAAAGCCCTAAAATGCGATTTTCAGAAGAGCGTGTTTTTCATTGAAGAAAAAGTAGCTCTCAATTTATCAGTCACACAATCAATTCCTAGAGGCAATGGACAAATGATGAAAATTAAGTACTTTTCCGCGTAAACAAATTCTGCATAAACCAAGGAAAAAACTTGTAAAAAAATGACTGAAATATGGCATTCACAAGACTAAAGCATGAAGTAAAACCAGTGGGCCTTTATGAAAACACATCATAATTACGTCTTCATTCATATGTTATGATATATTTTTTGTTTACAACATTATTCAAACTAGCTGCTGCTTCTTTCTAGAAAAAAGTAGCTGACCTTAATGAGCAAAGTAGCTGACGCGTTTCGTCGGAAGTCAGTGCTTATTGAAACCCCTGTACCAAGTAGCAAAACTGACTTTTTAGCATCCTGATAATGCAAACTGTGTTTTCCATTTTTAACCCTAAGTTTACAGCTGTTATAAACCTTCGTCTAAGCAAATATATATTTAGTAATAATGTGTCTAGTTTTTTCCAAACTGCACTAAGAAATGAGGACATCTGGGATCAACAGTAGGAAATGTACGATGTACATGAACATTGATGAAAAAGATAAACGTGTTGGATGAAACTTACATTTTCATCCCTATAAAAGAGATCTTTTGAGCTTTATGTTTTGCTTTCCTAGTGTAGGCCATGTGATATGCTTGAGGGAATTCCTCTTTGTCTTTTTATATTTTACATGTACATACATGTATGCATGTGAATCAGACAAATAATATCAAATATGAAATATCACATGTAAAGAGGAAAAACAAGGGACAAGCTCTAAGAGATCAAAGAGAAATAAGGAAATTGAACACTTAGGAGATTCTTCTGTTTTTTTTTTTCATTTCCTCAGCCCCCATGCAGCCCTTGGTGGTCAGCAGTCAGCGATTTTTTTAAGCTGCTCAGTCAATCTTGTCAAAGGTCCATAATTAGTTTAAATATAATGTGCCCTTCTCCATTCTCAATTTTCTTGCTTACCTTATGTACACATAGTTTAAACAACCTTCCATTAATTAATATTGTATAACTGAGGTATTATCCATAGAATAGAGTAAAAAATAAATTACAAGTAACAAAATATTGTCCATTGCAATGTACTTAACCTCACCAGTTTAAATACATTGCACGTTGTAGTTCATTTTTCCCTTGGTTCAATTTTTATTTTCCTTTCTTTTATAAACTCATTATCAACAAAACCACTCCCACAGCGAAGGAAAATAAAATTTTAACCAAGGATAAAACTGAACTATGACATAACTATACACCAGGGCTTGAAATAAGTCCTGTCCAGTAGTCCAGGACAAGTAGAGTTTCCCGTTGAGCAAGTAACTTTTAAAGCTTACTTGCTAAAAGGGCAAAGGTCCAGACAATTCAACCTCCAACAAAATCATTAACTTTGATGAGTAACGAGTGGCCTTGGGCAAGCAAAATGTGAAAGCTGCTTACCCAAAAGAACAAGCTGGAATTCAAGTTCTTTTTGAGCCCTGATACATAGGCCACTTGCACTAAGAGGTCATGTGACCAATGCTTCCTTGAAACAATGAGTTGGAATCTTGCTGATGCCAAAAATTGATAGAGAACATAAAAATTATCTTACACCCGAAATTTGAGAGGAAACGCATTTAAGGGAGATATTTTATGGCACTTTGATTTTGCCACAAAGTAGTATGATTTGTATACGCCGCCATATTGGAGGGTATACTTTTGCCCTCCAATATGGCGGCCAATACTTTCTGCTTGTGACTTGTTAAATATTTGCTAGTTATGCTCAAATGTGTTGTAAACGTAACTACATCATCTTTTCAACATTTTCTCTGACGTTTAAGTGCAAAATTTGTGTTCAGAAAGAGGTAATTGACAATTTTAAACATAACATTTTCATCACATGACCGGCTACGAATTTACTCATTTTAAGAAAATGGTACAGGTTTGAAAAACCAAATCCAGGGTTGTCATTAAGAGCTGGGGCCGGGGATTTCCCCGGCTACTAAGAGAGTGGCCCCTGGCTACTTTTATTGGAAAATAGAAGAAAAATAGAACCAAAAGAAATCTCTAGCCGTTTGATTCCCCGCCTACTTGTTGTGTTTACCCGGCAACTTGAAATCTTAGTGACAACCCTGCAAATCACTATTATTTTGTTTAAGATATGACCCACTTATCGAATTTCGAAGGAAAAATCATATAACTTCCATTTTCTTAAAAACGATGTCACTTGGCCTCTTAGTGCAAATGGCCTATTCAATGTCAAACAAAATTGTTAACCCTTTAAGCCCTAAGAGTGATCAGCATCAAATTTCTCCTTGTAATATCAATGCTTTGTAAAACAGCGTGGTCGTGAGAATTACAGATAATCACACAAGATGAATTTGATTGATATTTTATCAACTTCTCTTCACTACTTCTGTAGGAAATGAATTAGGGTAACAAATGAGAATTCAATTTTTGATCTCAGGGTTTAAAGGGTTAACCTTGATGAGCAAGGAGTGGCCTTAGAGAGCAAAATGTGAAAGTTGCTTACCCAAAGGACAAGCTAGAATTCAAGTTCTTTTTGAGTCCTGATACATTGTAGGTACTTGTAAGCTCAGTCACTAGGTTAAGCTAGGTTACATATCCGACTAATATCCTGTGGTGGTAAATATGGAACTGGAAAAGTACCAACTAAAGAAAATAATTCACATGAACTTAAAACTCTACACTGCCAACAGCAGAGTGGAATATAATCCTCATAGCTCTTTGTACACCTATTAGACTTACGACATTACCTGGAAATCTTTAAGAGGAATTTAACTGTCAGAAAATATAAAAACTATTTACACAGTGCAGGTGTTACAGATTCATAACCCCACTGTGCATGTGTTTACTCAAATTTAAAAACCAAGGCCCTTATTCTAAGTGCAAAACAGAAGATTTTTGTTTGTATTATCTAGAATGGAACTGAAAGGAGATTTTTTCCACCATGTTCTATCTCTTACTCGATAATAAATACTAAAGATACCAAAACGCAATTACATAGCGAGGCACGTTTCACCCGTCATACAACCATTGTCTGTTGCCCTGGTTTCAAAACTACATTATGACAGCATTTTATACACTGTAGCGAGGGGTAGAAATTCAGAAGATTGAGAGAAGAAAAAAATAATTGTTGCAAGTTCTGACAACATAGGAAAAAAATTATTATAATATTGCGTGCTCTCAACCCTCTAAATTCCTGAATAACACTATAACTATTAATTCAAACATGTATTAACCAAGCTTGTAAGTATCAGATACTAGCCCAAAATCACATTAAAAAATTAATGAAAAGATAAGTCTCTCATTATTCAATGCGTTATAGTTCATGCATTTTTTTAAAGAGGATACTAGTTTTTCCAGCAGCATCAAGCCCCAACATCAAAATTCTCATTTCTTTGTTTCCAAATATTTTTGATAATAGCTTCCCCATGTTGACACTTCGGCAAAGCCTGCAGAGATAAAAATAATCTGTGGCATTAATGGATTAAAAAACTTGTGCCAAATAAGCCTTTTCTTCCAAGATATATTCCATGACAGTGCTAGTTACTGAAAAAACATAGTTTGCAAAAATTTCATTAAAAGCTGTAAAAAACAACAACAAAAGACAAACAAACATGTTACGTGTACACTCATTGGTTTGCATAGCAATCACCAACTCAAAAATTATATTATCAATTATAAACATTATTCTCATCTACTTTACATAAATATGCTCCAGAGTTAACTTTTGTAAAAAAAGGTCTTGAAATACCAAAAAAAAATGCCACCTTTAATAAAATTTAACATGTAACATTATCACAGTCATCAATAACTTCAAGTCGACTACTTACAAAAAGAAAAAAGTAAACAAACAAAAAATAATGTAAACGGTTTTGGTTGTAAATATAGTTGGAAAATTAAAGATAATGCTAAAGTGCATACATTAAATACAAAATTATAGCAGTGATTGTACAGCCAAAGGCAAAAATTGATTATTTCACAGTATTCATATCCAACTTGAAATGTCAAGCCTCTAGTATTTCATGGACTTTTGAAAAGAACTTTTAAATGTTCTTTTCAAACTGTATTAAAAATATAGGCTGCGCTGTCATCCAGTTGATAACCACATCAATATTTTAGTTTTTAAACTTCTGGAAAAATCTTTGGACTTTCACTGGTGACTGTGAGCCAAGATAATTATCTGCAACTCCCGCAACATTGTATTAATATTAAAAACAAATGCTATTAAATTTAGTCTATAGCTAAAGGAATGATAAGAAAATATTACCGTATTTCAGCCCTGAAATGTGAAAACAACACAGAGATTGATTCAGCTCAAGCTTAGTCTACGTAGAATATGCAAGCTTATTGGTTTCAAAGAAAATATGCCCAACGTTGCCAATATTTACTCGGTCTAGATGACGTAAACCCTTCCAAGCTCGCCGTTGCTTGCAAGAATTGTGTTAACGTCTATATATGGAAACAATTCAGGAAGAAATATAAAAACCACATATTACGTTTTCGAGGTTTAGATTTCGCAAGACGCGACGGTAAAAACACCAAATCAAAGACCAGTAGATCAACTGAGGATGTTGCACAAATATTTAGCCCCAAACGACCCCAACTGAACTGCCATTACGAACCGAACACACTCAACTCAGCAAACATTTAGTTTAGAAATTAGCCAGTGGGACAAATGGATCATTCAAATGTCATGATTACACACTTAAATATGCCTGGTATTTCAGTGCTTTCAACAGAAGAAAATGCTAAAGACGTCTGTAGCAAAAACATTTCAGAATTATCTCGAAAACACAAGCTTACCGATGCGGTATTGGGAACTTGCTCGTCCCAGAACACGACTATCCTCAGTTTTCTCGCTATCTACAGCAGCTAAAGATCTTGACAATGTCCCATCCGTTTTTGCCGGTATATAAGAATGAAATTGAAATTACAATATTCACGGCGTACTGCTTGTTTTAGAAGCCGTACCACTGAGGGCGTGCCGACTGGTAAAACACAACATGGCCGTCATGCTCGGTGATTCCCGAGAGGTCTCTGCCTGGCTACTAAGCGAAATCCGATTGATCATCGACTGAAATCAGTTACGACTACGCTTCGACTGTGGGTTTCAGGGAAGAGAAGATGGCTGCCTCAAGCGCGCCAAAACGGCAAAATGAGAATTCTGAGACTCCTGCCGCGAAGAAGATTAAACTGGCAGAAGAAGTTCTTGATGATAACAGTAGCCTTCAATCCTTTGGTGGTTTTAAGGTGGTGAAAGTCCTAAACGAAAATGCACAAACGAAATCCATAGTTATTCACGGTGAGCTACAAAAAGTCTTCATGATTATTTTTTAATGAGGTTAAAAATGGATTAATATTACTTATCTTTTTTAAGCTTAGCTTAAGCTTATTTCTATACTGCTAAACCTCAGAATACGCGCCACTTTTTTTGCATCGGTCTCGCTGAACGTCTAAATTTACGGAGAGTATCTAGTGTGGGTAACCGGTCGTTTCGTACCCAAGTAAATTTGTACCCAGTTGATTCCTCTATTAAGCTCTCCTGGGAGCTCATTTATTTCAAGCTCATTTGAGGGGGGTGGGGGGGGGCTTAATAGCAATGGGGGGCTTATTTAATTTAGAAAAGACGATGGTATCAGTTCTCCATAAAGAACTAAAATTTAAAGTGGAAAAACTCATGTACAAGAACTGTTAGGTTGTGCAGCCGAGGATCAGAATCAAATCCGATCTTCCAGTTGGTAAGTAAACCATCCCGGAACAGTCTACACGAAGTTTTACAGTCGTGGTTGATTAATACAGTCTATCATTTATTAGTGAAGAATAAATAGGGGAGGGGAGGGGGGAGCTTAATAGAGAGAGGGAGAGGCTTATTTGAGAGAGGGGGCTTAATAGTGGATTCACAGGTTGCCTTGTTCCTTAAAAGCGTTTCTATAAGATGAAGTTTCATTTTTATTACGATTGAGGTGGGGTTCAGAATAAAAATTGAGCGTCCCAAGTGGCTGGGTATTCTGAAGCCGAGGCGCTCTCTAGATTTCTTACCTTGGCGAAATTTCCACTCAGCCTCTGCCTCTCAGAGAAATGGGCAGCAATGAAAAGAGGGCTTCAGGGCACTTTCCCAGGGTTCGCAAATACACCAAAATAGTTCAGATGACTCCTGAGGTTATGGAGGGAGTCATTTTGACTCCAGAAATTTTCGGTAGCAAACAGGGAGCCACTTCGACTCCAGAAATTTACGGTAACAAACACAGTTTTGTCCTTACCTTTTTCGCAACAAATACAATTTACATTAATTGTAAACGTTGTAAACCTTAATTAAATCATCAAAAATAAAGAATTATACTTCACGACAAAACAAGAAAAGGGTAAATTACGATCAAAGTTTACTTGATGACTGCCATCATGGATTTGAGCTTTCCAGGTCAGTGAACCGCCACAGCTACTTTGTGTATCCCTCATGATAGTGTATACATGCCGGGACCACGTGCTGGAAAGTCTGAAAATGGCTTTTTTTGTTGTGATACTTAACTCCAAATAATGACTCCAAAATGACTCCAACATTTGTGAAGCAGAAGACACACTAACTCCACTCATCAATAAAATTTGTTAACCCTGTTTCCTATATGGGAGTGCATACCCTCTTTCCTAGAATGTAGGGCTGGTGTTAGACTGTAAAGGATAGGAAGGGTTGAGTTACCGAGGGTAAAATTACAGTAAATCTATAAAGAAAATCCAGGGAAAATAGATTTTGGTTTGAGTTAATGCGAGGTTCAAGTTACTGAGTGTGCGAGTTATCATGGGTCAACTGTAGTTGTGTTATGTGGTGAGCTTGGACTGAGTAATACTCTAGAGGTCCAGTTACATGTAGAACTGGAACTCATTAGGACTTTTACCGAAAGTGCTCTCAAATTTGTTCTTCCATTTGTGTTTTTTTGTAATTTACTTTTCTCTTTAAGTATGACTCCAGTTTTGAGTTTTCAAAGGCCCAGATTTGAACATACAGTTTACTGAACAAATTAGAATGGATGGTTCCAAAAGTGATCAACATCAACATTCTCCCATGAAAAACAATATCAATGCAGAGTTAAAAGAACAGGTGATGGGAATAAATTAAATTACACCTAAAGGAAAGTGCTTTGATCTTAAAACAAATTCTCTCAACTTAGTTCATTAAGAAAGTGTATGGATATCAGTCGAGAGAATTTGTATGTGGATATTGGGCAGGAGTCACTTACGGCCTAATTAAGGGGGTTAATGGTAAGAAGCCAAGGTAAAGAATGTATTATTATCCTATTTTCTTCACAGGAAAATTTGACAATTCCGATAATGATGCTGTTGTTTTATTGGAGAAAACTCCTTTTTCTGAGACCACCTTGCCTCAAATGTTGTCAAGAGAAACCAGTTTAGCTAGGGAGTTCAACAATGACATTTATAGCCAGTATTTATGTCATCCGCCACCAAGTTTAAACACCTTGAAAAGCACAGTCATCTACCCAGCCACTGCTAAACACTTGGAAAAGTATTCTGCACAAGATGTGCATTTTATTTATGAAACACCATCTGATTATGAAACAATAACTCTACCATTTATTGAAGAGCAATCTTTCAGTATTCAGGTATGTCTAGAAGCAACTAGCCTGTGGATCATGTGTGGATTGTGAGTTCAGTACAAAATGTATTAAGTTGTAAACAGTTATTTAAATGAACTTCAGTGGTCAGATTTTTGCGAAAAACAATCAAAGAAACAAACAAACAAACAAATGACCCTTTAAGGAAATAAAAGTTAATAATTAAACTATCATTTTCCTGAAGTGCTAAGGCCAGACCCTCATACATGTAAAAGCTTCCTTTTTTGGTGCCCATACTATGGGAAAATAAAACTCAAATCCATTCTTCTTGCTTAATACTTCACATATTGGTCATGTAGACTGTGGGTGGTTGGCCTTTTTCCCTCAGTGCCTCGTGTGGCAAATGAAAAAGTAAATGCTTTAAATATGATCACAGAAAAAAAAATTGTTTTACCCTCCTCAAGCCTACATGTATCTCGAACTTTCTAATAAAATCAGTCAGGTATAGTGTGGCTAAACTATGAAATGGCCTGCCCAATGAGATCAGGGCAAAGCAAAGCTTAGCTGCCTTCAAGGAGGGGCTTAAAAAGTGATAACCCAGATGTAAATATTGCAAATAGAAATGTAAAGATTGAAATATTGTAAATAGAAAACTGTAGATAAAAACCTGTAAATAGTTAAATGTAAATAATTTTGTGCAAAGTCAACCTGGTGAATGTTTTTAGTCTCTTTTCCTTATTTACTATCTATTCAGTTTGAGTTATATTATACACGACCACATCAACTATGCTGTAAAATTATCGTGTTTAAATAAAAGATGTTGTTGTTGTTATTGTGCCCTCAAATGACTTTGACTCAAAAGAAAAATAAGAGACTGATGACAGTCTATTGGCTGGGTGTCCTTTATGTGCAAAATTAACTGCTTTTTTCTAAGTCTCTTTTCTTTGTCTTTTTTTACAGTGGGTATACAACATTCTGGAAAAGAAAGCTGAGGCAGAACGTGTTGTGTTTGAGGACCCAGATCCTGTTACTGGATTTGTTTTGTTGCCAGATTTGAAATGGGATCAAAAGCAGTTGGAAAACCTGTATCTAGTGGCTATTTGCCATGCACATGGGATCAAATCACTTAGAGATCTCAACAAATCACACCTTCCTTTATTAAAGAATATCCTGTTGAAAGGACAGGTAAAATTTTTTCTCTTTCTCTTCAGTACTGTATTATGGAAACGATGTACATCTTTCCATTAGCATGACATGGTGGTGGGCCCCCACCCCCAGCCCATCTGTCAGGATCGGCCAGGGGAGGTAGTGGTATACCAGTATACCCGAAAAAAATTCGCCAAAATACCCAAAAATACCCAAAATTCATCCAAATATACCCAAAATTATACCCAGGTATACTTTATACCTGAAATTCAAAGAAAGTGATGTACCGAATACCCGTATTTAAGCTGCAATATACCGTATACCCGATTTAAAAAGCCCCTGTATACCGTATACCCAAAAACCCTGGCCGACCCTGATCTATAAATGTGGTGCTATTGTGGGTTGTCCCTTTTGCAAACAATACCAATTTAAGCACTGAAGCTCACATACCAACTCCACAATATGGCCAGTACCTTACGCATGCACACAAGCATATCACCCCACTAATGGACAGCTGCTTCGTCCTCATTAGGAATCATGAGCATGGTATAGCCCCAGGCAAGAGGTTTCATTTGCGATCATTCACCCCGCGAGTTACTACCGAGGCGAGTGCAAATATGCAGTGCTAATGTTGATATTGTCTCTTTTGCTCCAGAAGGTTGTTTTCAACTATCTCTATTTTTAATGTAAGCTGATGTCACCTGTTGATATTAATGTGCCAACCAGAAGCGCATTGGTTCCTAAAACAAAAGATTCTTTTGTCTCACTCTTGACAAATTTAAAATATAACAAAAACAACGTTTTTATGCAGTTAGTGATGTCTCCTATAAGCGCCGCCTCTGAAAAGGTGTGCACCGTGATTTCCAAAATTCATTAACCCTTTAAGCCCTGATATCCACATACAAATTCTCCAAACTGATCTCTACCCATTTCCTTCAAGAATAAGTTGAGAGAATTTGATAAAAGATCAAGGCATTTTCCCCTTAGGTGATCATTTTATTAGTTCTCATAACCTAGTCTCTTGACATTGTATGGATATCGTTAGGAGAAAATTAACGTCAGTCACTATTGGGACTTAAAGGTTAAGTACTGAGGCGGTTATTTAAGTAAATACGATGATTAAAATTCTACTATAATCTTACCTCCCAGTTCATTCTATTAGGAGATGCGTAACCTGAGATCAGGCGTCTTTTTTTTTTTTTTTTTTTTTTTTGCTTCTTTGGCTCGAGAGGGAAAAAAAATAACGCCTGATACATTTATTTAACAAGCAGTCAACCGCCCCCTAATTTACATGATTTACCGTTTGCTTGACCTGTCATGTTTTTAGCCAATAAGCGTTTACCAAACGGGAATCAAATTTTGGCGCGAATAATGTCTCTTTTGAAATCATGATCAGTTTTAGGGGAAAAAAAAATTTTTAAGTACGTCCGTGTTCAGATGGCGCTTCAAAAAAATATAAAAAAATTAATGTGTTGTTTTTGTGATGAAATACTCTGGAGCTGTCGTACCTTTGTGAATAGCTACAAATAATAAAGAATTTACTGGTTAAAGCTCGTTGACTTTGTTCTGTACTACGAAAGCAGTGGAAAAAAATTAGGCTGAAGCACCATATTTCACGAACTGAAAGGTGTTGTGAAAGCGAAGATCGCTCAGAATAATTCGCAGCATGATTTCTGAAGGAGGAAATACAGTCAAACCAGGTCAAGATTCCATTCATGAATTGATTATTTGAAAAGTGAACCCGTTTGTCGCTTCTGTAACTTGTTGCCGGTATCAAATTGCATTCAAATGATCGGTGAAGTTTTAACGGCAACTGTTTTGGTATACGATGAGCTGGTCAATATTTCAATGGATGAAACTTCTATTTAGGCATTCTTCAAATTCAAGAAAACTGAGCGGGCAGAAATTTCATTTATAACGAACTCGCGTGTGTATTCACTGCTTATTACGCAAGCAAAAATGCAGACTGAAATCAACAACAACTAACGGATGGCGTCATTTTGGCCAATCGGAACAGCTCAAATCATCCGCATTGTTTCCTATCCAATCAGAAAAAAGTCCAGATTCTGGCATTTTTACATGTGATCCGACAAAGAAATGTATCATGCCCTCTTCCCGTGAGAGACATAAAGGGATAATAGGGAGAGGGCATGACCTCAGGCTAGGAGATGCGAGTAATAAGGATTCCAATAAATGTTCATAAAAGTGGTTGAACGGTGTGGGTGAAAAACTGACCATGCTAAAGCTCAAGACAGGTTAGCGTACGGCGGGAATCATAGAAAGATGAGAGGCGCCTGTATGGTATCTAGTCATCTCGCCACCAAGAATAGAACTTGGTTTAGCATTGTCTTAAACCCTCATGAACGGATTTTTTTTAACCTTTACTTTATTTTCATATTTTAAAGAAATGACTAGTGTTTGTGAAACGTTTCTGCCAGTTTTTTAATCTCTCAAATGTCAAAGCTTACATTCACAGCACCTATACATGTATTATTAGGTATTATTAGTGTTTGCATTATCAAGAGCATGATACGTTCGACGTTCGTATTTGGGTCGACTTCAAATTCGAATAAGCTTGACGAAAAAGTAAAAATTGTAGTTAAGTAATCCTAGGTATGAAACTGTGTCAATTCTTTCAGAGTTATTCGTTGGTGCCGAGTCGAGTTCTCGTTGGCGATTTTGTTGGTGGCGAGATTATCGTTAACCTCGAGGTCAAGTCTGTGTACAGACGCCCCCTCTCCGAAAAAAATAATGGGACAGGGGTGTCTATACACAGGGTAATCGAGGTCTGGGCTAACAAAATACGGTCACTTCCATGAACATGTCCTCTTAAGCCTCGACCTTGTTTCCTTGGTTTTGCGTTCAGGAGGGCAATGCACGAATTTCTCTTTTCTATCACCCATGCGAGTTCACTTTATTTCTAAGTTTGTCTCATTTTGATCCATTTTTTGTCATTTATGTATTTAGTTATTTATTTTCTTTCAGGAAGCAATAAAGGACAAGTACGGTGTTGCCTCAGATCATCTGCGGATTTACGTGCATTACCAGCCTTCGTATTATCACTTTCATGTACATTTTACACACCTGAGATACGACGCTCCTGGATGCGGAACGGGCAGAGCGCATCTTTTACAAGATGTTATTGACAACATCGAGAACATTGATTCGGATTATTACTCTAAGAAAACACTGGCGTCTGTTTATAAAGCAAACGATAAACTTTACAAAAGGTTTCAGTCTGTTAAAGGTGTTCAAGGTGAAGACGGTGGAAGAGATGTTAAGAGCGAAAATGTTGTATAAAAAGTTAGTGTTGATTCGTAATTGTTAATATTTTTATTAAAATAGAAAGTAACGCAAATAGGTACCTGCGTTTTCCGTTTGGTTATTAACGCCTTTCATGCAGGCCACGTAAAGAAAAGGTATCTCAACCTTTCAAAGGCGGAGAGATAGTTGAATATAGTACGAAAGAGAAGATTTCTCGATATGTTGATTTTAGTTCTCAAGTCCTTTCACACACACCTGCCTACATATCGGCGTTATTTACACCAAGAACCAACATTAATGGGCTTAGAGGTATAAACAAGTTGCAGTTACCACGTGTGAATACTACATCTTACGGGAAAGACTCCTTCAAATGTCTTGCGCCCAAATTATGGAATATGTTAAACGATGACCTTAGAACTACCCCTAACATAACCTATTTTAGAAACAACTGCCTTGACTTTGTAACTAGCTAGATTAATTTCTCTTAATCTCTACTTGATTGTATTCAACAAATAATTTTACAAGCATATATATATTTTTAAAATTGTTTCCTTTCTTTTTTAATTGTACATATATTTTTACTGTATTTATTTCTCGGAGATATTAGCGTTTATGCGCTACTCTTTTAGGCGCTACTCTTCAATCCGAGTTGAAATAAAGTTTACTACTACTACTACTACTACTACTACTACTACTACCACTACCACTACCACTACCACTACCACTACCACTACCACTACCACTACCACTACCACTACCACTACCACTACCACTACCACTACCACTACCACTACTACTACTACTATTGCATCAAACACTGGTACGCGAAAGACAATAGAGACCTTAAGATGGAGGTTTGGTCATTTTACTGGAAACGACAAACTGCGGTTTGCGGTTAACAGTTTCACGTTACCCATCTGCCCATATTTGGGACTTAAGATTCCCGGGTGGTAGCTTGCAGCGGCCATATTTGTCATCATTCATCCACTTACTTCTATTTTAGCTGAGAAATTGTCTTCAAAATTAGGTTTTTTTGAAACTGAATTCGATAATCAATAAGCGAAAGAGTTCTAAAAAGTCGTATTTCTTCTCAAACGTGGGATTGTGATGTCTTAGGGTGCAAAAAACCTTGCGGTAAATCACTTACCTCTGGAGCGTGGTCTAGCAGTACAAACGTGAACGTCAAACAGCAAACCTGACGGCAAGGCCCTGGTCACGTGACTTCTTGACGTTGGCGAGTCGCGGGAAATGCCGAAAAACCTCAATCTTAAGGTCTCCAATGATTGCGGCTGCACTTAACCTTTCCCCGTTGTTTAAGACCTCTTGCTTCGGCAGAAATACAAGTGCGCGTGTAATCACGCCTTCGGGAGATGATTTACTTTGTGGCTTAACCAAAAGTCATTCAAATGGACTACTGAGTTGGTTTATCTCGGGTTTCTGAGTAAGTCTTACTCCGAGACGAGTGGCTATATAAATTTCCCGCGTATAAGGCCTGGGCCAAACGAACTTTTCGTGAAACGAACCAAACTTAGTTAAGTTCATGAAATGTTCGACGTCTGGCTCAGTCAAGTTCGTCTGAACTGAGTTTGGATCGTCCAATACACGCTATCCATCTGTTTCAGATGGATAGAACGTCTGAATATCGTCTTCGAGACAAGCGTCGCTCTTCCATCGATGCGACGAACTAAACTATTAAATTAAATGTATGATATGATAACTATATTTAGCCTCGTTCGAGAAAAGATTATTGAAATCGCTTTTTGGTCTGATTCAGTCGAACTGTTCGACGTCTGAACCACCAGACGATCGTAACCTAATATCAGAGTTTGGTTCGTCTCATGAAAAGCTTGACGCTTCGCATAGGCCTAAGACACACCGCATGCGGCGACTACCGCGGAAAACAACCGTACGCGTCTTTACGGCAAAGGGCGACGCAGATCACGAGACCAAGTTTTTCCTTGCTTTTCGTTTACTGTTCGTTATACGTAGTTTCATTTCGGTTTTACTTATGAGAATTACATGTACCAATATTTTGCACAGTTTGTATCTTCTCAGTGTCTGATTTGAAAGCTGTTCACTTGAATCTGGCGTTTGCCGTAAAATAACAAATCTCACCAATGTCGAGTGCGACTGCTTTACATCGGTGTGTAAAATCCGTCATGAAATTTTCATTTAGGTGAATTCTTGGTGTAACGGATATTGTGGGTATATGCCATTGACACCGGGTCAGTGCCGTGTTGAACTGCACTAAGTTCAACTTTAATTTTTGACTCAGTTTGCATCTCATAACGGGCTATTGCATTTAATATCCGTAACCCCCAGCTAAGGACTTTACCTTTTCCTCTTACCCCTGAAAATTAAGTAAAATTGCATTGACCCCTGCAGCCGTCAATAAATTATGGTTCCTACCCCTGAAGAATATGAGTCTACCCACGAAGAATTTCGTGAAAATTAAAGCTTCACCGCTGAAGAATTCCATATCTTTTTACTCTACCCCTAAAGAGAACCTCAACTTTTATAATTTACCCTCAAGAATTAAATGGGTTCTCATCCGGGGGAGAGGGTGTGGGGGGTACCGATTTTAAATGCAATAGCCCAATAGCCAATGGATGAGGCCTTGGCGTCTAAAACAGTCCCATAGTGCCATTCGACATAACACCAACCCAGCCCCACGCGCTACATTTAAATAGCCAATAGGCCTTTTGCATCAGTTGATCACGTGATGAATTTTCGGTAAACACGAACATAGTGCGCTTTAGAAAAATTTTGTTACCACGAGCTTAGAGGGTTCATGAAGATTGGTATCGTGAATTTTCAGCCGTATATCTCAAAATTAGCGATCGTAACGGCTGCCGAAATTAGAAGGATTTGTATGAGAAAAACAACTTTTGCCACCCAGTCACGCTTATTACGCACCCCACTCGCAGCACTAAGAAACCACATTTAAGAGTCCGTCAGATCAAAATGTATCAAATTAACGTCTTAAAATGGTTTTATGAGTCAATGATATCATGAGATTTTATTTGTCTTCAAAATAAACACTTGCTAGTATGAATGTATATGTGTAACAAACAGAGATTCGTTTCAATATAAACAAGCAATGTAATTCGTCTGTGACGTAATCAAACACAGGAAAACCAGCTTCCTCGCACAGGAATACCCTAGAAAAGAGTGCAATACCAATATAACGCGAAATGTCAGAGTGGAGCTGTACGGTAGCCTCATACTCCATAGTAAACCTAGCGATTACTACAGGCCGTTATTCAAAGCCTGACTGAAAGTGTTCAAATTGCGCTATCCAGAGAGTGAATTCGTAGGAAAGGTTTTCAAGGCCTAAAAATTGGAAAATTACTATGATGTCATCAGATGATCATACACAAAAATTTCTATGGGCCATTTCCGAGTGTCCCAGCCTCTTTATGAAAACGAGGTGGGTGCAAAATATTTGATAAGTTCCAACGCAAATGACGGTCACTTTGATATGAAAGACTTTGCACTGGGTCTCATTTTTTAAGTTAGGTTTTTGGAAACTTGAAACTGTTCATTTAAGAAGTTCTCTTGCGGGGAGTGGCAGAGATATGACCCAAAATGTGTAAAAAGCGTGCGGACGGGTATATTTGCCTCGGTCACATTGTCCTTTTCTGTGAAGTCTTCGCTGGAGTCATCGATGACGCTAGTTTCTTAAACTTGAACAGAACTGAAGACAAAACGAAAATGGTTCCCCCGTATAAGTTGGTTCATCAAAGAGACATGGCAAAAAATGAAACCCCCTATGCCACTACTGTGGACGCGAAAGAAACAAAAAATATAAATTTCAACTGCTACCGACCACTGAAATATTTTTTAATTAGGCAATTTCGAAAAAGGGCCCGAAAAAAATCAGGACTTCAAAGGGCTTTTAAAAATCTATTTCTAAGTTCTAAATCATAAGTTCGGGCGGGGATGGCTTTTGGTATTGTGAACCAGGCTGTAGGACTCTAAGAAAACCTTTCCGGCGAAACAAACCCATCGATGCCACATGAAAAAAAGAAAGAGTTCACAAACCAGAATCAGTTATACTGAAACCATTCGCAAGCTAATCTCTTAATAACAACTCGGCTACCAATCTGACCCGTAACACGGTGTGATACCATTGCTGAATGAAATCATGAAACTTTAATTTGTAAATAACGCATGATGAATACCATTTTACTGTAGGTGGTGTCGATATAAATCTGTTTTAAAAATGAGCACAAATGAAAACACGTTATGTTGGAATTGCACTGAAAAACCCTCTTAACGTAAAATTCATTCCATTCCTGATGGCTCTCTCTACTACGTAACTTAAAAACTTTTGTACACTAAAAAAATGAGAAAAAAGAAAACTTAGTCTTTTTTCATCATCTCAAATCATTATTTGTGTTGCTATAAACTATTTACTTACAAAACTCTTCTTTCAAAATCAGCACGTCTTTATCAGTTTCGAAAAAGCTTATCAAATGAACTATTCCACAGTAAGAGACGCCATTTTTATAAATAAAATGCTAATAATACAAATACATTATGAATTCTTGCATACATGGTATGTTGAAGATAAAATACATATTGCAAATAAATATTAACTTCACTTGAATTATTCTTTATATTACAAATATTCTACAGAATAAAATACGAGTTTAGGGCATGTTTCTCTGCAAATGTTTGAAAATCAAGTTCTTCGAACAAGTAAGATTCTATAGAAATCCTTTTTTTTCGAATCGTTTCCTAGTTTGCTCCTTATCAAAAGCAAAACAAAGTAAAATCAAAGAAGCACCCTCAGTCCCAGGGCGTTTCATTTAGAAATTAAGAAGAGTTCTGGAGACGAAGTTCTTTTCGAAGAACCGAGTATTTGGACTTGATTTATAGCTTGCAATTTACTATCAAAATGCTGTCCCTTATTTTCGCAAACCCTCGCAGCAGAACTGAGCTAGATCTGATTACCACCTTCCTATCGCGTCAGTCTTGACGATTTTCCCGCCTCGTTTCTCAAACGACGCGCACAACCGCTATACCAGCTTTGTCGTATTTCCTGGCTCAACAGGAGCATTGGTACACTCGTCTATGGGCAACAGTTTAGTTTCTTCTTGTTTTTACCATCTCCTTCGGTCAGAGTTAGCCTGCTGCTGTCTTCTACTTCAGTGTCTTCGATTTTTCTGAGCAATCTAAAATAAAACACACCAACAAACTGGTGAAATTAAAGTTAATCCTACCATATTCCCCGCTTGGGTAAAAGTAGCCTGTTCCAAGCTACAATATAGTCGGGTCCGCGAATCATGAGCTCGTATTTTCGCCTGCCTTTCACTTTCGCGTCATTCCCACTATCTGAGAACCTGGAAGAGGCTAGGGTAAAAGGATCTGTAAATGAAATTATTGTTATTTCGCAAAAAATAGTTCACAAGAACGCAACACTCACCTTCCCAGCTCAATACAGGCTTCTGTGATATTCTTGTTTTCTTTCGAGCTTGTTTCGATAAACAACGCACCATACTCCTACAATATAAAACAGAAAACACATCAGCTGTCACATAAAGCACAATAGGGTCGCATAACAGAGGTGATCGTTTGCGAGAGGCAGTCGCACGTAGAGCTTCGAGTAGCTGTACTCAGCTACACTGCCTTGCCTGTTTTTTACCCATCGCAAGTAATTCTAGTCGTCAGAGAAATCAAGGTCCGACAAATGACCTCCGACTTCTGCCTGTATAACTTCTTTACTATGAAGCCGTTTTGCGTCAAACTCTAGCCTGTGATATAGTGGAGCTCGGGCGAAAAATGAAGCGAGAAAAAAAGGAGGGGGTTTGGGGAGAGAAGCGCAGGCTGGTCAAACTGGTCAAACTCACACGCTTTGAAAACCCGTTCACATGATAAGTCACGCCTTAAACCAGTTGAAACGCATCTCCTGTTTTATTTTGTCTCCCTTAAAGGGATGTAGGGTACAACTCAGAATGGAGATCTTGAGCAACCACACAAGCCTACGACACCGAGGGGAACCGCACGAAACGATACGTCAAGTAATCAAATTGGAGGGCTCGTGGACAAACAGAAATCAAGGGGACTGATGCGGAATCTCTATCTAAACTTGTAATCCGCCCTTGACAATTGCTTTACTGGACAGTTCAGTCGTATAATCATGTATGACGACAAATCAAGAAGTTCACATGTAGTCTTACTTTTGCTAATTTCTCTCCTTTCTCCGTAGGAATAACCGTCTTGCCTTCTTCAGCATATGATTCGCGCAAATCTGTCTTGTTACCACATAGCATTATGGGGATGGGTTTTGATGTACTTTCCTGTAAAAAAGAAGAAAAACTTTTAATCGACAACACGAAAATACAAAAAAACATTCACGATAAAAGGTAGTTTTTTCGTTTGAAACTACTGCCAATTTACGCAATTTTTTATCACAACTTGTCTCGCAATAATTGCGACATAACTTGCAAGAAAATTTGTCTGAGGGTATCACCACTGGCATGAAGATGTCTCACAATGTGTTTCCTGCAGCAAGAGTCGCTACTTTTTGCAAAGACTGTTGAAACAAAGACATTGCGAGACATGGTCATTTCGAAGGTGCTACTACGTCTAGTGCAAACTCGTCTCGGAAATAAACTCAAGCCATTTCCAAGTTTCCTCTATCTTCTTTAAGTTTACAAGTTTAAAAAATAGTTGTTTCGACTTACTCCTTAGATGCAAAAGTTAGGTCCACAGGAGTCAGCTGGGTAACTCATGTGCGACACGGCGAATAACAGCGCGAACTTAAAAACGTAAGGATAAATTCATCACTTTACCTCTATGGCTTCCACCCAGTCACGAACATCGATATATGAGGTCTCACAAGTGACGTCATACAACAGTAACACACCATCAGCTTTACGGAAGTAAGACTTGGCGATACTCCGGAACCTACAGTGAAGGAGTTACCGATAAGTATGGAGTTTTATATGTGAGGAGAGGAGTTTGCGCAGCGGTGAAGGAGCCCACCTGCAAGTGACAGGCGAGGAAAAAACAAGATTTACCTTTCTTGGCCTGCAGTGTCCCAAAGTTGGAGCGCAATAGTTTTGCCATCGACACACAGATTCTTCATCTGAAAATCGACTCCTGAAACAAAAAATTGGTACGGACAAGAAACGAATCAGCATGCTCTGAAACTTCATTCTTTGATAAAAGGAAAAAATTGCAAATTATCAATAATTTTGAATTAATAATGCACTGGCAAAAACTCAACTTGCTTTACTTGATAGCTATATTTCCTAGTAACCTGCAAACAAATCATGTATGTGACAGTTATACCTACCAAGTGTTGAGTTCAAAGCGTTATGGAATCTGTTGCGACAGAGTCTGAGAATGAAGCTCGATTTACCGACTGCGGCGTCTCCGGCTAAAACCAGTTTGTACATGCGCTCTGGCACACCGTTCTCTGATGTCGACACCTGTAAAACATATTGATCAATTATATAATAGTTTGAAGGGAACATGAGAACCTTTGTTTCGATAAACTTACACACACCTCTCCTTTGGGACACCTCTATTTAATGGTCATCTCTCATTGGGGCACCTCTATTCAGGGAACACCTCCATTCAAGGGGAACCTCTATTCAGGAGACACCTCTATTCAAGGGGCACCTCTATCCAGGGGACACCTCTATTTAAGGGGCACCTCTATTCAGGGGACACCTCTATTCAGGAGACAACTCTATTTAAGGGGCACCTCTATTCAGGAGACACCTATTCAAGGGGCACCTCTATTCAGTGGACACCTCTATTCAAGGGGCACTCCTATTCAGTGGACACCTCTATTCAGGGAATTTATCTATTTAAGGGACACCTCTATTCAGGGGAACCTCTATTCAAGGGACACCTTTATTCAAAGGACACAAAATTTGGTTCTGGAAAAGTCTTCACATGATCTTTGAATTTGTCAACTATATTGAAGGGAAACCTCTATTCAGACGAAAGGGACACTTTTTCAGGGTCCCGAGACCTGGGTTTACCCTCCATTCAGGAGACAGCTTAACCCTCAAAAGAGACTGACCACAAAAAACGTTGACAAGGTTTAGTGTTCAGTAGTCACAATGGCGACAGCATTCAAAACAAGAACTCTCACTTAAATCGACGCACTGCACTTGTGAAAATTAAACACAACAAGCAGAGATAAATATATAAATGAATGATTTTGAACACATTATTTAATCATGATTTTTTTGTATATTATCTAGCTGAGTGAGGCGAAATAAAAGAAAAATATTTCATTTGTTGGTCAATTATTAAACCCCAGCCTAACCTCCATTCATGGGACACTTGCCTTGGTCCAAAGGGTGTCCCCTGAACAGAGGTTCCACTGTACTTAATAAGGCATTTCCGAATTCCCCCACGCCTCTGTATCAAAACGAGGTTAAGTGCCCAGCCTTTGATATGGAAATGATTTTTCATTCTTATGCAAATAAAACTCCTTTCCACAAGAAAGATTGTCCACTTGGCCTCATTTTGAAAGTGAGGGTTTTTGGAACTCGGAAGTGGCGTATTAAATGAGCGACACACTGCGTAGCCTAATTAGTAATATGGGATTTCCATCTAGATAAACGCGCAATATCTCTTTAAACTAGCGGCGATAAAAAAAAAAATAATAATAAAATAAAGGCTTGTTTATAGTGGAAATTGCACTTAGCTTGTCCAGCTAATTTACAGGCACTCCACTCAAATATTTAGAAACAAATAATTCAAATACAACATAACAGGATTAAAAACCCCAACTGGCAGAAGGCAACCAGTTGGCTATTTACAAGCGTGGCCGAGAATTTGAACTTGGGACGACCGAGCACAAATCCAGCAAGTGGCCAGAGCGGGACTCGAACCCTGGACCGCCGGATTGCGAGTCCGACGCGCTGACCACTCGGCCACGCTGCCTTCCTATAAATATTATTCAAAGAATTTCAAAGTAACCGTGTAAAACCGCCAGTATCTATTCTCACAATGGGAATCTGTTTACTTTTGGTTTTTAAGAACAAGAATGAATGATTATATTTTTGCAATGAAACCTCGTCACGTGGTAAGTCGCTTAAGAAGCGCCACCCATGAATTTGCAACACCCTCAACTTAAGGAACACCACGAACAAAATATTACATGGAAAAACTAGGTATTCTTATTGCAGCAGCGCTCATTTGAGTAAAGTTGGCGGAAAAATAACTGTGACTTACATGCATTGGGGTGTTGGTAGATGCCTCAGAAGTAGAATCTGAACCAACAGCCGCACCCCTCTCTCCCTCGGGCGCTTCTGTCTCGGTATCTGTGTCTTCTTCAGACTCCGTAAGAGCTGTTGCCATAGCAACCAACTGCGCCAACTCCTCATCAGCTACGTCATCCTCATCGATATCTTCATCGTCTTCTTCGATAACGCTTTTGAACTGTTGTTGAAAAACAACAGAATGAATATACAGACTATTGCTGAAGCCATTTCAAGCCATTTTGGGCGATCAGAGTCAATGAAAATACAGACTTTTAAATAGGTTAGTCACAATTGTCGAGATTAATCTACATTATAGCTCTTTTCAACCGTTACTTCAAAGCGGCAATTCACTAGCAGCTGTGTCATGAACCTTTTTTTATGCATTCAAGTTTTATTTTTGTCTACAAAAAATTTTCTTCACACAAAAATATTATTTGGTGTTAACAACTAGTTTAAGGGCTAGGCTTAAAGTGAGTATAATTTGTTCAAATTCTATGGAACGTCTTGAAGGTAGAAGTAAAATGCTTGAGAAATTCTAAATATTACTTCAAAGGTTTTTTTCCAACTGGTTAATTTCCCTCCGCTTGTTACACAAGCTTGATATAATAAACCTAGTTAATGTTTTCTTCCAAATCTTCGTCCCTTTTTTATTAGCATTTGATAATGGCGAGATGTCGTCGCCAAAACGTCATGTTTTTATAGCGTTACTCTTTATGCTTAAATTTTTAAGATAATGTTTAGAAATGTTATAGTTTCAAATCATTTAGCGTGTTTCACCTGAGCTTCAAGTTCTGCACTCAGCTGAGCATCTGCGGCTCGGCTGGTTTCTGATTCAGGAAGAGAGTCGGTCTGTTGATTGATCAAACAATGTTATAGCGAGTTAACAATGTGTTTTGCAGCTTTATGATAAGGAGAGCTAGTCAGTTTATGAAGGCCTGGCATAAAATCGCGTCTATCCAAACACAGAGAAGCTGAATAGTGCACTAAAACAATCAAATTTGGTTCGCCTCCTGACAAGACAAGAACTAGGAATTTCACTTTGATTGATTAGAGGGCTTTACACAGAGTTTTACGCAGAAACAAATTTGAAAAAATCCAGGACGCGGGTAGAGTGAATTAAGTTTCAATAGGGGTTCATTAAAAACTGCTCCAGGCAAATACTTGCTGAATGCTTTTTCGCAGAGATTAGAAAGATGTGAACAGTGGTAGAACGCGAATACTAGGAATTTAAATTATACGGTCACTACTACTTAATCACAAGAAAGTGATAGGAACGTTTTTTAGGATTTTAACAAAAATAAAACTTTTAAAACTTCTTACCAAGCAACACTACAAACAAGATAAAAGAACGTTTTACTTAACGAGGTTACAGTTTACATCTTCTTAACAGGATACGATGGTCTTTGAATTCCGTGAAGAAAAGGCGAGAACACCAGTCATAAATGTCTTATATTGAAAAATTTACTGCCTGATTTTGGTAAGACATCGTCGTATTTTATGGTTTAGTTAATCACTTAGAATTTATGATTTCTTTACTTTCAGAATTTTATTGTTTTTAATCTTTATCTTTACTTAACTGTTTACCTCCTAATCATTTTACTTTTAAAATTCAGAATTACAACCGAATAAAGCTGCCGCATCAAATGCAGGAAATTTAGATTATATGTTAGCCTGCGTGGCAGGCGTTAAAAGGGCAAGGGGAAGGGGGAATTTGGGCGCGCGAGAGCACGTGGGGCGCGAGTTATAGAAAGGAAAGTAACCCCTCCTCCCTCCTCCCTAGCGCGTGGTCGCGCGCCTTAATTCCCTGCCCCTTCCCTTTCGAACGCCTGCCACGAAGGCTAATTATATGTTTACAATAGCGTTTAACGTTGTGTTTTTTTTTAAGATTTAGAACCTCAAGAACGTTGTGAAGAGTTGTTTACGAGTGGTTGAAATTGAATAGATGTTACAAAATACAAGTTAAGTTTACGTTCATAAAGGTTTACCTTAGCCCTGCTGCGTTTTATTACCAGGGAGTTACTTCTTTTGAGATCATATCCATCAGCGCGACTATCAGGGAACAATTTGTTCTCTTCACTATTGACCAATCTCTTGGAGATAGTTTCTTCACTGATTTTCCTTTGAGTTGGACCTAGATCCGGCCTTGTTACGAAACGATCCAAGTCTTCGGCATGAACAGTTTCTATTTCAGTGTTTAAATTTCGTATCACTCTCATCACGGGCGCGTGGTTATGCGAACTCGTAACAATGCTGTCTTTATAATCGTCTTTTCTCTCCAACATACTCTCTCTACTAGAACGTAGAGATTTAAGTTTCTCAGAGAGCGGCCAAACACCAACTCCTTTACCAAAGTCTGCCCCTTGCTCGCTTTGCGCGCGCGAAGTAGGAAGGGATCTAGTCCTTTCACCAACAAAATCATTTCTCCGTCTCACTTGCTCCAAGCTATTCCACTTGCCCGCCCGCGCAATTGTGGGCCATGCGGATCTGTCGCCCTTGCTATTCGACTTGTTAAATAAGTGTTCTAGGCTTTTATGCCGACAAGGTTTTCTCAGATGACTATTTCTATCAAACGGTGAGTGTGATTTTGGTAAATTGTTCGCTTTTCTTTCCACATTTGTTTGTTGCGCTGTTGGTTGCGCGGGGTCTGGTTCGTGTTCCCCGTCACTTTCCCACATGACGTCATTAGTGTGCTCCTGGAGGGTCACGTGACGATCATGAGGCGTAGCCGCCAGTTTAGAAAGTTTAGGAGCAGCTTCAAAATGATGCGCGTTTATCTGAGTGTTTGATTTAAGAATAGCGCCTTTAGTTGTATTTAAATGTAACGATTTAAAACCCGGACAGAGGTCATGGGGTCAGTTACAATTTTAGACGCAAAAGTATCCATTAGAAAAGGTTGCATTCTACATTAACTCAACTTTTGTCTTCAATACTATTGCTTTCTATCGGGAAAGAACTCTCCCCATGACATTTGTCCAGAATAATATTTAAACTTTTACAAAAAGTCAACTTCACATGGTTAGTTTATAAATTTTTTCTTCTAAGCTAAAAAAAATTTTTAAGGTTTAAATCTTAATTTTTACTGGACCTTAAGTTGTTTTTGTTTAATGGATAACAGTTTATTATTATTTTTTAAAGTTAGACATTAACGTAGAACACATTCGAAAGCTAATTTCTGAAGCGAACTGAAGAGTTGCAAATAGGTCAAATTTTAATCTGGAATTAAAAAGACTGACAGCTAGCTGACGGCCTCACTGTCTAACAGACTGCCATAATGTTTTCTGACTGAATAGCTGACTATCAGACCGCCAGATTTAAGTGATTGGTAAGCTTTCTATTTGAGTATCGCGAGGGTGGGGGAAGAGACATTTAACAATTTTTCCCGGCTAGCTCGCACGTGGTCTTCGACTCTCCTGAGCGTACTGGTGGGCTAGACTCAACACAGTGACCGTGGGATCTTTTTGCATAGTGTACGGACAATGCAATATATGACACTGGGGGGGGGAGGGAGCATGTCGAGGTCAGCGATTCCAGATACCGTTTTTGCCCCAAAATTGTGTCCATGCTGTAAAAGGCAAGGTCGAAGTTTTAGGTTAATCGTCGCATTTTAGAGCGCTTGAAATAAGTGGAGTTGTGACTGACTATAACTAATTGCCTAGCAGTAAAGCAGTTCCACCATCTCTACCAAGCGACCAATTAACAAAGATTAAATGTGACTGGCGGTGACTGAGTTTCTGGATATCAAACAGTCGCACAAACCTTACCAAATCTATAACTCAATTAACTTAGGTTAAATATTACTGACAGTGACTGATTTTCTAGCTGTCAAACAGTCCGCACCATCTCTACCAATAGACCAATCAACTAAAGCCAAATAGACTGACTAATTATTGTCTGGAATATGACTGTCTAACTGAAGAAAAGTCACAACATGCAAGGAACACAAACTGTATGGTATACAAAACAAAGCGACTAAATATAGGACAGGTACCGTCATGGTGTTGACATCAGACTCTGGTTCATATCCAGACAATTCATCAGGTTCATGATCCACAGCTTCTGCGCCATCACCCATATCATCCTCAGACTTGGGACCCTGAAGACTAAACATTCGGTCGAGAATGATTACAATGACTTTGAAAGGTTTGATCTCAGGGGTCATTACATAACTAAGTGGAATATGATTGTCCGGGTGAGTGCAGTCACTGTCAACAACAGTCCTGTTCAGGACTACTCATATTCCACCTACCTACTAAAGAAATGATTACAATATGATACTGGATTGGTTGATTCACTTACGGAATATTCTCACACGTGTCTAAAGCAATAAGTCAGCCATATGATTAATGGTATTCGGGGATAGGGATACACGGAAAGATTTCTACAAAACCTTTCTCTCGATTCTATCAACATATAGGAGCCACGAGGATGCTATCTACGTCCCAATATTGTTATTCAATCAAGAATGCAGGGTGCAGTTCAATAAAGGCCCAAACAAGAGATTTCTAGGACTGACACCCTTAAATAATAATTCTAGAATATAGCTCTAAGAGATTTATACAGTGGGCAGGGACTTATGTGGCACAGCTGGTCAAGTGACGAAAACCAATGGATGTTACAAGATGTGTTGATGCGAAGTGTTGCTTGAAAAAAATTAATCTTTCTTTTTACTTGAAATCTGGAATACGGTCAATGGAACGCGCCATATCTAAGTTCAGAAAGTAAATAAAGGACTCGCTTCAAAGTCTAAATACAACGTGTTATTGAGAAACTTAAGGAGGCAATACGGTTAAAAGCATTATTTTTCGTTGATTTTTACCCTTTTTATTAAATATCTAGCCAAGATTTCATTTAATCCAAAAATGACTCAATTAAGTTACAGTGCTAACTTCAGTAATTATTTGTGAATTTTTGGATGATTTTTCAGATGTTCTTATTGTATAAAATTTAAGAGAGGAGATGTTTAAAATTTTGGGAAAATGGTAAAATATTGGATTTGGGGGTTATTCAAATGATTAAAATATGAAGTGAATAATAAGTAGACAATTAACAGATAGTCCACCACCACAACAAGGTGCCGCTGATCCCATTAGCCGACTAACTGATTTATGTGTATACCTTTTCTAACCTAATAAAGTTCCTTCCCAAATCAACATCATTTCCCCCAAAAAATCAACTGTAATGGCCCCTTAAAATGGGCCTAGTGTCAAGCTACTGTAGATCATGGTTGGCAAGTCACAAACAATGCATTAATTATTGCCTCCTCAATACTGACTGGGAATTGATTAAAAAACAGTCGAAGGAGGACGAAAAGATATTGGCCTCAAAGGGCCACACCAACACACATGCATTACAACTTACTGGTTTGGAGTAATGCTGCGACTTGATATGGAACCATAATCGCTGTGTACGCTGGGGTTCCTGTGGCATTTCTCACCGCTCCTACGAGCCTGAAAAGGAAAGTCAAACTCTTTTCTCAGCGAAACTTGGGAAAAAGGGTTTACTGTAAGGGAATTATTAAAGTGGCGGAGAGTGTGAATTAATCAACAGAACATAATGTTGATGTCTCTTACTCGCCGCTGAATCAGCAAGCTTTATGAAGCTTGATCGTTTAAAAAATGTAACCTGATCTGTTAGTGTCCTGACAAACAAAATTGTTGTGATATAGTAAAGCGATTATTGCATAGTTTTACGGCAGCACAATAATGTTTGAATCAAATTAACTGGAAGAAAGCAATCTGACTCGTTTGGCAAAAGGGGGAAATGGGGTTCTACGATTTCTTGTAAGACTGAAAAACGTACGAAAAAAATATTGACGTACCTTAGATGATTTCATTGACGATAATCTTTTACTAGTCAAGGCCTACAAACAAATCAACCCACAGTTAGCAGAATTACAATACGCAAGGAAAATGTACGTTTATTACAAACTGACAATAAAAGGGGAAAATGAAGAAAAGAAGGAAACAAAAAAAACAAACAAACAACAACAACGAAACAACAAAAAAGACAGCTTTTGTACCTCAAGAGCCGCCCGTAGGTCGTCATTGCTTTCACACAATCTCTTGTTGGTCTCTCTGAAAACAAGTTCATTTAACGTGAATTTTACAAAAATTAATCTCACAAAGCAAATCTTCGAATTAAACCTGTTAATACTACTCCGTAGCTGAGAATAATCAGGTTGGGGGAAGAAGGAGGGGGGGTAAACTGGTATTTGAAGCAAGGCTGGAAAGCTGCCCCATTTTTGACACCAATAAATATTCTCCACACTGTTTTTCTTGCATTTCCTTGGGTACTGATGAGGAAAATTCGTTTGACAATTAAGATATTTTGTTTTACTGATTAAATCTTTTAGCTTCGTGAGTCTATTCTTCAATTACACAGTGTTATTGTGGCGAGGAAATAACATGCTAGTAACTCTAGGAGAGTCCATGACATACTGTAAGATATCCAACTGTTTCGACCAAGTTTTCCTCTCTGATGATTTCATCGTACTGTACGCTTCATCTTCTTCTGCTAATTCCCGATGAAAGTTCTGTAATGATTAGCATAAAGAAACATAATTGTAACACTTTACTGTCACTGTTTCACAGAGAAAATTCATGCAAACATAAAATTAAAACACCGTGTGGGGTTAAGTAACCTAGATATGTATCTACTCAGTGAATATAGAAAATGAATGCATACAGGGTGGACAATTAAAGAATTGGCTTGAATTCTCTGTGTTCCAATTCCCAACCCCCTCCCCGGTCGGTCCCTCAAATAATCTTTGACGCACTATACTTTTTGACTAGTTTTTACTTTCTTATTAAGGGTTTTGGCAGCCTCATTCCCTGTCATCCTCGGCGATTTCGGATGTGACGTCACCTGTCAAGCAAGTCGGAAAAATTCGGTTCCAAGCCTCCCCTGGTCACTCGGATAGAGCGAACCGGCCTGGATACGAGACTGGGGTTTTGGAACTGAAATTTCCCATGAACTCTGTTTTTCTTCTCTGTTTGACAAGTGTGCTTGCCGAGTCTCCAGTCAGTATATCGTCCTGGTCAGTCACATTGCTAAACTAAAACACCACGATCGATCTAGCCCATTCAAACTGTTCACTGTGATAAACAGTCTAAATTTATGAGTTTTGCTATCGTGTAAAGCTTTATGATCGTGTTTAGTTTCTTCTAAATTAAAGACTTAGTTTAAACTGCGTTTTAATTTTAGTTTTAAAAACAATTTAAGAATTACTTTTGAAGTCATTTATATTTCAATAGGCCATTTCCGAGTTTCAAAGACCGTCAGTTTGAAAACGAGGGTAAAAATCTTTTTAGTGATAATTGGTTTCATGACCATGAGATTTTAAAAAATCATTTTCGTACCTTTAGGGACATTAAGATGCGACCATGAACGGCGACGGCAACGGGAACGTCAAAAAAGTAATAGGTTAAGATATGCAAAACAACAACTTTGCACGTGCATCACGCTTTTTTGTATATTTCTTTACCGCCACAGCACGACTACGACATGAAAACGCCTAATTTCACTTTTTATGAAGGACGTAAACAAGCTACTACGAAATTTTCTTTCTCATTCTGAATTTGGCTATGGTTTTTAGGAATTAAATTCCAGGAGAGTTCGCCAACATTTGACAAAGTAAGTGAGTTGGAACTGTCGCGATGAAGACTGAATGAACGCGAATTCACTTTTTAAGCGATGCTTTCGCTGCCGTCGCCGTCCTCGGATCTTAAGGTCCCTTATGACTTCGCACTTAGCCTCACTTTAAAACAGAGGTTTGAGGGAACTCGGAAATGACTAATTACGGATGGTTTTATCGTCGTACCGTTTGTAGCTCCTGTGTAGTGCTGTCAGTATCTGATGTTTCACTAGTCATAACATGTCGTTTTTGGAAATAAGAAAGTGGAAGCGTTCTTTTGTTTAACAAGTTCTTTGTCTTTTGTGAAGTCTGCGCGTGTTTATTGTCAGAGGAGCAAGTCACGGTAGAGGAGAAAGTCACCGATGGATTCTTACGCAGTTTACTTTTCGCTCCAACTTGAGTTTTACTTCTCCTGCTACCAGCACCTTCTTTAAACTGTTGCCCAGCTTCTTCAGAATCGGAATCAAACTCCGGAGTTATTGACTTTATTTTTCCACGTCCTGGATTAGTATCCCTTTCAACGCTTCCCTCATTACTTTCCAATTTGCTACTCACATTTCCGTCACCTGTTCTTTTCAAATAGTTCTTTCCCTTTTTACCGTCATTCTTTTTTAATCCAACATCCTTTGAATCGTTCTTTTTCAACGCAGAGTTTCCAGCTTCGCCCTTTTTCACCGAAGTATTTCTGGGTTCACTCTTTCTCAAACTAGAGTCTCTCAGTTCAATCATTTTCACCGCGCCTTCCTTCACTTTCTCGTTCATTTTGCTCTCTCCTCTGTTCTTTGCACTCTTCGATAGTTTGCCAAAGTACTTTCCGAAACGAGAGCTGAACCTCTTACTCTCTCTCAACAGCGTGTCCGTGTCTCTGGAAGCGTCCGATTGTTCAGTATCGTCTGAAGTCACACTTGCGGTACAGTCTGTTGTCAGTTTTGGTTTATTCTGTTCGGTTTGAAATTTATTTCAGGTTTATATGTTTTAACTAGCGTTTAACGGTTTTATTTGATTTCATTTATGTTTAAGACTTGCGCAAGAGAAGTTTCACCCAAGACTTAGAATCGCTTTTCCCTCCAAAAGAATATTTTAGAACGTTAACATTGGTGGCACAAAATTGCTTTCATAATTGTGTAAACTCTTTTTTCAAGCCTCAAACCTATATTTCGAATTTTTAAAGGACTCAGTTTAGAGTTTAGGACAATTATCTCCTATTTACGCCATTTGTCTTGTCTTAAATAAAATATACTAATTTTTGCACCTTCTTTCAATTTTTGACCGAAATAATCAATTACAGTGTCAATGCAATCACTATTAATTTTGTCTTTATTAATCTTATTTCCTTCTCAGCAGTAACGCGTTCAAAACACTTAACGCACAATTTTCCAGCGAAAGAAAACTTTATCAAAAAAGATTTGACGTCAGTAAGATATCGAAGCTTGGGTAAAACCAAAATTTTGCACAAGCTGGGTTTATGCCATTTATAAAGTTTAATTGATTTTAGTTTCGATTTAAAACAGCCTACCATAGTACAATAACCCAGTATAACCGGTTCATCATCAAATAAGCACTTGTCTTCAGTCGAGATAGGATCATCAACTTCACAAGTCTGTTTAGCTGGGGGAATCAGATGATGTATCTGACCTGTCTCCCGGCTGTTCAGAATGCCTGCATTGTTGTTATAGTCTAATTCTTTTTCGCTCTCTTCTTCTGCTATATCTTCAGGTACCTAGAAGTTTGCTTGTTTATAAGTTTATGAACTGCTACTAACAACAAAAGATTATGTTGAGGATATGATATGGTCGAGGTGAAAAAAAGGGAAAGTTAAGAACTCACGAATTATCAAAATCTTTGGCCGAGTTGTTCGAAGCCCGGTTAAGATCTTCCGCAAGTTTTTACTACACATGGAAAAAACCCCATTCAAGAGCGCGCGTTATAACTCAGGCCCCAATTGTTCAAAAGATGGATACCGCTATCCACTTCACTGGATAACATCTCTATTCAGTGGCGAACGCTTTTGTTTTTCCTGATACGTATCCACTGGATAGTGATTTATCCGGTGGATAGCACTGTTTTCATCGACTGGCGCCAGGGCTGTCGATCGCCAATCAGATTGGAGATTTAAGTTAAAGTTATGATTAACACTGAAATCGGGACTGCCAATCATAGCCACCCACATTAGCGAGTAACTAGCCCAGGATTTGCGCTTATCGTCTTTCGAACAACTCGACCCTGAATGGAATTTTAGAATTTAACTTCAAATGAAATGCTTATGTTTAAAGTTTAAGAACAATTAAGCTCTGTCAAAGTGTTTTAAAAAAGGTTTAAAATTTAATTTGTTAAGTTTCATATTTTTTTCATTGATAAATGTTTTATATTGTATTTTCTCATATCTATTTGATGAGGGTATATTCAATTTTATCATTAATTTTAGGGTTTGACTTTGTTCAATACGCAAAGAATATCTGTGTCAAAACGCTTTACAACAGTTTCACTACTTGTCAAATTTGCTACGTTCGAGTTCGCTACCTACATATTGGTCTCGCCGCCTATTGGCAAAGTCCAAAACTTGCACCCTGGGAGGGGCAAGCTTAAAAGGACGAGAAATATATTAAAATATTTTTTTTCTACAGCGATAAAGGGAATACTTTCAGTGGTTTACAGAAAGTCATATGAAGCGAATTTGTTGTGAGCTAGGACGTAGCGAATTTGACAAGTAGCGAACCGGTTGTTACCGTCAAAACTAAGGCAATGTCGACTCTATACCGGATAGCTCTTGTACCAACACGGAATCAATAACGGATAGCTCTTGTGCCAACACGGAATCAATACCGGATAGGGCTTCTCTTCACACGTAAAAACGGTGACTTCGGCACAATTTCTGTAACATAGCGAAGCTGGGCCGAGCCCATCTTGAAACTGGATCGTTATAGGTTTCTGCCATTTTTCATCATAGTGTGAACAGGTATAATTGATCACTCCAGAAATACCATAACATACCGTAATGCTCTTTGTTTGTCACCCAAAAATTTTGCATAAGAATTGTCTTCAGTTTCTCTTAGGAGTTAAAATGGCCCCAAGAGAAACTAAAAACAATGCTTAAGCAAAATTTTGGGGTGACAAACAAAGAGCATTTTGGTATGTTATGGTATTTTCTTGAGGGATCAATTAGGACCGTACCAGAAGTAAATGAGTAAGAGCAAGGCCTGGAACCCACAGAGACGGAAGTAGATATTCAAACCTGAGGAGCGGGATTTAGTGCACCAAACCCTCTCGTCCAACTTCTCAGGTACGATGTTCGGTGTGTGTGAACGACTCATTCCAGTTCTTTGCAGTTACCGTTCTTACTGTACCGGATGGATTATTCATGTCGACACGGAAAGCTAACCGGCATAGTGTAGACATAACTTGAAAATTCTTTTACCCACACGTGCAACAAACAAAGATATTTAGTAAATGATATCTTGACTAACAGGATATACTTACCGACAGCTGTTGAACCTGCATAAGTTCCGTCATAAGTGAATTTTCATTCATGATGGTCTCATCATCAACCTCACAGCTCTGCTGTGTTGGAAGCAAAGCTGATCCCCTCCGTGAACTGCCTGCACTGTAGGGTGTTGTTGTTAGTACACCTCTTAGGGGTGTTGCCTGTTCAGGCTTGCCGTCCACACTCTCAGCAGGTGTCAGGTCTTCAGCAAAACCTGGCGAGCACCGACTTAATGGAAGAAAAGATCAGGACAGCTGTCAGCCATTAAATTTAGAAAATTAACTGCCGTAAAATCCAGGTTGTAAGCCCATCTAAATGTAACCAGAAGATTTATGTAAGTTGAAAGTCCTTCCCCCGATTATAGGCCTATCTGTGAGTATCGGTGCTTGTATAAATAATTTATTAATTTTAATATCTTGTTTTGTTAGGTTCTTCTAGTTTTGAACTTTTCTTGGAGCAAAATTAACCAGGAGTCGTTATCCCCTTGTTACAAGGACATTTTCATTTATCCCTTTTTATCCTTCCTCTCTCCCTCTCCAGCTATTAAAATGCTCTCGAGAATATAAGCTTACCCAAAACTCCTTATAGTAATCTACATTAAGCCCAGTATGAGCTACGAATTCACCAACACTGCTTGATGATTATGGTATGGGGTCTCTTCTTTCTAATCCTTTCTAATACTCCCTAACATACTGTAGGATTGGTAAATGTTAAAATCGGTGTTAGTATATACACACTCCGTGATCTTGGTGATTTAAGCAATCTGATTGGTTCACTATCTCGGACTATTCAAAATTAAATATACTGAGATGTCAAGAACTTACTTAAAAATTCAACATTTGAGGCAAAAAGGGAAAAAACCTGAGTCTTAAGAGAGCCCACATGATAGAGACATTAAAAGACACAAAATTTATTCTATGTACCACACGAAAGCTCTAGACACTGACATTTGAAAGACGTGATCTGACATATAAGAAGTTGCCTTTACCTATTTACAGGTGACTTTGCACTTCGTGTTAAACTTGATGTTGGTGAATACAGTGTTGATATTGAATGCCTCTTGCTTGGTGATGGGCTTCTTTTGTCTCCATTTTTTCTCACCTGAATGAGATTAGGTTAAAGAAGAGGTATGTTATTTACACGACAGCATTACCCCTGATGTGAGAGTTGGAAAATGCATCAGCATCAGCTAATAAGAGGAGAAGTCGTTATGTCATATTGCCATGGTAGCCAAATTTTTGGATGACAACAAACCAAAAATTCACTCAAAAGGAGAATTCACACTGTTTTAACCTTCATCTATCTTATTCAATTTCATTAAATTTGTCAAATGTTGGCAACATTTCTGGGGTTGAATCGGAAAGGACCATACCTAAGTTTAGGTTGTTCATTTAACTGCCAGGATCAATATCACTTTCATATATTTGTCTGCAGTTCAAACTATGAGTCATTTCACATATTTCCATTCATTATTAATCTCATTTATACCTACCTCTAATGCTGCTCGCAAATCATCATTGGTATCATGCAATTTCTTGTTGGCTTCACTGAAAAATTAATTCATAAGTTTACACATCAATGTTAGAACCAGTTAAAATTCTCAGAAACATCAACGTAATCTGAGAAAAAGGAAGGTAAAATCTAAATTTGCATATATTTTCAAAATTGGTGACTATAGAGCGTTTTTGCTCACGAGGCCAGCATTTAATCAAATTTATTGGAACAAAAGAAAGCATTTGCATGAATACGAAAAGAGTTCAACTCCCACAGGACTGGATTGGAACACCAACATGGCCACCATTTCTTTGCTTGGAACACTAATAATCATAGCCAGGGTGACATCACACGAAAACACTTTATTAATTTTTTCCAATATAACATGATGACCTTAACATTTGCCGATCTGTCTAAACGTAACTAGTATTTACAAAATTTGTGATAACAAGAGTATAGAGGTTTTATGCACTAATTTTCACTACAGTCCTTAATACTCTTTCTCCACAACCTTTTTTAAGCCGAGTTTTTAAAGTCAAGTTTGTAGGCTGGTTTACTTACTGAAGTAATTGGAGCTGTCTTGTTAAACTTTCTTGTTCTTGAACACACTCCATTACTGTTCTCTTCTCCCTAAACAAAATTTAGTGAAAATATTGAAGGAGTGTCTAAATTAAGCAAAAGAAAATGATGACTTAATTTGTTGAAATTTCTAACATGTGACAGGTCTCATAGAGCTGGGTAACTACTGTTTGAATGAACGGTACTATATTAATAAAGTTTAAAAACAAACTGCTACATTGATTGTTGAAGTACAATTGCCACCAATACAAAAATAGAAAAGGTGATGCAAGCCCCTTGTTCTGGTTAAGGGCTAACATCATCACTAATTAATACTGGTTTAACTCAAGTTGGGGAAATAAAATAAACCTGACCAGGGATTTGCCATTTTCTTGAGTTGTCAACGAACAAGCCTAATTGAGAGCTTAACCTCTTGTTATCTCTCAATGCTCATGCCAAGTAGCATGAGCTCACAATATTTAGTCGTCAGGCAAATCTCTGGTCCCTATGAACAGCCCCGATCAAATCAACAGCAAGTTTAACCCATTTCCTACACTGTATCCATGTACAAATACTTCACACACTTACGCCACTAGTTGAGCTTCCTGCTCTTCATAGTCACTTCTTAGCTGAGCAAGTTCGCTTCGCAGCACGGCCAGATTAGTCTGCGCATCTGTGAGCTGACTTCGCAGAAATCTAATCTCCTGCACACAAAAAACAATATCATAAAGTTAAAGGTACTGAAGAAAATAAAAGCTACCAGTAACACTTTTCAATACAGGAATTTTTAAGCGAATTCAAACATAATGTACAGAAAACCAACCTGAACTTTCTCATCCACCTCCTCTTTGATCTTTTGCTCTTCAGGTTCTTTTTTTTTCAGCCTTCCCTCAAGCTGTAGTCAATATGTATTCAATACATTAATAAAATAAAATGAAATAACAAAAGCACTTTTACCATGTAGCAAGAATGAAACTAAGATAAATTATTATCATGATTTAAGCCTAAGTTCATAATAAAATGCAAGGGAATACAATGTACATTGCATGCACAACAGCAAAAATTACTCTACAAACCTTCTGTATTCTTGCAGTTAATGTTTGTATCTCTTTTGTTTTAGTTTCCAGTTGCCAGACAATATCCAAATTGGACCTTTCTTGCTTACTCCTTTCCTGCAAAACAAAATTTATCAGGAAATAGTAAAATTAATCATTTATGGCATAATGGCTAGTGATAGCCTGCCACTGTACAAACATCATAAATTTGTCAGTTTCTTAAGCTATTCAGTTTTTTCATGAAAACAAGTTACAGAATTCCAAACCTCAGATAAAGTTTAACTAACATGTGGATACAGTGAGCTGCAAATAAATTGTACACATTTCCCATCTACTGTCAAGATCAGTTTCAATCCAAGTGGACTGGCTCTTAGTCTAATAATTTTCCCGGTAATATAAGGCTAGTGACTTGACCTGACTCTCACTTAATGACTGGGCCTCCGGACCATCGCCGGAGCGGTCATTTTGACTACGACATAGGTTTTTCAAAGCGTTTTTGCTGAAAAACCATCTCCTTCATGCATACTTTTTAGGATTTGACTGATCTGGCTGGATAGGTTTGATCAAAAGTGAAATCTTCATTCAATGGGAATGGTCTAGCAGGTCAGTTCTGACAAATGGACAGAGCCCTAAGCCACTGAATTGTCCAACATGGTTGAACTAGATACGTATTTATGCATACAGTGTACTGGCAAATCCAAGTGGGCAGTGAAACAAACCTCTTGTCTAATACGTGTTTCCATTCGTTGCATGTGCTGTTCCATTTCACTATCAAGCTGATCCATATGCTCTGTATGCTTTTCACATGTCCTGATAAGAAATAGGACAAAAATGTTTACACATGAAAGTGAAGAATGATCATCGCAGTAAATTTTCCAATTTAAGCAACTGGAAAGAAGAAGCCTGAAAAAAATCAGGGCTTCAACGGGATTCGAACCCGTGACCTCCGCGTTGCCGGTGCGTTGCTCTACCAACTGAGCTATGAATCCACATATTGGGAGCGAAGGCAATTTATTGAGTTCATATCTCCCGTGAGGAGTGAAATGATGTGAAGTATAGATGAAATAATTAGATGAATTATTTCATATATACTTCACATCAATGTTTACACATGTCATGCACTTGATATTTCTATAGTATTTGCTCATTATTTACCAAGAAAACAAAACAGAGGCACAATTTATTTTGATTTAATCATGAAAACTATCTACTGTCCAGTGCACGTTAACACATTACTTTCAATACAATCAAACCTCTTTAATACGGACACCAAAGAGACAGAACCAAGTGTCCGCTTTACAGAGGTGTCCGTATTATAGAAGTAGGGAATGTATGATTTTTGGCATTTCTGGGACCAAACGAACTGTCCGTAATAGAGAGGTGTCCATATTATAGGGGTGTCCGTAAGGAGAGGTTAGACTGTGAAGAATAATATCTGAGCTCCGAGTACAAAGTCATATTGCAGATAAACAAAAGGAATTGAGCATGATCAATCACGTCTACCTTGGGCAACAATAAACTCATAGAAAAGCCCAGCATGCTGCCTTTTACTAATAATTAACCTGGAAATTAAAAACTATCCCATTTCTCATTATTTTCCAAAGCAGTTCGGGCTCGTTTGGTGACTAGTATACACTTAGGGCCTGTTTACATGGAGGTGGGGGACCCCAGATAGGTGAGGTAACATGCGGTGGGTCACCCCACCTATCGTGTATTAAAACGTGATCAAATTAAAATGAGAGATCATGTGGACAGGAGGGTCACCCACCAAAGCGGGTTACCTCACCTACCTGGGGTCCCCCGCCTCCATGTAAACAGGCCCTTAAACTCATCAATGACTTATGTGGCCAGACACTTTTTTAGTGCTAAGTTGTCCCCTGAATGGAGGTTAAACCTGGGTTTTTGGAAGCCACAAAAAGTGTCCCTTTCCCCTGAATAGAGGTGTCCCTTTAGGAGAGGTAGCAAATACAAAGATCATGAGAACATGTTTCTCGGACCAAAATTTGTGTCCCTTGCACAGAGGTGTCCATTGAATAGAGGTGTCCCAAATGAGACGTTCCACTGTATTGGATTTGCAATTTTTCTCTTCCCTGTTGCAGTTTCAACCCATCTTCAGGGATGTTACCAAGAGTTCAAGTTGCCAGTAAATACCACTAGTAGGTGGGGAATCAAGCAGCTAAGGATTTCTTTTGGATTTATTTTTCTTGTATTTTCCTATGAAAGTAGCCAAGGGTCATGTTCATAGTAGCCGCGGGAATTCCCTGGCGCCCCGCTCTTAATAACAGCCCTGCATCCCTGAGTCGCTTGTCACCACTTCAGCTTTCTTATGTCAATGTACTGTTTCAAGGCCATCACAAAAAATTATTTCACCCTAACAGGGCCTCAGTATGGGGTAAATAACTCACTGAGTTTTGCAGGGCTGTTGACCCCGCATGTCTTCAAATATTGAGAAATGATAGGGAAGGGATGATAGATGATCACATCATGACGCACAGCACTGACGTGTTCACTCCGATCGTCACAAATTTGGGATAAAACAAAATGCAAGAAAAAGATATCGTTGGCATTGTAATATTTGACCTGATTGGTTTCCTTCCCACCAATCACATTATTATATTACAATGGCATACCGGAGTTTATGAGGAAATGCTCGATGTTAACATTTAAATAGCTCAAACAGTGCAAAATAGATGACACTTTATTGTCAGAAAGTCGAGTTGAAAATGAAGAAATCTTAAACTTCGGCGATTATCCGGGAGATTTTATACTCTAATCTGGAGACCGGGAGATATGGTCCAAAATCTGGAGTCTCCCGGATTATCCGGGAGAGTTGACAGCACTGTTTTAGTTGGGTTGTCCTCCCACACCCACTACTGATACAGTACCTCAAGATCACACTAGTGATGACTGGTGACTTCTGTAAATAATAGTTATCAAGGTAAGGGAAAGTAAACAAGGGATAACAAACCTCTTGAGGGCTTCCTCCAGTCTTTGGTTCTCAGATGCATAATGTTTAACATCTCTCACAACACTAAACAGAAAGCTTTCCAGTAACGCTAACAGCTGTGGTGAGTCAGTAGAGCTATGTAAGTAGTGGAACAACTCAGAAACATACTCCTGTCTGTTGAGAAAAATAATAACATATAAGATTTACAAAAATAATAATAACTTTATTAATGTGTCACCTAAAACAATTTACAATATCAGTTTCTGAAACAACATGTAATTTAAATAAAGAGAACAAAGCAAGGTCTACAAGGTTATTAGTACAAAATTGATCAACAGATTAAGTAACATCCACGAGGAGCTGATAGAAAAACATGAGCAACTTCATAATCATACCGTACGAGCTTTCATTCTGGCCGCCGCCATTTTACCACAAAGTGAATCTCGAAAACAAAGCTAAGTTAAGGTTCCTATGGAGTCAAAATGAACATGACTTTACCACTTACAGCTTTGATTGTTAAAAACACGCACTTCGTATAAATCAATGATCCAGCCACCGACGTTCTCCTTCAAATTTTGCAAAGTACTTTCCGTAGATTTCGCCCCCGCGAAATGAGTTACATTAGAACCCATTCTTCTTGCCGCGTGAAAATTCTCGACCGACAGTTTTCTTGCGCGACTGTGGCTCAACAAAGAAAAACCCTCTTTATACTTAAAGATTCAATATCACTACCACCTAAAAGCTTGTAACTTGAAAAGGTTAAATGAAAATCCACATAGAGTAAAACCATGAAGTCATATAAGCTAAACGTTCTGGGAAGATTAAACGGTGTATAACTCGCATTGTCGCTGACAAATAAGCATGAACTCATGGGCGAATTACCTTATCCCTGCCTGCTTCAGAATCGACTCTATTTTATGGAAATCCATGGCAGTTAAAAGGCCACTAAACTATTTGGCTTCCCCTAGCTCTAATGGTTTGATCTTATCGAAACAAGGAAGCAGAAAATTAGGGTTAAATATTAACCCTCTTTCGCCCCACTGAGTATAACCTAGTTCCCAGTTTGGTTTGCCACGATACAAAAATCGTACCGCGTCATTTCAAATAATTTTTCTGCGATTTTTGGCATTCCAACGCAAAGAAGAAAGAAACTTGTGAGCACGAGGAATAATAGTATTCACGCGCATATTTACCCTGACAATAGCCCGCGAACTCCAAGCGCATCAAGAAGTTTGTCAAACTTTCTGGCCTGATCCTTTGCCTCTGTGTTTAAAGGTTCGTACTCCGCTTGGAACAGCGAACAAACACGTTGAAAGCCATTGGAAAAATCCAGTAGACTTATTTGGTCATCTCGGTCAACATCAAGTTCTTTAAACAAGGTGTCCAATTGCTCACTTGTGAGATTTAGCTCCGAACAACACGACGCTAATTCGTTCTTGTCAATAAAACCGTTTTCGTCCAAGTCCCATGCGTGAAAAATTTCTTTAACATCGTAGTCTATATTTTCGATTCCTTCGGACGCCATACTAATTCATCATCGAGGGAAAAAATAAATAAACCTACTGTAAGATCAAGTATGTACGAGAATTGAACTAAACAAATCATAACGCGTCGCCGACAAATATTTTCTCGAAAGTGATCACTGGTTTTGCATAAGAATAGAGTAGCAACAGGTCGGCTGTCAATTAGGACGATTATCCTGCAAATAAGAGTCTTTTTCATGGGCTGTTGATTAAGTGCACGTCACTCCATCGAGTTAAATTTTTGTCAGTCTCTTCGGAAAAATATTACGGCCGTAAAACTGAAATTTATTAAGATACTTTCTCCTCGAAATAATTTCAACACTGGCAATAAAATATGATAACTGGAAATCTATATTTAGATTTTCCCCATTCTTATAGACGAACGTCACACAAAATTGGGGTTATCAGGTCAATTAACTTAGGAAGATGAAATCATGTGAAACTTTACAAGCAGATTTTTATCCATCATTTCTTCTGTCGGCTGTTCAGAACTGAGCATATGCATAAAGTTATGAGTCAATCTAGCAACGTACGCTAACTATTAACAAGTATACATATTCTTCTAATAGGCCGAGTAAACGTCGATGATATTGTACAACTGAAATCATCCAGGGGGTAAAGAGACTCATATGTGTTTTTGACCACAAAAGTTTCCAAAGAACAAGATTAAATTTATCACCGTGTTCTCTGAAGTAAAAGACAATGACAAAACAATAAACTATGAAATATGGGATCTTTTTTAAGATTCAAAATTGGCAGCGTTCACTTTGGTAGCTATCCACGTGATGTGGACAGACGTCATATATAAGTGTATTTCTTGCGAATGCAGGCACAATATATATGCTCAGCATTCCGGTTAATAAGAGTCTTCTTCCGGCTCCGTTCGCATTGTACTCGTATCTTTCAGCGCGAAACACCACGAACTAGAGTGGTCAGCTGATCAATTTACGCGGTTAATTTGCTTTCGCGCCTGATTGTAATAACTATGGAATTGATTATAATTTAACAATAAGCTTTAGTCGGCCTCATTAGGCTTTTCAATCCCTTTGGACTTGAATGTAAGCCGATTAACAAAAACAAAATTCTTGCTCGCTTCGTTGTAGCTCAACTACGACGGTTTTGGTGTATCTTACACTACCAATCGCCCTAATATGCTTTGTGCAAGTTGTGGTACTATCTAAATGAATTTTTTTTATTATATATAACATGTGTACTGTAATAAATTTTGCAGTGATCATCTTCTTAATTCTTTCGCTTCATGATTTGTGTTTCTGAATTTCTAAACTGAGAGTCTGTTTGTTACTGCGAAATTTATTGATGATAGGAGCTACCAAGGTAAAGTGAATCAGTCTTGGTGTATTAAAAACGAGTGTGAAGATACAAAACAAGTGTCATCGACCCTGGATTTGTTTTCCAAAATGGTTCTTTTTGTTTTAGACTGCAGATAATCTTGTGTAATCTTATAAAGCTGCCGACTATGTCTACTGCAAACAATAAAAGGCGTTAGTATCAAAACAAGTTCAGGATGAACAGTCCAGGTACCATCTTAGTTACAGACCGGCCCGTCTTGCAGTCGAGGAGCCAAGACAAAATTTAAGAAAGCTAGACAGTGTGAATGAGTTGACGCCTCAAGGTGCAGATTGAATTGCTTTTTTTCGGCTTCATGCTTGCCTACAAGTAAAAACGTTACTGCTCTGCAAGGATTACCTCAGATCTAAACCCCCCATCACTACCGCTAATTCACTGAGTCTTGTTACTACTTTCCTAGGCTGCCATATACCGTAAAACTCCGAAAATAAGCTCCTCCCAGTCTAAGCCCCTCCAAATATAAGCCCCCCGTACTCGTAACACAAAAAACCTCCTTTAAATCGCCCCTCCAAATATAAGCCCGCCGGGGGCTTGTACCTGGAAATTGCCCTCAAGTACTAAGTGAAACAAAGAAAAAACGTTAAATTTCCTTCTAACTATTAGGCTAGCCTAATCGATTTTGAAACGCAAATTTCCCTCAGTAGATAAGCCCCTCCGAATATATGCCCCTCAAAAAGGGCCTTTGAAAAATACAAGCCCCGGGGCTTATTTCGGAATTTTACGGTAACTATTAACAATTATTGTACAAGGCTGCGTATGATGTGAACAGTATGTTTAAAATGCTGCAGCCAGTCTTCTAACGTACTCGAAGAAATACGATGATCATATTTCCCCGATCTTGAAAGAACTACATTTGTTGCCCGTGAAGTAAAGGATTGAGTTACGATTTTAATTTCCACTTTTAAATCATATCACCAAATTGGACCTAAATATTTAACAGACTCTTTGATTAAATATACACCTAGCAGAACACTCCCCTCCACCAACAAGGGATTGCTAGTAGTCCCTAAGTATAATCTTGAGTCCCATGTAAAGCGCGCTTTTTCAGTCACTGCCCCTTCACTCTGGAACAATTTACCAGACCAAATAAGAACTACAGCGTGCTTGAGTTCTTTTAAAAATAGTTATAGTTAAGACCTTTTTATTTAGCTGTTCTTTTTAGATTGTTCTTATGTTTTTATGATGTAGTTCTATATATTTCAGTAACTTTTTTAGATTTTTCTCACAAGTAGTAACATTGTTAAGCGTCATTGGTTATCTAGTAGAAATGGCGCTATACAAATAACTTCAGTTAGTAATGGTAACAGGACGAGTGGAGTCCAATCATAGGCGTACGGGCCGGGGGGGCGAGGGGGGCTGCAGCCCCCCCAAATTTTGGGCAACTCAGATTTTTTGGGCAGCGAGAGAAAATTTGGGCAAAGCCAGTTTTTAAAGACGTCTCCATGTTTATTTAATCATTTTAAAGACCTGAATATTAACCTGAAGTCGGCGTAATAATCCAGTTACATTACAGTGGTTGCCTAGCATGTGATGAGTACTTTACATTTTTGCAGTTTTTTTGTTGGGCACTATACTGCACTGCGCTAGATGGAATGGGCTATTTCCAGTCGTGAATTGATTAAAATAAACTTTCGAATAACTTTCTAGAATCATCTCTACTCGAAGAACAAAATATGGCAGATAGCATTTAGCAATGGGTATGAAAATGAAGAAGTGGCTGACTAATTCTCAGTTTGAATCACGAGATATCGAGCGGTTTAAAATTATTCGCTAATTTGTTAAAGTAGACCGAAATGTTTACAAAACCGCTAACAAGATTGTCTCGATACATACTAATCAAATCCTTCTTTCGATTCTAGCAATCAAGCAGAGTTATCTCCACGATCTTTTACACATGTTTTTAAAAAGATTGAAACTACTATGAGGTGAAATTGCAGGTCAAAAGCGCTTCGTTTTCTACAGATAACGGCCAAAAATCAAGGTTTTCCTGTTCTTACCGTATTTCTAATAATAAAAACTTCATTCCAAAATATCTCGATAACGCTCTTAAGGTTTTGCTTAAACTTCACGAACATCGAGGCTACCGTATTGGAGAAAAAAGCTCCTGTGAGCGATTTTGTAAGGTTCTCGTGCAGGGAATCATTGCTGAAGTAAAATAGGTAATACGCGGGGGGAGTCATTTCGTTGCTATGACCACTCCGATGTCATTGCAACCCTGGTGATGACAAATTTTCATCTTAATACAACTGTGGTCGCAATGTTTCCAAATGTTTGTTTATGGCGACGCAGTTTATGCTCAGACTTGGAATTGACCCTGAAAAACCGTATCGAGCCACCTTCATATGCCAGGACGGCCTATGTTGTTGCAATATGGCCCTCATTTCTTGTCGACTCTTTCGGAAAAATTCGGGCAACTTGCGAGATTTTTTTGGGCAAATGGTTTACCGCCCCCCCTGGCAAAAAATTTCCCGTACGCCTATGAGTCCAATTCGGTGTGTAATTATACGGGTGATTAACAAAATCGGACGACAACGTAAACTGTAAGGCTGAAATCAGGGCAGTTGATAACCAATCAGATTGGAAAATTTTGTTATAGTTATGATGATGATGATGATGATGATGATGGTGATGATAATGATTATTACTGAAGAGTTATGCAAATCGAGGAGATTGTTAACCCAAATAACAGCCTCTGAGATGCGGTTTCGGTTCGGTAGATTCACTGGTTTCGTGTGAACGATTTCTGTCAAAAAAATAAGCCCTGTGTACAGGGCCTAAAACACTGAGTCCCGAACGCCCGTATTTTCTTCAGTTCTAGACAACTCTTAATTCTCATTTAAAGAACAACTTTCTTCTAGCTACTGATGGCAATGGCCGGGATAATATTGGTGCATTTTAATTGATACCAACAATTCTGTTTAATTCGTGTTTTCAAGCAGCCCGATTCAGTGGTGAAGCCGCTCCTAAAGAAGATTTGAGCTCTAGAGGGATAAATGGATAAGCATGTAACAGCTGGGTTCAAGAAAATCCGTTTATATGATGGTATGGACAGCAGTACTTCATGTGTTTCATAATATTTCTTGCTTTTTTCAGTATTCAAAAGCCGGGATTTAAGCATATAAATCGGCCTTTTGGCAAAATTTCAATAGAGCAAAGAGCTGATACTCCTTGAAAAAGTTTTTAAGACCATCGTAACGATTGCTACAAGATTGGAAGGCCTGAATCGTATAAGCACTTTAACATGTTATAAAGTAAAATTGTTTACAATCAAAGGATATGTTCACACAATATTGGATAGCTTTTGCGCCGGCAACGAAACCATCCCGGACAGCCGGGATTCTGTTCAGGCATAAGAACAGACTCGCGGCTTTCCGCACGATTTCTCAGTGAAACGAGAGCCTGTTCACAGGCTAGTGAAACGATCGCGAAGCGTAGCTGCGCCGCGCTGTTCTCTAATGTGGAGAGCCGCATGTATAGTTTCGGTCAGAGACTGACATTGTGTATAGTGTAAAATATATACAGCCTGAATTCTCTGAAATCCGGGGACATTTCCTTGTGTGGTATGTTTTCAGTTGTATACTCCTAAGACTGTATGCGGGTTATGGGCTTTTGGTTATTAATGAAAAATACATTTCCCACTTTCTGAACCCCTGTGGTTTAATAACAGCTGTGGCTTTAAAACGCACGGCGAACGACTGGAGTTCTCAGATATATGTCAGAAGAAAAATAGAAACTTAGGCGGACATTGCTTCTAAAAATATTTGACAACGCATAATTTTGCAGTTTAAATGTGCACGGTAAATATTAATAGCGCGATTCACACTTGCTGAAACAAAGTTTATTTTGGAATATACAGTTCCGATAAGGTTGCTGCGTAAAATATACTTAAAGGGATCTCTACACTTACGGGTTGGCAAATTGAAACATGTTTTAACGCGGTTTGATTGCTGGTTTTGTATAACATTTTAAAGATCAAACTTTATGGGTTAAATACAGAACAATATTTGCAACTGAAATATTTTAATATAAAGTACATTATTTTAAGTTCTCATTCCCAAGGCATGACTGACACGTTTGTCAGTTTTCATTTGCTTTAAGGATAAAAAAGTCAAAAGTGTACACAGGGCCAACGGTTTTAATAAGTTGTTTCACATAATTATTTACAACACGCGAAAAATTTCACTTCTGCGGTCAATTCTGGAAACAGGGTGAATTTAGTTGAGGTTCAACGAAATCTCATGGCCTGACCCCCTATATTAAATGAGACCTTTCTTAAATGCATTAGTTTCATGTGGTTCCCTTATAATCTGTTTTCAGTTTTGTCCTAAAACAAATTGGGGGTTTCTCGGTTTTTGACCCTCGGGATACTTTTGGGGAACACTTCAACTATTCATTTCCAAAAAACAGACCACCATACCATATGCTTGATGCTGACAAGGAGCACGATCTGTTTAATGATGCGTAATTTGAAGATAAGGAATTTTGTTTTCATATAAATTGCTTATATTAAGTAGTGTTCAACACCCAAAAACAAACGTGATCCATTTACAGCATATACTGTTCGAGGTGTAAAAAAGGCTAGAAATGTTTCCTAATTAATACTCCTAATGACTTGGGGGAGACGCCAGGAAACGAGAGGTGAAATATATCAGGAATTCTTCATATTGGGGCAAAGGAGAGTTGCCTAAATAATTATATCATTCATTGTATTGGTAATCTTCACCCTCTTCTGGTTAAGATCGGCCTCCTATCCAGACATATTTGCACCTAGCTGTTCAATTCAACACCGCATTCTTATAAAAAAGAAACGTCTTCTTAGAAACAAAGTAAACTAACGCATTTAAAATATCAAAATAGGAACGACTTCCTTTTTCTGAAGAAATATTCAAGGAATGGAGATGAATCTCTGTGCGCTAAATAAAGTAAGATCATTTTTTAATCTTTCAAAGCATGGAGGATATTGGCGATTTTGGAGTCATGTTGAATTTTGCAAAATGTGTTTCTATGCTACTAACGTACTCGAAAAACATCCATTTTAATTACTAAAGACGTGAGTGTGGGTTGTTTCTGCCTGAGAAAAATCTTAATCTTTCGAAATAAATTTGGGTTTGGTTAAAATCGTTCGGCTTCACAAGGATTAATGAGGCAGCAATATAGTATAACAAAAACAAGCAAACAAAAAGTGATATTTGCAGCAATATTCAGTAGAAAAAACTTCAAATCTCATTTGAATAATGTTGACTTTACCGTGGAAACGACGTATGAATAATAAATACTATCATAAGGTATAATGTGATTGCTAAAAATAATCTCAAAATTTAAATCCAAGACTTTTATTATTTTTTTCAAAACTCTTCAATAACTTTCAAACAATTACTTTTTCAAATTAAGAAGCCAACGGAAACAAAATTGAGTTAAGTCATAAAATAAAGAGCAGCGCTTGGCTCGCAAAAAAGAAACAACGAAAAGTAAAAGGCGAGTAATGTAATACAGTAGTGTCCCAGATAGGGGTTTCAGCTTTTCCCTTGATTTCTCTATAGCGGGAAACTTTCCTCATAAAATCTGAGCATCACTTTTTTGGCTAGATTACTCTCTTCTTTTGAAAGCAATACTGGCCTTCACCGTAGATTTTTTTCACTGAATTCAGAAAAATGAAACTCAATCACTGCTTCCTTTCGGAAGGACATAAACTAAGAGATCAAGTTAATAATTATACAGCTTAATGCTGCTGTAGAGCATATTCTTGGAACCAACTTGCGAATGGGGTCTATATACCAGTGCTATATTTGAGAACGTACTATCTGAAATTCTCGTCTAAATTTGGTGAACTTTCACTAGCGCTATATCTGACTTTTTAATTCCCACCTCCAATATACCTCAAACAGGTTAACTTTTAGTACACTTCGACAAGCAGCTGACAAACTATAAACGAAGATGTCCAACATTTGATGCTTACTAGAAGCCTATAAGCAAGGAACTTAAATCTTAAAAACATCAAATTATAGAAAGGATTCCGAGATTGTGAACGCCGATGATAAAATCTCATATCCAAAACACCAGAGTTTCAGTTTGTTTTGCACGCAAATGGCCAAACTGGCAATATTGCTTCAAACCTAATGCTTCCATCGTTTGAAGTTGTAAAATTTGCGGACAATTTATACACAAAAGAAGGAGTTGAACCTCACGTTAATGCAATCCTGCTCAGTTATCAACCGAAGATTTCCATGATAAATTTAAGTTGCTCTTTTTAACTTATAAGTGGATGCATGGTTAATGGTCGGAAATCACTTAACACCGTCAACCAGGAAAATTAGAACTAAGTATATTTTGAATGACTTAGCCTGAATGCGAACACAAGCGATTATTTTTGGAGATATAATTACAGTTTGGTACTTTAACCGGATCCTACACGATCACACGAGCTTTGTAAGAGAACTTTTTCATGCGTGAACAGGCCTTGTTTTTGCCGGTGTCTGTCTGTATATATACATTTCAGTATCTGTTGTAATAACACGTAACTTGGATATTAAGCGAACGTGTCGCTTGACTTTTTAGGTTCTCGCTGGTAGTTCTACTTGTAGAACAAATCATTTATTTCACGATATAAGATGGCTTACCCAGTAAGTAGATTAAACTGTTGTCCTAGCCTGTCTTTAAGGTCTTCAAATTCCCCATCGGAACACGAAGACAGCTCAGATTTTTTCCTCTTCACTCCGCTCACTACAGACTTGAACTTTTTAAAATTTTCCGAAAATTCTTCAATGCTGATTCGTCCATCTTTGTCCGCATCAAGCCTATCAAAGACTTCCGCCAAATCCTGAGCGTCTAAGTCGCAAACTGCGGCTAATTCGTCTCTGTCTATATACCCGCTCCCATCCAAGTCAACTGCTCCAAACAGGTCACGCGGTTTCACATTTTCCAAGCTTGTCATCATGCAATATTACTCCATAATACCGTTCGAAATTTTACCGTTTACAAAGCGTCCATTCATCAATGCTACAAAAAGAATCCCTTTTGACGCCTCTCTTAGCTCGTCGCGTCCTGTATTTTTTCCCTTACGGGATTGCGTTTTGCGGTCGAGTAATTATTCCAGTGAATCGTCACTTGGACACACACAGCTGTTGTGAGTGGTTCGTTTTCTGCCACCCGCTCTTTTTTGGCGCGATTGTTAATTTCTGTCATTGTCCGCCAATCAAATCAAGGCCCTTAAAAAATAAATCAATATCGACCAGCCAGGAGGCTTCGTGAGTGGTCAGAATATTAATAGAAGCATTACTCTATTGTTTTTTCATATTAAATGTCAACTGTTTGTCTTTCGCCCGTGAGGAAACTCCACAGGTCTTTACTCACAGCTCGGTCAGAAATTGTCGAACCTACTTTGCCGCCATGCGCCATTGGACATTCTATTTTTTTTCTTCAAATCTTTGTATAAGAGGCAGGCAGAAAAAGCTAAAATATTACTATTACTCTATATAACAATTTCTTCTTAATATTATAATTTTTTACTGCTATTGTTATTATTTTGACTATTATGTACACTTTCTCTTGATTTGATTTGCAAAATATATTTTTTACAAAGCCAGGGCAATTTTGACAATTTGCAAATTCAGTGTGATTATTTTTATAGTGTGAGAAGATTGAAACTTGAACTATGATCGCTGCACTTCATTACAAGACGTGATGTTCACTTCCTCCATGGTCCCATATCTTTCTGTTTGAAAAGCGCCACTTAAATAGAACAAGTCTGCATCTCCAAGGCAACAGGCACAAAACATCGGAGAAAGACGTGACGGCTTATTTGCTGTGAGCTGTGTTGCCTACGGGCTCATAAAACTCACGCAAGCTTCATGTTGTCCTGTCACGAAAATTGCAGTCGTAAGAAAGCGCAAAAAATGAAACATTTTATCTTATAAACGTACACTGTTTTCTACTTTGTTCTATATGACATACACGATAAAGACATACGGAGTTACCTAAAGGAGATTTCAAAGAGGCAGTAAATTCAACACTTTGTTGTACGATGGATTGTCCCCGTGTGAGTTGTGTGATTTGTCGGCTGATTTGTCTCCCAAGCGCACCAATCCGTTCATTTTTTAGCGATTCTCGTTATAGTGTAAGAAAATAAAGAAAAATGATCATTAGACAGTATTTTCTAAGATTATTCCTTGAATTGATATTGAGTCAATCGTCCGTCGTGAGCTATATTTCTTCCTAAGTAAACTATCGCCCACTTTTTTATGACAGCATTTTCTGTAACTCAAAATGATACTCTGGAATACATTGTCGTCAGTGAGTCCCCGCACTTTTCCTTATTTTTGCTTTAAGAAATTCATCGCCTACTAAATCTTCATGGAACACTGAGAGCGAATTCAGTTCACGACTGGAATATTTATAGCAAATCCTTCCAACCTTCAAACCGCTCTCTAAACAAGTCAACGGATAAAAACTAAAAATAACACAATTGCAAAAAGTCTAATAGAGTCAAATATGACGAATCAAAAAAGATGTTGCAAAATATAACGTCAGAAATCAAGTATTAGTGAAACTGACTTTCTTGATATGACAATTTGTAAATATTACAAAGACTACGATTACTCACCTGGTTCGTGAAAAAGACTAGTTTACTATAAAAGAATGATCGTCACGGCACGTATTTCCTTGACGACTGAAAAATATTTATCGCCTATCTATTTTCCAAAAAACGGTCCCCGCAGAAAAAGAGCTAACAGCTAATTGAGCTGAAAATTGAAAAGTTGGTAGATTTGTGTAACGTTATCATCGAGGACAGAAAAGGCTGCTTTATTCTCGCTAGTGGAGAAGGAGGAGAGGTTGTGATAGCGTAACAGTGATGTATAATAGAGGAGAGTTAAAAAATTCTTATTAAGGACCTTAAGATCCGACCACGGCGACGGCAACGAGGACGTCTAAAGCTACGTGCAAAGAAGTTGTAAACCAACCGTGTCGTGTCCGTTTGCACGTAGCTAAAAGTTTGACCAGTTTCAAGCTTTGCGCAACAACTCCCAACAACACGCAACAACATACAACAACATTGGCAGTTGTTGGCGAGCAATGCTGCGCCCGTTTGCACGGGGCTTAAAAAGCAAGAGGTTTAAACTAAGCAAAACAACAACTTTGCACGTGCAGCAGGCTTTCTAGTGTACATTTCTTTGCCGTCACTGTACGAAAGGCAATGCCTAATTGCACGTATTACGGGGGAGGTAAACAAGCGAAGACGAAATTTGCTTTCTCTTTTTGAACTTTTTTGTGGTTCTTAGGAATTCAACTCCAGGAGACTTCGCCTACATTTCACAAAGTAAGTGAGTTTGAATAATCGCGATGATCATTAAAAGAAGGTGAATTCAATTTTAAATAAACATTTTCGCCGCCATCGTTTTCCTCGTATCTCAAGATATCTATAGACCTCTTTAGCTTGTATGCTTTGTTTTCCCAATACAGGTCATGTTATAACACTCTAGAGAACCATTTCTTTCAAATTTCGTCTTATTCAGGTGCATCTACTCATAATTTATGAAAAGACCTAGGACCTCTATATATTGCGAAAACAAAACATACAAGCTAAAGAAGTCTATTAGGGTGGCGACCGTTGGCAACCGTGGCGCTCTGCCCGTCTTACCAAGTAATTAGCAGTTGTCAAAATACTAAGCACTATTCAACCGAAGAAATATCGGGCGTGCGCGAGTAGAAAAATGCAGCCAAAGTTGTTCAAGCGCCAACAACAAAAAAGTGTTGGTTGATGTCTGGAGGCCGTAAAACGCAATCATTAAAACTCAATCTACCATGCCTAACAAAATCCAGCCTCGCCCAACAAGGTATTCAAAAGGCTGAACATGTTCAAGAGAGAATTATATGTTGCATTCACTGAAAGAAGCTGGGGCCCGTTTCTCGAAAGTTCCGGTAACTTTTCGGGCCCGAAATCAAATATTCAAATCGAAATATAAAGAATGAGAGCGCGGGTCCTGGCTAGTAGACTACTCCATTTTGTTTCACTAACTGATAGTTTTGTCATGCTAGATGCAAAACTATTGAAGCCTCGATCTTTAATGTAAACGGAGACAGCTTACCGGGCCCGTTAATTATCGGGACTTTCGAGAAACGGGCCCCTGGACCTAAAGGCTGGATCCGTTAAGAGGACTTTACGTCGGCCTTATACAACACATTTTAGACGAACGTGAACGCACTGTTTAGGAATGATGGAACTAGAGCATTTCACGTGGGATTTTCTTCTCTCCCTTGTTCTTAGCGGTATAGACCTATTTCACACTGCATTTTTCGAACTTCTTTTCAGCCAAAAAGGCTTGATACAACTTCTCCCTTTCAATTGTCATCAAGAAGTGCTAGCTCTCTTATTTATTTATCTATTTATTATTATAAATGGTTTAAAAAAGGAAATTATTCCGCACTTAAAGTGGGAACCTTCAGCAACGTCCAGCCTTCCGCACAAGATCTCCAAACATTTGAAATAGACCATGCTGGTCGAGTATACTTGGCGGATGAAAGTGAACCTTCGCCGAGATTTTTGATAAAGATCGAAAGAAAGACGTCCAAATTTTTTATAGCGATCATAATTTCTTTATGCAGAATATTTTTTATCTGGGTTCACAGTACTGAACGAAGTTTACCCTTATCTGCTTATAAACGTTAAGTTTGCCATAAGAAACTTTGCTTAGATAAGAGGAACCAAAACCAGGTGTAGCTCAAATATCAGGGCTAATTTCAAACAAGCGCATGAATACCGAAACGATATACACGTAAAATTATATCTTTCTCTTAAGAAATTTAATGTTGTGCGGGTATGTTTATTCCTTTCTTTTCGTTTATTTCACAAATTGGTGTGGAAAGTCAGTGTTGATATTGCTACTATACTGTGCGGCGGATATTTCGAGACCTCAAAGTCTTTCAATTTACTTTTACAGGTGAGTCGTCCAGAAAAAAAAAATGAGGTTTCTTGGTTTTAATCACTACTACACCCTGCTAGTGGAGCCTTTCTCAGTTTCGCTTGCCGGCGCACTCGAGTATGACTGTTAGTGTATGCCGTGAATCTGCAAGATCTTTGTTGAGCAGGTGCTGTTTGTTGCTGGCATACAGTTTCGAACCAAGGCCTAATAGTCGTGCGGTAGGTACTGAATCAATATACAATATACGGATGCTCGAACTCAAAAAACCAGTTTGACGCGAGGAAACAAGATGGACTAGTCCTTAAGATCGGGCTTCGGCAACTTTTCACAAGAGTCACCTTTATTCCTCCTCACTCAAGAAGACAATTGGAGTCTCTATTCGCGGACTGACGAAGCACTGCTTACTATCTATTAATACGTTCTATGAGAGATTACTGTTGCAGCATATCAAATAACGTAGAAGAGAAAATGAAATTTCCGCCATTGAAACTTTTGAGATTTGGTGAGCAGCGCTAACTGAAGGTTAGTCAGAGTTCTCGTTTCTTACCGAGCGAAAGAGAAAGAATGAAGGTCTGGAAAGTAGGGACGGGGCAGAACTTTTGGTCGTGAAATTTTGGTTGGCGTATTTAACTTTAGAACAGCAGGAAAAAACATCTGAAATGCTATACAGGCCAAGACTAGGATCCGGGTGATTTGTGCGATAGGTGTCGACTCTTTTATGAAGCGTTAGATAATATGGACTAAAAAGATTTGGCACTCAGTGGTTTCAGTGAAAACATGGGTTTAGTGGTGGAGGTCCTTATTCTTGAGATACTACGCTTACAAGCCTAGTTTCAGTAACTGGAGTCGTCCCTCTTTTTTCTTTTAACGATGGATGTTTTTTTTTTTTGCGCCTCTTTTCATAACATGGTCGTACTTATTATATGGCCGACTCTGTTTTCGCCATGCGACTGGTCAATTTGCGGTCCGTAACTTGCTATACGGACCAAAATTTTTAAAGAAAATGCTCATTTCGGAGCTCTAAATCTCTTTACCTCGGAAGAAAGGTTTAAATAAAGTCATATTATTTATTATATACATACTGAGAAATACTCACCAAAAAGTTGTGTTGTAAATTTTGATACGCAAATGAGTTCTAGCCAATCAGAGGAGTGAACTATGGTTTTCACACGTGAAAAAAATGATACGTCCAATCAGAATCGCGAACGATGTTTTTTCACATGTGAGAAAAATGATACGTCCAATCAGAAGCCACAGAGGTGTGTGA